CTGCTAGCGTGTATACTCTCACAGAAATCCTAAAGAAGCGATTTAATTGCAAAAATCACAGCGTTTCTCTCCTCAAAGACAAAAGTAGGCTATGCAATGATTGTGCAGACATGTGTGAATTATTCAACAAAACATTTGCAGCTAACTACCTCAAGCCTACAGTACCGTTACTCGCTATACACCCTACTGATATGGCAAAGCTTCCATCTTTACCCACACCAAACAAATTAGTGCTAACACCAACCAAGCCATTAGGAATCTCAAAAGCTCTAGGTGTTTTTTGACACTGACGGCATGTCGTTGCATCGCTATAAATATGACTGTCCTGATGTTCCCATATTACCGCTTAAAATCTTCACAATGTCCTCAGAGACTCATACCTACCCGGATATATGGAAAACGACATTTATTACACCTAAACACAAATGCGGCTCGAAAACAGAATTCAATAACTACAGGCCAACCGATATCACACCCATAGCATCTAGAATTATGGAGAGACTATTTAAAGATAGCATACTCAAACATATGCCTAGCTGCAATATTGTTGGTTCTTACCAACATGGATTCCCTAAATCCCTGTCATGAGTAGCCTGTCACCTAGAACCCTTTAACCTTGGGACCAGCTGTCGTGACACGACAACTGTTGGTTGTCATCTATTTTGAGATTTCGAAGACATTTGGCCGCGTCGACCATTTACTGCTAATACATAAGCTGAACTCCTCACTATGTGACCCACTATTAGGATGGCTTAAATCATTCCTTAACAACGGGTCACGATTAGTTAGAATTGGTTCTGTGACTTCCAAACCTAGTCGCATCACTCGCAGTTCAGTTCAAGGTAGAGTCATAGGGTCCCTCCTATTAGCACTTCATATCAACGACTTGCTTCACACATGGGAAACCATTTATCCTTGCATATGACCTAAAAGTAGCTTATACATTCCAATGGGATGACCTAGGGTAGTTCCAGAATGTTGTGTAAAAAGAATTACACAAAGTGACTGCTTGATCGTCTTTGTGGAATCTACAATCCAGTCTGAACAAATGCGGTTTGATCTGCTTCGGCGCACCCTAAATCGACTTGAAATAAACGCTTCAATCTGCCAAATTAACCAGACTCCAAAGTGTCGTTAACTTAGACCTGAAGTACTCTAGTGACCTAACATTCTCTGAGCAGTTGGCATCATAGACCCGAAAGTCCAGGATGCCCTTAGGACGTGTATTCAGGAACTTTCACAGCAACAAAGCCACGCCCATTCTATACAAAGCATATGTAAGTTCACTATTAGAATACTTTCCATTCATTACTGGCAGCACTAGCATATGTGACAAGTAGAGAATGGAAAGTATCCAACGATATTTCACATCCAAACTACAGGGCTACGATTGTAAGAAAGACTACATCTCACGGTGCATGATTCTAAATCTTGACCCACTTTGGACAAGACAACTTATTATAAACCTAGTATTCTTCTTCAAGGTCCTACACAAAATATCATTCTCAGACAATAAGGACATACACTTCTCACCGGAAGGCTCTTACGATCTGTGTAACCAAACTTGCACAGTGGCAATAAAAGCCTTTAAGTCAACACTCCGCGAAAACGTCCTCACAGTCATGTATTCTAAAATATGGAACAGCCTGCCCCTAGGAATCAGAACTGGCACCTCGGTTATAAGTTTCAAATGCTCCCTGTACAGACTATTTTTTTCTACTGACTTGTCAAGGTCTTCTGAGATCTGAAAATAAAAAAGCAAATCAGGCAAAGGAGCGTCATTTAGAAGGTGAGGGAAGCAAAAATAAACCAAATTATTCCTCCAGAATTCATAATTTTATATATAATCAGACATCCATTTGGAAATCATGGATCATGGACCTATTAAGTATAATTCTGTTCCTGAAGGTCCACCAGTCTTTGAAGTCCCAGTAGCGCCGCAGACTTCACAGATTGTTAGTTTATGGAAGTGAAATAATTCGAAACATATGGTTACAGCAGTTTCAAGCATACTGTTTTGGCGTTAATCAACAACTATTGTGGCTGGAAACGTCAAAATATCGTAATATAGCTTCTGCCAACTTTCCAGTACTCCACTACAGTCGACGAAGTTCAGAGGATTATGTGGGGTAGGACCGATCACCAGTAAAAAGCTTTGATATATACATGTGAACTAGGGAGAACTCAGTGAAAATACTTAAAGCACGAAGACGCATGAGAAATTGGTCAGTTATTTAGTTATTCTCCTTATTATTCTGGAGTCCTTAATGTGCATAAAGTGAGAATATATTATTATAAGACGCATTTTATGGTTTTATGAGGGAACTGATTTCAAGCTTTATTTATTTTCCCAAGTATCTGTAATCCATCCAACGCATACTTGGGTTATTTTGTTAATGCGAAGCCAATATCTCTATATTTCTTGATGTGTTCCATTGAATAACTAGTTATCAGATTTTTCCCACAAACTAAAGACAAAATGACAGCAACCATGTTATTTAACCGTAAGTCATGTAATTCAAATATGTAACTTAAATAATACTTATCCATGCCTATGCAACTTTTGTGTCGTACATCTGTAGGAATAAATATGTACCTTACTATATTATCATTACTAACTATACTTACTAATCGTATGTGTAATTTATCGAAATGATGATGCCTGTTAACTGGCGTCCCTCATGTACAAAAATGAGAATATATTATTATTACCTACAGCAGCTCTTATATTTAGTAAATCATAGTAAGTCATCCTTTTTTAAAATCGTGAGATTTGACAGGAATGAGAGGTTTCCTCGGAAGCCATGCTGTGCTCTGGATAGCAAATTGTTGTTTTCCAGATATACCATCATACTTTTCTTGATGATTCTTTCCAGTGTTTTGATTATTATGGCCCCTTTCCAGTTACGCAGCAACACTCCATTCAGGGGAGATAGCTTGAAGATCGTGGTCAATGGACCAGCTATATGAGCTGATAGCTCCTTGAGAAGCCTTGGATGAAGATTATCAGGACCCATTGATTTCCCTGCATCTAGTTTCATTAGGCGGTTGAGCACGATGTCTTGGTAGACGTCAACGGAATTAATCCTGTGTTCCTCTGATGCAGCCAGAACTGATCCCTTGGGGAGTGATGACTCCTGTGTAAGGACTTGGGATAAGTAGCCTGAGATTGCTTCTGCTTTTTCTTGATCTTCTTCGATTGTGTCATTGCCAGTAGTCAGGTTTGGGACACCACTGAATTTCTTATTCCTGAAGTTCATGTACGAGAAAACTTTCGTAGGTTGTCCCTTTGCATTTCGAGCCAGATATGCTTCGAACTTCATCCTTGATAGACGGATTTCTGCAGTCGCTTTGTTCCTAGCAGTGTTGTAAGATTTCCTGGTCTCACGAGTCTAAAGTGTGACAAACAAGTTCCAACAATTGTGTTTACGTCTGAGTAACTTACGAATCTCTCGGTTTATCCAAGGGAGGCAATGTTTCCGACCATGTGGGACAGACCAAGGGATAAAAGGTTCGGTTACTTGGGCGTAAAGTTGTTTAAATTGGTTCCATGCAGCTTCTACTTGGGACTCTAGGTTGATGTACCGGTTCAATGAGTTGGCTGCTGAAACGATCGCATTTATATCATCTTTCCAAACGTTTGGTGGAGCTGGGGTTTTGGCCCATGATGCTGATGCTGTGAACTTGAAAGAGAGCACAGCATGATCACTTATTCCTCAAGGAGGAAGATGATATATGAGGTTCACATCCTCACAATGGGAGAATACTAGGTCCGGGGTTGAAGAGGAGTGCTGTTAGTCGTAGCGCGTGGGCTTCATGACATGTTGAACTTGGGCTAACGAAATGCTAGATTCCGGCAGTTTATAATCAAAGAAGTTGTCCGAAGATGGCGTCCTAAGGCTTGTCCAGTCAACTGTTGGGGCGCTGAAGTCGCTGACCACGAGAGTTTGACATTTCGATGTCCAGGAGCCTAGCTTCCCTGTTAGGAAGTCGTCTGCACTGCAGTCAGGACTGCGGTACATAGCAATGAGGTCAATGTCTTGGCCTATGCACTTAGTTCTACAACATAGAAGTTCCCACGATTCACTTTCGTGAGCGAGTGCTTCGATGCTACACACGGTTAAGCATTTCTTCAGGTAGACGACAACACCTTCTTTGCAGCTTAGTCGGTCCACCTTATGCATTTTGAAGTTTGGCAGGTTAACTTCGTTATCATTGACATCAGGTGTGATCCATGTCTCTGTGATGATAATTACATCCGGATTTCCGGAGTCTATCATATTACACAGCTAAGACCGTTCGTTCAACAGGCTTTGGGCATTTGTGTAGCAAACTGTCAACTTTGGTGTTTCCGCAGCCGACCCACAGAGGTTTCGGGATAATCAAACTTCGAACTTTGACAGCCAGGAAAACCCGACTCTTAGGGTTTCAGGATCGTTCGCTTAATCCTAGAGCCGCAGACTGTCTTTTGACGCCGTCTGTTAGGCATAAGTCGGCACAGACGTATATGCCTGGACACAGACGTATATGTCGTTGTCTTCAGAAATATTGTAGTAATGCATTCACCTGTAGGATTCCTCTTTTTCACATTATTTTGGATAGCATACAACTCCATTTCACTCAGCTGTTCTCGCAGTATCTGATGCTCACAAGAGTCAGTGAATATGTTTTACTTAACTACTTTGTTCCACTTGTGACCTACCAGCTAGTTTCACAGATGACTTGGGATTGCATAATATTTGTGTTTTTCGGTGCGGTACTCAGACATCTTGTCAACAAATATGCTTCAAATGACTTCTTAGATAGTCTTACATATTCTTCTTTAAATCAGTGGGACTCTGGTATGTTTCTTACCCAATTTTGCATTAGACTCAGTTTCAGAAGGGATTTATTTACAGAAACATGGCATTTCTCCATATGATGGTGACGTGGTACATCAGGTGGGAATCTGTTTGTGTCAAATTTTGATTGATAGCCTCCACTTATGCTCTCGATTTGGTCGAATTTGTTGAAGCTCACAAATACGAATAAATCAATTTTCTTCTTGGTAGGTGGTTGAGATGACCATTCATTTTCTCAGGCTTTGGAATGCATCATGCTATTTTCGTTGGCCGTATTTTGTCAGTCCGCACTAAAGTATTTGCTTTCTCTACAAAAGCGTTCCAAATCCTCAGTACATGAATCATCGAAGCATCTTTTATTAAAGGAAACGGATCTAAAAAAACTCCAGGCTCTCTCACTCATTTGGTAAGTAACTGAAATGATTTAGATGGTACTCATTTAAAGGATTTCATCAGGGGCCTATAGAAATCCCTTAATTTGGTATGGTGTTTCTTGATCTTGAATGATAACATCGGTTCTTTAATTTACTCACTCTTGTCAATGTAGTGTTGAATATTTTTTGTGTAGTTATGATGCTTCGTAGGAGGAGGGTATAGCCATGGCTTTGTCTCTATGCAGTAAGATAGTATGAGATTGTTGAGTGCTTTATCTTACAGTTATATTTGTGCTGATCACTCAGTTTCAACATTGAATCTGGAAAAAAGCTGAGTAAGCCGTTCTCTAGAGAGTACATTAATCCATTTGATTTTAAAACAAAGTTTTAGTGATTGATACTTGTATTTGCTGGTGATTTTAATTCCATTTATGTCTATTTGAGGCCAAACACTTGTCAAAGATAGGATTCTAATATAATCTCAAACTTCTGAATCTGAAAGACTTGTTTTTCTCTGTTTGCAACTTCCCTACAAATCTGTAATGCTCTGGTGATTTTAAAAACTTTAGTATTATGTTTTTAAAATAATATCAGAATACTACAAAGCTGTTCTGTGATGATTCCAAAATTTCCGTGATCTAAGTTGGTCTGATCTTTAAGAATACGACATTAAGAGCTGGATCATGGTATCCGTTATTTATCTACAGCAGATCTATGATGTGTAGTGCAATAGCATGCAATGCAAACCTTGAATGTGGTCGTTCTAGTATATTCTGGAAGTTTAATGGTTTGTTACTTGTGGTCCATATGTACTATAAGATCATATCTATTATTGTGAATTTAGACAAAGCAATAAGAAGACGTAATTTGTCTGAATCGTGTAATGTATTTGCGCAACGCATTTTGAACAATCTGATGTATGATCAGATTGTCACATACACGGACTTGTCATATAAATATATGTGAAATTAATAAAGCGGTGAGAAAATAAATTTAGGTCAAGTTAAAAGGACATAGTGAAGGTCAAAATAAGAATGAAGATCACTAAACCGAATAAGAGGTAATAGTACATCTGCTATGGTATCCAAAAATTTTACCAAGGAAGGTTTAGTGTGATAACGAATTGTTCTTGAAAGCATAAAGGCGGTTTAAACTTTCTGATTGCTAGGGCTTCCACAAACTTTAGGATACACCCCAAACACGTTTTATAGATAGGTTTAAAAGATGTGTAAACACCAATTTTATATCCTGTCTCTATATTATGTTTCGTGATAGAGGAGCTAATTCTCCTGCTTTCACCATTAATGGGTTCTGGGAATTCAATTTGCTTTTGGAGCCATTTAGGAATATGCTCTGAGTCTAATGATTATGCGAAATATGTGTGAAATGATAATTTTTGTTTGTTTGAAAGCCTTTTATTATTAATTTCATAAATATAAGGAGCATTTATGTTGGAGTACAATTCACTGCGGGAATGACAATGTTCGCGTGTCTGCATTGAAGCATATGTAAGTCATAAACTTTTATTTTGGAAGCGTGCATTCTTGCTTGGTATATTAATTAAATGAAGGTATCGGTTGCTTACATATCGTTGATTATAACAGCATTCTAAAAATAAACTTTCATAAACTTTACACTTAAATAAGAATAAAAGTCATAATGTTTCAGTACAATGACCTTAGTTTCTCGCTGTTTTTTGTAATGCATTGTTCAGGTATTCACTTAATCCTTATTCAATACTAGTATCTGCCTCCAATTCAACCTGTATCGTGTATAACATAGTATTCCTGTGGATCAATATTTCCATCTGTAAAGGTTAGTTGTAGTTCACTTCTTTTATCTGAGTTTATCTAAGATTGTAGGAATAAGTTTAATTTCTTGTGAATCTGATTTATATTTTTAGGCACCAGCTGGTCTGACTGACCATCACTTGTTAGGTGTGAATCATTGCCCAGTGCATAAACTTCTAACGTGTTTCTGAGTTATATTAACGTTATTAACTCCGCATCTCATCGGCATCACTAAATTTCTCTTCTTTAAATTAACAGTGTCTATGGTTTTACAATATGCGGTGCATAATGTAGTCATGTCACTCATACTGTTGGATGTGTACTACTGCTTTCGTCATGTATTTAAATACGCATTCCAAGCTATTGCCTTCCTTGTCGAACAATGTTAACTAACATAAAATTAGGTTGAAAATGGGATGAGGGTGCTGAAATCAAACCTGAAATCAGCATATGAAATCTTTAAATATTGGTTTGAGCCATGTAGGAAGGTGTCGACCGCCTGGTTGGGGTCATCAAGACACTAAAAACCAGTGGTTTGAGACTTTGATGAAATGGCTCAACAACGTTTTCAACAAAGTGTATGTATTCACTCGTCATGAACTAAATCCACTACATTCTCATTTTTCTTTATATACTTATTTTTGTCCCGAATATTTCCGTTCATTGTAGTTCCTTTAAATCTTAATCTACCTTCGTATGCTATATAAAGTGTAGCAACTTGAACTGTCGCACTTTTGTGCAAAGTTCTATGCGGAAAACTCAGTCTGTCAATGTATTTAGAGAAGGTATTAATAAAATCTTACTAGCGTATTCCATTGTATACAGTAAAATTGCCCACTATTGTTCATTCATATTCAAGTGTTGGTTTGTAGGGATTTGATTGGTTACAGGATTTTCATCATGAGCTGACATTAGTTAGAGAACCATTGGAAAAACCAGTTGGGAGTACTGGACAGCTGTTTTGTCCTAGTTTGGGACTCTTCATCAGTACGCACCCACCGAGATTCGAACCCAGGACCTTCTGGTTACAAGGCGAGCTCGTATACCATTAAGCCACTGGGACCCGATCCAATGGCCAGTCCGTGAATTCTAACTTCTGCCAATTCACGACATAGTGCGACCCCTAGCCAACGTCATCGGTGGTGAGTATTCGTCCTCACACCCGACCTGCTGCACCCTACTGGTCATGACTTCTCACTAGAACCCCAGGTAACTACCTACCTGAATAGGGCAAGTCGCTAGTGAGCATCTCATGGATATTCAAGTGTTGGTTTGTAGGGATTTGTTCATTCAGTTTATCTTTCACATTGACATGTAATATTAATCAGAGCAGACCAATATCAAAAGAAAGCATCTAGCACCTGTCTAACTATTGTTGTGAAATGTACAAGTGTAGTTGGTCTGGATTAACTCCTTGAAGAATTAGAAACGAATAGTTTTGTGACTTAATCAGAAAACTGAAGCTATAAACATCAAAGCAGCTTCAACAAGATGTAGACGTTGGTCCTCCAAGTGTAGTTGAAGTTGCCAAATATGTCCTTAATCCAAAAGGTTTTAAGGCAGAAGGATCTGATAGTATGACTCCAGATTTGTTTAAGTATGGAAGTGATACATACTTTGCTAGACTAATTAATATACTAGAATTCAAAAAGTCTCACTAAATCGTTGTTCATCGTCTGCAATACCAGTTTATGACTGAAAAGATCGTCCCGTCGTGATCACAGGAATATCTGCTTGACTAAAGTAGTATTCAAGATCCAGAGTTTCATTAACTTGTATAATCTAAATAGGGTCTGGGCAAAAGCAAACTTATGAAAACCAGGTAGGTTTCAGACATAGACAAGGGTGCATTGATCAAGTGTACATCCTTTAACATATTCTGAAACAGGCATACTTACCGGTGTTCGACAATTTCCGTATTTCGTTTTTGTGACAGCGTTGATTTAACTCTGTTGATCGGGTGGTACTGTGCCAATATGTTGCTTCTAAGAGAGTTTCCAGAAATTTCCTAATCAAAACTCTGAACCCGGTTGCATGCAACCATGGAACAGGCTGGCTTTAAAGAGTTGTCTTCCGAAGTGATGAAAACTCGTTGTGTCTGTCAGAAACATTAACTGTCAATATGCTTATTTAATTTGACTATAGTTGAACTAATGGATATGACCTGAGTCGACTACAGTGAATCAAGGATTGAATTACTTTTAGGAGAACTTCTTGGTATACATTAATTACACAACTGATATATTTCGACTTGGTGAAGACGCTAACAAAATAGTTTTCTGAACACACTGAGCAAGCATCTTAGTATGTTTGGTATGAGATTAATCCCCTGTCAAATGTAAAATGTTAGCGGACTGGTCTACATTGACTTCTAGTTTGAAGATGAGCTGGCGAATTTGCAACAGGTCCAATGGATTGTTTGTATTATCATAAACACAAAGGATTCGTTTGACACTTCTCAACTTGCGTCATCTTTGTTTTAGGCATGATTGATATTCGGCTTTACGTCAAAGGAGTGTGTACTGTGCAACATTTCGTTTCTACTTCCTGTATGGCTTTGAGACATAGACACTGAAGGTAGTAAGATATAGAGAGGTCAGCGGTCTTTAACATATGTGCGTTAGGCAGTGTAATATTGTCAGTTATATGAAGGTTGGGTAGAGAGGAAAAGTCAACCGATTAGGTTGTGAAGTAGCATTGATGGAGATGGCTAGGGCATGTGTCATACACCAGTCATTCAGATTCATTCCGTTTACTTTGTTAAAATAGTTGCGTTTTCTTATCACTATCACTTTTACGATGAATAAGTCGTGATTGCTGCTACTCTTTTCAATTTGACTGCTTAATTAATTTAGGCTACCTATTGCTGGCTTCTGTTTTATGCGCTTTCGGATGTTATATCCATCTCTATCCAGGATATCTGATTTTTCCAGTTCTGGCTGCTGCTTATTTGGTAAGTTGGATCTCTTCTACCTTTTTATTCAGATCATTACATATCATATTTGTTAAGTGATTAAGGAAACTAGGTTTCTGCATTATTGTGTTATATGTTATCATATTATTCCCTTGGATTCCTAGTGGAACATAGGGCTTCAACAGCACATCTCAATCTCATCCTAATCTCCACAGTTGTCTTTGAGTGGCTGATAAACTTTCATTTTCTCCCAGAATCTCCCCCACGTCACCCTTGGACGTCTGACTCGTGGTTTCCCACTCGAGGATTTAGCTGGAGCGCGATGTTTTTCACTGGTCTTCTCAGTGTGTGTCCGATCCATATGCATTCCCTTCGACATATTTGTTGGGCGATAGGTTAGGATTCCTAGCTGTCGCCCAGGCGACCTGGGTTCGATGAGGGAGCGCTTTTGTTCCAGTAGCTGGATGGTCAATGAGCTTGCTTCGTAACCTGAAGATCCCGGGTTCTATCTCTGGAGGGGTTTTGGGAGTGTACCGCTGTAGAGCCCCAGACGAGGACGAAACAGTTGTTCAGTAATTCTTTTGCAATGTGCTAGGCTACTAAAATATGCTGAATCTAGTCTCATAGTCACTTCTTTCAAGGCAAAATCGTGTAAATGAATAATTAAACTAACTAAGTATACATTAGGTGGTGAGAAGCGATCAGAGTAAGATCTTGAACCCTAGGGGTCATGCTTGGTAACGTCTATCAACCAAGTATGTACGCAATGTTATGGGAACACATCCTGTTAGAATTTGTGTATGATTAGTTCACTACTTAAGTCAGACATTTTGTTAGTATTGATAGACTATTCAAACCTTGCTGAATGCCTTAGAGCACAATTTATTGCTGCTCATAATCATATCAAGGTAATCACACGAATTCCTAAATTCATTTATATAGTTCGATTGTTTTCCACTTGATTTGATTGGTAGTATTATTTTCCATATTTCGGGTATAAGTGATGATTCATTCCTACTGCATGTGTTGGGTGTAGATTCGATGAACAAGGAAGGATTCAGTAATCAACCTCTCTCTACAACTACCTAAATTACTTTTAAGAATTTTAACCCTCTCCCACCATGCTATTGTGTGGTTGTGTGCTAATGCATGCATTGCAATGCAGTGCTGAGCCTTTTTCTAAATTACTTATCTTCTCTGGGTCAACCATTCTTACCTTAGCTAAATTCTTATGTTCTGACAATCTGACTACCCCTGACCTACTAGTTTGACCTATGTAGTTGACCTCACTGACAGTCATTGCAGGGTATTTTGTAAATTATATTATTTTGTCTAATTGGGTCAACTGGGTCCTTTAACCTACAGAGCTTGTCCCTGAGTGAGTTTGTAGGTTTAAATGCCACCCTAATTCCTGCTTTATTTAGAATCCTACGTAGGGTCTCAGATGTCCCCTCTTTATATGGTATAACTGTAGATGACTTATATTCTCTCTTATTTATGTTATCATTACTAGTTTCACAATTCTTTTTATTTTTCTTTTGGCCTTTTTCAATCTTCCTAATGAATTTTAGAGGATAGTTATTTGAAACCAACGCCTCTTCTATCTGTTTTATTTCATCATTTAGGTCTTTTTTTGTGCTACTTAGTGCCATTGCTCGGTTTGTTAAACACTTAACTAAGCCTGCCTTAACAGTTAAAGGATGAGATGAATTAAAGTCTAAATATCTATTAGAATGCGTTGGTTTTCTATAAACACTAGTGTGTAGTTTGCCTTCTTCTATTCGTTTTATTTTACAATCTAACGTCATGGCTAATTCTCCTTGCTCATTTTCGGCTTCAAATGTGAATTTTATTCCCTCCACTAGTGAGTTTATGTGTGTCAAGAAGCTACAGATATTTTCTGTTTTTAACACTGTGAGTGAAAGTGTCATCCACATATCTCCACCATATTTTTGGAGTAGGATTAAACGTATTAAGTGCCATTTTTTCCCAGCTATCCATAATTATATCTGCTACGATAGGGGATATTGGTGATCCCATTGCTACACCTTCAGTTTGTCTATATATTTTGCCCTGGAATTTAAATATAGTAGATGTGAGGCATAGCTGAATCCCTAAAATAATTTCTTCAATGGACAGCTTTGTCCTATGATTGAGTTCAGGATCCGCAGTTAGTTCTTTTTTAACTGCTTCTAAGGCCATATTGACTGGTATATTAGTATAAAGACTGGTTATATCAAAACTAACTAACTGCAATAGGAATGAATCATCACCATACACGAAATATGGAAAATAATACTACCAATCAAATCAAGTGAAAAACAACGGAATTATATAAATGAATTTAGGAAGTCGTGTGATTACCTTGATATGATTATGAGCAGCAATAAATTGTGCTCGAAACGTCATCAGTAAATATTACTGTATAACACTGTGAGACTCTGTCAAAATAAAATTTACCCATAATGGAATTACACTCTACCACAGTGCCCAAGTTTTATTCTTATATCATTGCTGAATGCCTCTTTTTGGAATTGGAATACGTAAATAATTAGTGGTGTAGTTGTGTCAAATGTTGCATGCTAATTGAAGTTTATTGATTCAGTATGTAATATGCATAAACTAAATAAACAAAGCGTACATACATTCTCAATAAGATATTAAGTATTGGAAATCAGCTAAGAGATTATACATAGACTTCTATGTATACTGTCAGTATATTGATTTGTGACTAGTAGTTTTGGTGAGTGAAAAAAAATGAAATGTCACTCAATAACCACTTGGAAATCCATGCACAGTTGACACTGAGCCACACTTATTGTATAAGGGAAAGTGATACTACCTGTCTGCCCTCTAAACCTCGCTAGGTGGAGCGGAGTTCGGACCTGGGATCCAACCAAATGGGTCACGGCTTCAAACCCCTCGTACCTGAAGGAATAATGTATTATTCTGCCTATTGTTTTAGTTGGTAAGAGTCTCCGAAAAAAAGGAAATAATTTATAGCATAAATTCATTTTTGGCAAACAATGATATCACTTTATTTTGTTATTTCTTATCCATCTGACGTTTCACTTACTTGGGAAGTACCATCAGCCAGTGCCAACGGGTTGATCTCTGACGAAATCTCAGCACGGATACAGAGGGCTAGTTTTGCATATGCCAGTTTACACAGTCTCTGGTGTAGAAGTGATATCCAACTATCAACCAAAGGACGTGTGTACTTCTCATCAGTCCGCTCCTTCCTCCTTCATGGCTGTGAGACCTGGCCATTGAGAGCGGAAGACACGAAAAGGCTAGTTGTCTTTGATTATAGGTGTCTGCGTTCTATCTCCCGTGTTAAGTGGTATAATAAGGTGAGCAATATTGAGGTTAGGCGTCGAGTGCTAGGTAAGTGGGAGGGGAAATCAATCGACGAGACTGTGAAATTACATCGACTGAGATGGTTAGGACATGTGTTACGTGTGCCTAGTCATCGCCTTCCTCGACAATGGGCAATGTTAGCTGATATAGGGTCAGGCTGGAAAAGAGCTAGCCAGCGGCGGTCAAACGAAAACATGGCTTCACCAGTCAATGAAATCCACAACAGTTAGTCTAAGCCAGCCACGTAGGAAGGTGTAGACTGGCTTCCTGACTGGTTGGGGTCCTCGGGACGGTAAAAACCAATGGTTGGAAACAATTGGTGACATGCTAGCTCAAAATCGTTCTCAATGGCTGGCTAGCGCAGATGCATCCACTCCTTGTGACTTATGATTTCCAATGAAACTGTTTTGTTCTTCGTTATTACTATTCCTTTGTCTCACACCTCTGTTTACTGTCTCTAATATGCATTTCTCCTACTTTCTTCTCTTGCTTTGTGTGCTACAAGGAGGGAGTGTGGCGACTTGAACTGGCGCACATATGTGCAAAGTTCTATGTCGAAAACAGATAGACAGACAAATGATCTATAGATTAGATGAGAAGTGGTGAGACTCATCAATAATTACGTAATTCGTATCCAATATTTCAAAGTCATCATGATGATGAGCATTATTCACAAAGCCTAAAGGGTTGTTATTTTTCCTCCAGCGTAGCATGGTGATACACCTTTAAAAATCTTAATTAAATTATCTTCAGCTGCCTTGTTTTATTATAATACCAATTTTCAACTTTATGCAATCCATTTGTATTTGTGTAGAGTTAATCAGAGTACTCTTTCTTGTTGTTTTTTTTCATCACAGAGTTCATCAAATGAATTAAAACCAACAAAAATAATCAATCGTCTATTCACTAGCTGTCTTCCTCCGTTAACTGTTTTCATCACCAGTTTATTAACTCTCCTATGGGTTAGTTATATTATACAAAATAATGATTGGAGGTTTTTAACTTCAGTCTACTGGCATACGTAAGTATACAGACTTTTTTGTTGTTATTTTGTTTTTTATTACTTTATACTGTTATGTTATGGTAATAAGGTGTTGTCAGTGGTTGAATGGTATACTACTCACCGATCATACAAGAGGTTTAGGTTCGATTCCGGACCGACACACTCTTAAATTCTTGAATAACTGGCTAGTAAAACTTAGAAAAGTCGGGAGGTTAGGTGTTAGGGGACTAGCAGTTCCACCCCGTAGGAAAAACTACACTACTAGTGAGACTTCCAAAACATCTGAGCCCCATATTGTTTTTGGAACACGAGGAGTAGTTGAAACAGTCACGAAAGTTATGCTACTAATATTATTTTGTTTTTTTGGTTTGTATTTCGGTAATAAGTACCAGTAATTCCTCAAATTTAATCTCGCGTTAAGATCCGGATTTTCAACTCCAATGTGAAGTCAGTCAGTGCTACTATACGGGTGGATCAGAGACTTGCACTGCGCGTCATAAAGAGCATCTCAAACAAACTACAGACCTTCATTAACAGCCAGTTGTCTTCGCTCAATACTACTCAAGATCAGATGGCCGGCCAGCCAGAAAAGATCAGCAACAGAGAGGGATCTCTAGCAATGAGCGAACCAACACAGCAGGAACCAACCGATTGTGAAAGTAATAGGCAGGAAGAAATGGAGGTAGGTGGATTGGCTGGCCATACTCTGAGGAAACAAACCATCAAGTGAGTGACATCACTAGACAAGCCATTGCTCGAGTGGAACCCGGCCGAAAGGGAAGCGGCGGCGAGTTGGTCGTCAGTGCGAGGGTGGGTGACTTGGAGGAGGTGAAGACTCTAGCAGAGAACCGAACGCAATGGAGACGCACGGCTGAAGCCCTATGTTCCTGTAGGAATTAAAGGAAACAATAATAATAATAATAGTGATCAATTACAATCAGATGAGAAAAAAAGACGAGTGTTTTTATAGTCAAAATAAGTAACTTGTCAGAATGTTGTGATGTACTTGAAGTACTTACTTCAAGTAAAAAGTTGTGTCAGAGACTTGATATGATTATGAGTAATAGTTTGTGCTCGAAACGTGATCATCAGTTAATATTACTGTATAACACTCCACTGTGTGATTTATCAAAATAAAATCTTATCTATAATGGAGCTACTTTCTGGTGGTTTTCAGCGGGTTCTCTGACTGAAGTGTCAGTCTGTTATTAAACTTGAAGGAGTATTTGTCCAGTGTAGTGATCGATTATTTGCTTTTTGTGTATTGTGAACGTAGTTTTTTCCTGCTAAAACCTTTTGTTGCGCATAGTTGAATGAGCGTAAAAGTTGTGTTCTGTGTTCTGAAAATGTCAGAAGATAATTAATAGTCTAGAAACAGAAATTATCTATCTTCTACACTTGCACAAGTGTGTCATGTTTTAACCTGTTCAAGATTTAAGTCACCTAAGCTGGATACAAGCAATGTTGTAAAATAAGCAAGAAGTGTTTACACACACACACACACATACGCAGATTGTGAATGAATGACTGCCAGTCAGTCAGTGTCTTGCATGATTGTCTGCAATATACGATTGTGAACTGTGACAGTTTCCAAATAATTTTGTTCTCTCTCTCTCTCTTTGGATCAATTTGTCCTCAAACATGCCTTGCTGACGAATCCCAGCAAACACAAAACATAGATATATCCAGGGTGTTTTTCATCGAATGCCTCCAAATATCTAACATTATTAGTCTGTCTAGGTTATTTTCAATCAAGAGTATGCGAGGAGTAGTTGGGATGAATAATTGGCAAACAACCTGTAAGACGTCGTAAGTTAGGTTTCATTTACATCATCAGTACATTGATGTGAAGTAGAATAGGAAGAAATTCCATATTAGTTTGTTTATTAGATATATCACACAGAGTGAAACAGTATTATTTACTGGATGACGTTTCGAACAAAATTTATTGTTCATAATCATGTCATCAATTATAATCACACGACTTTGAGACTTGAGTTTTATAGTTTTCTTTGTTTTCTCCTATTTGTCGTCGTCGGGGTAGTAGAATTTTCCAGATATCTGAGTGGACAGGTGATGAATCATTCCTATTACATGTATTCGCTCTCAGTTGATTCGATAAACAAAGCTTCTGTTATCAATCTCTCCCTCCACCCTGTCACAGACATTAGATTTTAAAACTGTCATCCTATCCCATCCAGCCTATTGTATGGTTGTGTGTAACTGCATGTAGTGCTTGCGATAGCTGAACCATTCTCTAGATTTCTTATCTTATTTGGATCAACCAATCTAGATTTTGCCAGGTTTTTATGTTCAGCTAGTCTGACTGCCCCTGTTCTACTAGTTTAACCTATGTATTTGACCTGACAATCATCGCAGGCAGGGTATTAGATAAACTAAATTGTTTTGTTTTAAGGGCTCCACAGGATTGATCCTTTAATCGACAAAGCTTGTTTCTAATTGAGTTTTTGGGTTTGAATGCCAACCACTTTTATTCCTGCCTTGTTAAGAATTCTGCGTAAGGCTTCCGAGGTTCCTTCCTTGTATGGAATTACTACTAATGATTTAGATTCCTCATTGCTGGTGTCGTCATTAATTTTATTATTATTATCACTATTATTATGGTTACTATTACACATATAGAATAGAAAGAAGCTTAGAATAGGTGTACAGGTGACTTCAGTAGCCATGAAGAAAAGAAGACAGTAACTTTCTTACAATGTACTGAGAAATAGATGTGTTTGTTGCTGTTTAGGCTTTTACATTTTTTTTCTATCCAATCAAGTTCAAGAGATTACACGTCTCTGCATAGCTTTGGTCAGTATTTTTGGAGACTTCACCTCAGTTAAAACTCACTTGCCCGCAAAAAATGTCTCATGTATCAGGGACTATGAGTCACACTTATAATTTGTGAGGATTGATAATACTATCCAGTTGTCCAGGCGGAATTAGGCTGCGTGGAACTCGTACTCCAAGTCTGCCCACACGCTTCCATCTCCTCTTCACATGACCTCCTCCAAGTCACCCTCAACCTTGCACTGACGACCAACTCGCCGCCGCTTCCCTTTCGGCTGGGTTCCACTCGAGCAATGGCTTGTCTAGTCATGTCACTCACTTGATGGCTTGTTTCCTCAGAGTATGGCCAGACAATCCATCCATCTCCATTTCTTCCTGCCTATTTGTTTCACAATCGGTTGGTTCCTGCTGTGCTGGTTCGCTCATTGCCAGAGATCCCTCTCTGTTGCTGATCTTTTCTGGCCAGCCATCTGATCTTGAGTAGTATTGAGCGAAGACAGCTACCTGTTGATGAAGGTCTGTAGTTTGTTTGAGATGCTCTTTATGACACGCAGTGTAAGTCTCTGATCCGTATGTTAAGTAGCACTGACTGACTTCACATTGGAGTTGAAAATCCGGATCTTATTCTCATTTTGATGCTGAGTGCTGCTGACCTCCACACAGACTTGACGTGAGTAATGAAAGCTTGTCTTGCTTTCCCGATCCTTGCTTTGATATACTCGTCAGTTCCGCCGGCCTGTAGTTGAAACAATGCTTCACAGGTGGGTAAAGAAGGTTTTTTTTTTCAGGTTCCTTCCATTTATGCTGGCTGATTGTTGTCTGTTGTTGTTGCTGTTGGTGGTGTTGGCCAGGAATCTTCATCACCTAACTCTGTTTTCTCTATGTTCACCTGAAGTCCTATATTCTCTGGATGCTTCTTCTACCAACTTGTTGCTTTTCGCTTGCATATCTTCCAGTTTGTGGGAAATCAGACATATATCATCGGCGAAGTCCAGATCCTCCAAGTTTTTTGTGTGAGTCCATTTTATGCCTGTTTCCTCATTCCCCGCTGTTTGTCGCATTTTCCAATCTACTGCAATCAGGAAAATCATTGGCGATAGTAGGCAGGCAGCTTGTCTTACTCCTGTCCTCATTCCGAAGGATTCCGTAAGTTTCCCGTTGTGGATTACTTGGCATGCAGCATTGTCGTACAGCTGTTGGATGAGATGTATAATTGTCGGTGGCCCCCTTGGTAGTAGCGAAGTAATTGCCAAAGCACCTCTCGATCGACGCTGCGTTGTCGAAGGCCTTTTCAAAGTCGATGAAGTTGAGATAGAGAGGTAACTGCCATTCCAGGCTTTGTTCAATGATGATCCGTAATGTGGCGATCTGATCAATACATGACTTGTTTCTCCTGAATCCAGCCTGTTCCGGTCGAAGTTTTTCATCCAGGGCGCCATACATATCTACAGATATTCGAACACTTGCATTTAGGCAGACACTGAAAGGCAGTCACTATTCCCAACCAAAAATTATGCCCATCAGCTAGACTGGATAACAGTTCAGCTCCAAGTATGAGCGATTCCACGCATTGTCATCTCTCTCTCTTCAAGATACTTTTCCTTATGATAATTGTTTACTGTTGGACACGTGTGTGAGTGTTTAGCTTTGAATGAATCGGGTTGAATTCTTAAGCAATCATCGACTGCAATATTAGCTCTGGATACTACTACTGTCATGTTTGCTCTTTCTACCTCCATGGACTTTTCGCTCTCTTTGGGCTATGACATTTTCGTGGCATTTTAATTAACTAAGATTTGTTGATAAATATCCGTAAAAACCATTTATTGATGGTCTGTATGAATGTTTGAAATGTTTTTGAAACTAGTTAAAAAAAGTAGAGATTAATACAACTGAGTACAAAAAAAGAAGATGCTTTTTTATAACATTGAGCCACTATTTGAGCTTTATGATAATCTGATAATCACATGATAAGTAGTGATGAAATCTTATGTAGAGTCAATGAGTTTTTAAATATTAATCGGTTGAAATAGTTAGGACATGTGTCGTGACGATCAGTGTTGTTGGCTGAAATGGGGATTTGATCGGGAGATACTCAGTGGGGATTGGATCAAAACATGGAATCGACCCATGAACTTATTGACTATTAGACTGAGTTACATAGGGAATTATGCTTTACCACAGTACACTATTGTTATTTTTATTTATTTATTATTATTATTATTATCATCAAAAAACACAAACATGGTGAATTATGGGCATCAAGGTGTGCGCCACACTCACAGTTTTTGCGGGGACTCGGTTACTTGCCGGACACCTAAACCAAAGCAGGTGATTGTTTCAGGGGATTGAACCCTGAGTCTTTGACTTGAAGTCTGACCCTTAAGAGGCAATGGAGCATCGTCTGGAGCCGCGCATTCTCATGGTTTGCGGTGACCAAAACAGGCGGTTCATACACCATGGTTTCGGAATCAGAGTTTTCAAGCTCCCTTAGGTAGACCAGCATGTCCATTTGTAAGCGCCAGCCTTTGATTCGCCATTTTACTTTTGTGGAGGAAAATCCCACCACGTGAAGGCAGTGAATATGACTTACGTGGCCACATAGGCTATGAAAGCAAGGTCACATGAGAGAGCATTTCGAGAGGAAGATTGAATCTACCCACGCACTGCCGTACGAGGTCATTTATGTATTGTTTCTGACTGGGGTTCTCAAGATGCTGAGAATCACTGGTTGGCTACCCTTTTGTTTATCATAACAAAATCATTTGTTCTCTCATATATATATTCTTTCGGCGTAGATTTTTGTTAAATCTTTTTCTTTTTATGTATGTATATATGGAAGTTCAGTGACATAATAACTAACACTCTAGATTTTATAAGAAATGGGCGTTTACTTCGAATGTAGGTAGCATTAATATATTTAATGTTAGCAAATCCAGTTGGTAAGTTTCTAAAATGAAGAGACATTCGTAAAAAATTATATTTGTAAAATCTCAGCGACATTGAAATGAGTAATTCCAACGTTTCGTTCGGCAATCTGGTTCGAACTTCTTCAGGGAAATTAATCGAAATTAACATAACAGAGGTTTATATATATAAAAAGGAACATCACTTGTTTTCAAAAACTTTGTCCAATCATGAGTCATTCAACAAGTATAATAAACAAAATTTTATGAGCTGTGATCAAAATTTGACCTCGGACTTACAAATATTGGTCTACCTTTGTTAAACACTTTAAACAGAGTGTGTATGTGTGTGTGTGGGTAAACAGTTGTAAAACATTTCTTAACGTCTCCATAAGAAGATATGGACAGTCGAGAATTTTGACCAAGTATTAATAATTAGTGATACATATCCATTTTTTATTTATTAATAAGGATTTCCTATGCATCAGCTAACATCACGCCTTCATGTCTGTTCAAACTGTTAGTATCTAGAATTTTATGATTAGACGTATTTTGAAAATTATGGTGTTTAGGATTAGAGTTTAGTAGAAGCACCCTATCGGACTTATTGCTTTGTCTTCTTTCTGAAGATTGAGCTGCTTTATTCGACCTACTGGAGTTGTCAGGTGACTCGACAGCTACGGATTTAGGATATGCATTCTGTTGCAGACAACGGAGAGTGAAAACACGATGATTGTTCCAATTACACAGTTTCTTTGTTAATTTAATTCGATTGCAAAATAATTCAAATGAACTGTCGTCAAGATTTGACAGAATAGTTCTAAAATATTTGGGCGCCGAGTGAGAAGTAGACATTTGTAAAAAATTATATTTGTAAAATCTCAGCGAGATTGAAATGAGTGATTCCAACGTTTCGTTTGGCAATCTGGTCCGAACTCCTTCAAATTTTGATCACAGCTCATAAAATTTTGTTTATTATACTTGTTGAGTGACTCATGATTGGACAAAGTTTTTGAAAACAAGTGATGTTCCTTTTATATATATATAAACCTCTGTTATGTTAATTTCGATTAATTTCCCTGAAGAAATTCGGACCAGATTGCCGAACGAAACGTTGGAATTACTCATTTCAATCTCGCTGAGATTTTACAAATATAATTTTTTACAGATGTCTACTTCTCACTCTGCGCCCAAATAATTTAGAACTATTCTTTCAAATCTTAACGACAGTTCATTTGAACAGACATTTACTGTCGATTCTAATGCCTAGCTACTATTTATTTTGTGGCCATCTCGTTCATTGTTCTCTGATAATTGACTTCTAGTCGTCGGATTGAAAGTTCGGATCTTGTCTTCCACATTCCATGGCTTAGATGTCAACATTGTATCATCAGAGTTTACACACTGGATATGACTCATAATGTGGACATTCACTTTTCCGCTGATATTTATGTGAATTTCAAGTTACATAATACCATGATATTATGACGTGTGTGTGCTGACAGTTTATTAACCTCCGTTGATAATGTGCATGAATTTATGTTCACTAATATATATATATATATGTATTTTTCTCCCTCTGTCTGTTCATAGCATAACCGTAGCTGATTGTACTCCTCAAATGGGTATTTACTGGTATATGTTTGTTGAAATGTTTGAACATTTCCGTGAATTTTTCACCTGGGTTTTCCAACTACTTATATTTATTTTAGTAGTCGGACTAACACTTAAATTCAGGTAAGTCAATGAAAGTTGTTTTATAAAGTTGAGAATTTTGAATTTAAAAAAAAAAAATAGGTGGTTAATTATGAGAAGAAGAAGAGTACCGATTTTATTTCTGCATGAGGTAGAATTATATATATATATATATATGAATGGAATAATAAAAGAGATAGTTGCAGCGAAGAAAATTTTCTTTTCGACAAAGTCATCAACTTGGCTGTACATTCGTGTCTTTATAATAATAAATGGGTGGGAAAGTTCCAGAATAATTTCCGGTCAAGGATCAAATTAATAAAATTACAATTAGGAATTAAATTCCATAATAAATAGCCGGGGGGGGGGAGGGATAAAACTCAAACAAAGTAGCATCATATATATGAATGGGATGTTAATCAACGTTAACCAATCACAATTCCATGCACAATAAGCCATGAACCACATGTATTGTGTGTGTGTGTGTATGTATGTGAGGGCTTGTCGGGTACTATCTGGCTGTTCAAAGCTCTGTAGGCGGATCAACGTTTAGAACCGTGACCCATTGATTGTAATGTTGAAGTCTGGTATAGCATGTCACATATGCGTGTGTCTCCAGCTTATGTCCAATCCATCGACTTCCATTTCCTTCTGCATGTTTGTTGGGTGACAACTTCTTAGCTGGCTCGTTGTTGTCAGCTTTGGAAAAGCCTAAGTAGCATTTATTCTCGCAAACAGTATTTAAAGCTAGATCTGTTTGGTAATTGTGATATTTTATTTTAGTGTATAGATGTACAAAATGGGATTACAACAATCACCTCAGTCTTTGTCTGTTTGAAAAATAAAACAGTTCCGTGACAAGTTAGAACTCAGTTCCCCGGAACAGGTAGCACCCAGTTAGTTACCTGGGATAAAATAAATTGAATTCATGTATAATCCCCATCCAGGCTGATCTAGGTGTTTTGTTTTCAATTGAAGCTATTTGAAGCTAGATTTCAATTTGGGACCTCCAGGCGGAAAATCGAGCGCTTTAAGCCAATGAGCAATTACCTTCACAATTGACTGATATAAACATTTGAAAACCACTCACAAATAGTAGCAGTAGTGTTTACTAGTCAGTTTGAAGTCATCATCTAAATATCGGATGAGGATGCTCCGATTGTTTGAGGCCCAGGTCATCAGTTATGCATCTGGTTTAACTCACCTGAACTCTGGTTTGCCATGTATGATATTAGACAGATCACTTATTGTTTCGATACCCTATTTCAAACTATTTTCCACCAACTAAGGTGTTCTTCAGTTGTACTTATGAATATATATGAGTGAAGTAATGCAGGGTGAATTTTTTGCGATTTGCCTACTTTAGCTGCTTAGTTAAATCAGGTAGGTACAAAGTATGATTCACGGGATAGTCTGATCGTATCAATTCAGTTCGTTTCTTGTGTAACAACAGAAGACAAGGGCCAGGAAACAGATCGTTTTTTAAGGAAAATCAACACATATTTATAGATTTTAATGTACATTATTGTAGATTATTGTTAGTAGAAAATACAGTCTTTGGATTGGTTGTTTCTCACAGAAAGTTAACCTTGCATCTCTTTGTAGCTGTGTCAGATCATCTATATGCTAACTGTATCCGCCTACGCAAAGCCTTTGTTCTCATTTTCTCACTACCAATATTGGAGACATAAACATTGACGTCAATTACTGTCTACCAACTTTGGCTAGCAGCCAGCTCTCACCACAACTGTATATTTACAGATTATAGATGGGAGTAGGTTTACATTGGTTCTTTTCTGACATTTGTCTCCTTTCACACAACACACCCGTGCTAATTAACATGGCATGGTCAGGGTAGTCTGAGTGAAAATTCCTTTTTCTGGTTTTTACTGGAAGAGATTTAAGGCGAGATTGGCGAATATTAAAGAGGCTGTTTAGTATCCGACTAAGTGACTTTAAAAACTTCATACAATTCTTCCCATTAATAAACTTGAACAAAGCAAGAACAACAATTGTACCAGGATAATATGTGAGCTCATCTTTCATTATTATGTCGAGGATTCTTCTCAACTGGTTACAACCTGAACTATAAAAAAATATGAATTACATTACATTAAAGATTTGAACATACTTTTCCACGATCACAAGGAGTAATTGGTAGAAAGTAAAAGTAACATTAGTCCGGAATGATTTAACTAATTAAAAGTTACAAACACTGACTGGCTTGGAAACAAAAACAGAGTTGCGTATATATGTATGTGTGTGTATAGAAACAAGATTTAGCTAGAAAGAGCATAACAAAAAGTAGATTACGTAACTAAAGAAAATGTTTTACCTAGTAGCCAATAGAAAAAAAGAATAGAAAGAACAAGGTAGGGTGAGTCATGTTTAGATGAGAGAGTAGAGTTTTCTAAACAAGAAAAAGGTGACTCATAAAAGTTGTATATTTTGTTATCACTAGGGCAGTGCAAGATTCGCCACTGTCTCTTTCTGCGTACATAGATTTGGTTTAAGTCGTTTGTTAGCAACTGCTTCAACAAAGCGTAGCAAGCTAGGTTTCTTTTGCTTGTTGATTATTTTGAATGACTTCAAATTGTCTAAATTATGACCAGTGTCTAATAGATGACGCGCAATCGCACTGTTTAATGCTTGTGGACCTTTCAGTCTCAGGTTCTTTGGTATGTGTGACTTTAGCCAATTGTTTGAAAGAGTTAAAATGTTTACTTTATGATTGGATACTGCTAGGGGGTAACCAGTCTCCTGTGTGTTGTTTCACACTGACTCCTGTCAACCGAGTTTGCAATATGCCCGCCATGCTACATGGTTTGCCATCACGGTGCAATCGGAAGTGTTGTATTAAATGGTTGAAGACAATCGACAGGAAGCCTTGGGGATCACTTAGGTTTCCTGTGCTTGTTGGCACTCGTCAACAAAAGAAGTATCTGCTATCTTGAAGGAAGCACATGACCTAGGTGGTCCAAGGTTTCCTGCCGATTGTCTCGAACCATCTAACAACAGTTAACATGCCTATCAGATATAAGTAGTATGTATGTAGGCAACGATAACGCCTTCTTAAAAGTAATGATCATTTATGTGTCAATGAAGAGGGGTGGGTGAAACTCCAGGAGAGAGAGAGGATTGTATAACTTTGATAACTTAATAAACTGACGGATAGCAATAAAAACAACTATACCATACCTAACGCAGAATGGATGTATTGGTTGTTTTGCATGCAGTACAATGAGATCAATACGCAGTCATCACTTTCTTGATGTCCATTGTTGTTTTGTACGCCCTCTTGTTGTGACTTGTCCCCTCATCAACATTACTTTATTCATATGCATTGTTCTTTTATTTTTTGATTACAATGTCCTTTTAGAGTTTACCTTTTTCTTTGTTTGGTTTACCATACATTTGATTTATTTATTTATGTGCTTATTTTAGTCATAATCCACTGTATATATGCTTGATTACATCACTCCTAATGAATGTATTACAACCATATCATAGTATTGGTCAACTTGGCCTGCTAATATCTATTCTGCCTATATGGAATCATATATTAAAGCGTAAGTCTATCACAGTTTGTACAAAGCTGTTGTTATGAATTCATTATTTAATGAATAGCTAAGGCTCTTTTTTCTGTAAAGTTGTAGTATTATCCTAGTCTTTTTTTTTCTTATAGGTCGGTGGAATATGAGTTTAGTCTTTGCATGGAAGACAAATATAGTTAGTTGTTAGAAATGCAATTAAAGAGGATAGCAGTGTTCATTAGAATATGGCGCTCAATAACCAATGGTGTCAGGGTTAGAGCTCAGTTACTAAGATCAAACTGCTTTTTCCTATTTCTTTGCGTGGAATACAGGACTTCAAGCTTTGAAAGTTTCGGTAGCGATTATGTTGTTTTTACCGGATGCGGTTGTTAGCCTCACGCCACCCTTCCCTCTTTACCTGGCTTACTACTAGTCTAGAAGTGTCTCAGTCTGGTCTCGAACTTCGGACCACGTGTGCGGTTGGTAGACATTCTACCCGTGTACTACCGACGCATGCAGTCAGGGTATTAGCCAAATTTGTTGTTTGAGGGCTTATGATAGTATTTACTTCGTAGTTCTTTCTTATAATTTCCTTCCTGTAATTTAGATGTACATATGACCACTAGCTCTGTAAACTGGACAATGGCTGTGTTTATCATCTTAGCCTTATCATTTTCAGTTATTGAGAAAGTTGAATCAGCCGCAATTCACCAATTTCTTGGAGAAATCTCAGTGCAGACACAAAAGGTTTGTGTGACATTTGCCAACATGATATCTGGGAATCGATCAAAAGGCATATGTACTGGGCAAGATTTCGCTCAGTCCTTCTTTATCGTTGTTTAAGTGTGATCCCTGAAAGTGAAAGACCTAAGGAGCCTAGCTGTCTTTTATTGTAGGTGTTCATGTTCTATTCCACGTGTTAAGTTATACAACTCGGTGAGTAATATTCAGGTTGGGTATGGAGTGGTTTGGGTTAAGAGGGCAGGCAGGTCAGCTGGTATCGGGTTTTGAAGCTCTGCATCAGTTGAAATGGCTGAGATATAGGTGTTACGCATGTCAAGCCATAGTCTTTGTTGAGCGATGTTAGCTGACTTAGAATTAGGTTTCTAGGAAGTTAAGGGTGGTCAGATGAAAAGCTGTTATATCAATCCATGAAGTATTTGACTTTTGGCTTACTCCAGCCACGTAAGGACGTATAGACCATCTGTGTGGTGGTGGGGGGGGGCGGTATAAATCTCACCTTAGCCAATTTCATACTCTTACTCCCTTTCTGTCAGTTTTAATTACGGAATTTCTCTTTGCCTCCGGAAACTATTTATAAATTATTATTATTGTATGAACTATATCACATACTTATAATACTCAGTTAATATACTGCTATATACGTTTCACAATGGCTATAAATACGATTGACCGTACTACAGCCTTTGATAATGACTTCGTTGATCAAAAGAAAATTTTTCTTAGCTGACTCATTAGATATTTTCGATCTCTCTTACTGTTATGTTTTCTAAAATTAAAGTCACGTATTCAACGTAACACTTTATCAAGAAATTGCTTTATATATGCTGTAAACTTAACACAGCTCATAAATCAATATAATAGTTAATTGTTACATAATCTATTCTTATACAGTCCGTGTCTTCCGTCCTATATATATATATATATATACATAAAGCCTGCATGTTTGTCTAGCAGTATGCTATCTAATGTAGAGTCATATTTCAGTAGTCGAGTGAATTTGTGAAATGCGCAGTTTTTGGTTGTACCGTAAATCATGTGAATGTTATGTTTTTATTCAAGTATTGGTTTGTAGGGATTTGGTTGATTGGTTACAGGATTTCATCATGAGCTGACATTGGTTAGAGAACCATTGGAAAACCAGCTGGGAGTACTGGACAGCTGTTTCGTCCTAGTTTGGGACTCTTCAACAGCACGCACCCACCACTGGGGGTTTGAACCCAGGACCTTCTGGTTACAAGGCGAGCTAGCTCGTAGACCATTAAGCCACTGGGATCCGATCCAATGGCCAGTCCATGAATTCTAACTTCTGCCAATTCACGATATAGCGCAACCGGTAGCCAATGTCTTCGGTGGCGAGTATTTGTCCTCACACCCGACCTGCTGCACCCTACTGGTCACGACTTCCCACTGTTATGTTTTTACTTGTTAAATTTCAACCTACACTGGTTACCTTTGTGACAACTTCGAATGGTATAGATGCAGTGAAGTGAAAATCTGACTCGAACTGGGGGTGGGTGGGTGGTTCCGAAATTACTAGTTCTCCAACTGTGAAGACACTAATTCAGTAGTAGTCAATCCCACCATCTGTTATTTATAGGTTGATGAAAATTCTTAGCTTTCCAACACAGATTGAGTTGGTGAGGGTGAGCAGTGAGTGGAGAGGGGTTGGGTTAATAATTGTGAATACTTGATTATTGAATGCTTCATAATCGTTTGTCGTAAACAGTCGACTGTGTCTTCAGGTTGTATTCCTAACATATCTATAGAATAAGGTCACAATAAGCCACAAAATTAGCAGTAGTCTATGACCTGTAGAGGGATTCGGAGAGGTATTGAAAAACTCATAAGGTTGTCTATTAATATATGCGTAAAACTTGGGCACTGTGGGTAGTAAGTAATTCCATATTAGTTTGTTTATTAGATATATCACATAGTGAAACAGTATTATTTACTGGATGACGTTTCGAACAAAATTTATTGTTCATAATCATATCAATTGTAATCACACGACTTTGACACTTGAGTTTTGTAGTTTTCCTTGTTTTCTCCTATTTGTCGTCTTCGGGGCAGTAGAATTTTTCAGATATCTGGCACAGGTGAATCATTCCTATTACATGTATTTGTAGTTGATTGGATAAACAAAGCTTCTGTTATCGATCAATCTCTCCCTATACCCCGTGACATTAGATTTTAAAACTGTCATCCTATCCCATCGAGCCCATTGTATGGTTGTTTGTAACTGCATGTAGTGCTATAGCTGAACTATTTTCTAGATTTCTTGTCTTATTTGGTTCAACCAATCTAGATTTTGTTAAATTTTTATGTTCAGCTAGTCTGACTGCCTCTGTTCTACTAGTTTGACCTATGTATTTGACCTCACTGACAATCATTGCAGGCAGGGTATTAGATAAACTAAATTGTTTTGTTTTAAAGGCTCTACAGGATTGATCCTTTAACCGACAAAGCTTGTTTCTAATTGAGTTTTTGGGTTTTGAATGCCAACCAATTTTATTCCTGCCAGCATTGTTAAGAATTCTGCGTAAGGTGGTTTCCGAGGTCCCTTCCTTGTATGGAATTACTACTGATGATTTAGATTCTTTATTGTTGGTGTCGTCATTAATTTTATTATTATTATCACTATTATTATTATCATCATTATTATTGTTATTATCACTATCGTTACTATCATTATTTATTTTATTTTTACATTTCCTTACATATTTCCTGACTAATTTATCCGGGTAATTATTAAGTTTCAAGGCTTCTTTTATGTGTATCAGTTCCTGTTTTAGATTTTCTTTGGTACTACTTAGTTTTTGTGCTCTGTCATTTAAACATTTCATCAACCCTATTTTTACTGACATAGGATGGGATGATCGCAAGTCCAAATATACCTCTACGAAGGCAAATAGGAGAAAACAAAGAAAACTATAAAACTCAAGTTTCGATGTTGTGTGATTAAAATTGATGATATGATTATGAACAATAAATTTTGTTCGAAACCTTGTCATCCAGTGAATAATACTGTTTCACTGTGTGATATATCTAATAAACAAACTAATATGGAATTCATAAGGTTGTCTGTTGTGAATTATCCAATCATTGTATCCTCGGTATGTAATTGGATAATAAAAAATGGTCTTGTCATTATGTGAATACTTATGCAATTCTATCAACGATTGTTAATTGGATAACAATGACCTTCTGAAACTGATGCACTTGATCGAAAATTGGATAGTTAAAATTTATATCAACTGTGATTGTTGTGTTATGTAAGAATCTAGACTTCAACTGTTACACGACTTACTTTGTATCGATCGGCAGGTGTGTAGAGCTGTTAGTCCTAAGCTTCCCTGATTATAGATTATTTCTCTATTTGATATAAGAATAGAACTTGTGCACTGTGGTAGAGTATAATTCCATTATGGGCAGTAATATTTACTGATTACGTTTCGAGCACAATTTATTGCCACTCATAATCATATCACCTTGATATGATTGTACAAACGAATTCACTAATTTACCTTATTTGACTAACATTCTGCATTCATATATATATTCGTATAATAGGATCAGTTGGACGGATACACTTATGCTCAAAATCTTACAGAATTCTTATATATATATTTTACTATTAGTGGTCATGTCTCATGGTTGTAAAACGGTTCCCAACGAACTGAGTTACACAATGTTAGACACGGTCGGCGACACCATGGGGTTTAAATATTTATCATCTAACTGTTTGTTCTATTTCAAATGTGGAATTGTAGCTCCATTGGTGTCTAGGTGCACTTGACTTTCAACCAGCTTGTGGGTCACAGACTGGAACCCACCCCCTGCACCTACTAAGGTTTGGCCAGCTGTCATGCACACACAGTAGGTGCGGCTTATTAATTACCAACTGTGTATGGAATCGCAAGTGGTTGTTGAGCATATTACACCTACATTACATTCCATTTTGAAATGATTGGTGATTTTTAACTGCTTATTATCAATACATGACGCTATATACTACTGATTGGCTGATATGAGTAGTTGCATACCACTCACTCACACCAACCGGTAGTGCCTGCTAGCCAGCTAGATCGAAGTGATCTAAACACCTGTTGATGCCGTTTCACTCGTGTAGGCTGAAACAACTTACTACTATCAATTCAGCATATAAACATAAATACCATCTAATATCATTGATGTGCGTCGGTGGTACAGCGGTTAGGACGCTCGCCGACCATGCACATGGTCCAGGGTTCGATCACCGGCCACTGGACGCACTCCTTTACCTCGCTGAGCCAGAAATAATGCTGGTAAAGAGGAAAGGTTGGTTATGAGGCTAGCAACCACATCCTGTAAAATAAATGAACACAGCTCCAGAAACTTCAAGCCACTAGCTTGAAGCCCTATGTTCCACTGGGGAATGTGAAGGAAAAAAACTATCATTGATGGTAGGTTACTTCTCTGATATCCAAATCGTTTTACGTTCATTAAAACTATAGGAAAATTCATCTTATTATTGAGTAACTAATACTTCTTGTTGTGGAAAACCTGGTTCTCTAACTAATGTCAGCTCATGATGAAATCCTGTAACCAATCAAATCCCTACAAACCAACACTTGAATATCAATGAGGTGCTCACTAGCGACTTGCCCTATTCAGGTAGGGTTCTAGTGAGAAGTCGTGACCAGTAGGATGCAGCAGGTCGGGTGTAAGGACAAATACTCGCCGATGACATTGGCTAGCGGTCGTGCTATGTCGTGAATTGGCAGAAGTTAGAATTCAAGGACCATTGGATTGGGTCCCAGTGGCTCAATGGTCTACGAGCTAGCTCGTCTTGTAACCAGAAGGTTCTGGGTTCGAATCCCGGTGGGTGCGTTCTGATGAAGAGTCCTAAACTAGGACGAAACAGTTATCCAGTACTCCCTGCAGGTTTTCCAATGGTTCTCTAACTAATGTCAGCTCATGATGAAATCCTGTAACTTCTTGTTGTATGTTATGAAGAAAAGAAAAGGCAATTCAGCGAAGAAAATTTTCTTTATCGACGAAATCATCTTCAGAGGGTGTACGGTCGTATTTTTATTTACCAAAAAATGTATATTTGTCTATTATTCAGTAATAGAGGGTGACATAATTGATATAATTACTCAGAAGTGGCTTTAGAAGTAAAAATAAAAGTTGTGAATTACATAGTACTCAACGGCACAAAGGAAGATAGAGTTAGAAACTTGGTGAAGTTAAAATTGTTATTGAATGAGTAGAGAGAGGTAGTTGAGTGTCAGTTTAACAAGTGTGAAAAGGGTGAGAAAGTGTACAAAAGGAACATGTGAGAGTAATGATAGTGAGTTAATTATAGATGAAGTGAAAGCAAACTAGCAGCAAGATTAAAAAAATAAGAAATTGTCAGGGAACGACTAGTGAAGAGGTTGAGACCATGGTAGAACAAGAGAGACTGGACAAACTTTTTCTGTATACAAATTTTGGGGGTTTTATTGAGGGAATCGCCAGCGACTCCGTCATACACAAATGCCGAAACCTGACGCGCTCTCTGTACCATTTGGCCTCACCTTGTAGGTGATCTTGAAAGACGACTCTGGTGGAGGAGCTGTGTGGCTTGAGTTCATCAAATGCTCGAGAATTGAGCTAGTAAACTGTCTTGTATTGTCCTCTTTTGCCAATTACGCCGGATAATGTTCAGAGATGTGTTTGGAAAGTGTGCACTTTGTGCGGCCAATATATAAAACTAGCTCCGCAGGTAAACCTTTATTTTTTGTTGTTTCGTTCATAGATGAAGTATATAATACTTAATTATTATTTTTGTCATTTCTTTTGTGTTTATTTACTCCTTATTCCCCCCCCCCCACTTCTTCTAGAAACCCATTTGTTATTCATATCAACATGTTTTCTGGTTACTGCACTTATTCTCAGTCCACTGTTTCACTATATTTGGTTACAACCGGGTACAGGAAATGCAAATTTCTACTTTTCTGCATCATTAGTTCATGCATTTGGACAGGTAAGTAAGTGTATATAAAAGTGGGAAATGGTAGTTGTTATTTACTTTTCTTCTAAAAAGCTGTTGTGATTTTCAAGACTGTTCATGAAATGACTTCAGCTAGTGAACTACTATTGTAAACCAAGGAACACACCGAATGACAGCTGCTGGAGTGAGAATTCATGGGCTAACCATTTGACTCAGTCCTAGTGGCGCAGAATCATCTACGAGCTCGCCTTGCCCCCTCTAAGCAGGCTAGTTCCAAACAGAAACGAAAAATATAGCAGTAATCCTTAGTGGTTATCTGGAAATCTTCGTCACTCAACTCAGCCTGCATCAACAACAAAATGATTCGGATTTTCAATACAAACGTCAAGTCAGTCAATTCGTATATACGGATCAGAAACTTGGCGGCGGGTCACAAATAATATTTCCAACGGCCTCTTGCAGACCTTCATCAGCAACTGTCTTCGCTGGCTCTTTACTGCAGATCAGATGGCCGGAAAGAAGGAGAACCAACAAGAAACTATGGGAAGAAACAAAACAAGAACAAATCACCCAACAAATATGCAGGAGAAAGAAGTGGAGATGGATTGGACACTCGCTGAGGAGGCCGCTGGGTGACATCGCGCTTCAGGTCATACCTCGAGTGTAACCCGAAAGGGAAGCGGCGAGTTGGTCGTCAGTGCAAGGGTGACATGGAGGAGATCGTATGAAGAGGAGTTGAAACAGTATGGACTAACATGGATGCAAGTGAAAAGTAGAGGAGAAGACAGAAACAAATGGAGACGTGTAGTTGAAGCCCTATGTTCCACTAGGAACCCAAGGGAACAATAATAATAATATAATAGTTGACTTTTCTCGAAAATGTTCTGCTGAAATGTTTTTTTTTTAAAATAAGATTTTATTATTCCTTAAATCGTGTTTCTCTGACCATTATTTATCTCCTCTTCGTTTTGTTTTAACCTTAGGTAATACTTATCACAGATTTATTGAATGCTCAAGGGAAATATGATTATTATCTACGTGTTGGAGACAAGTTCAAACTGAGTACTGGTGAAGAGTTGAAATTAATTCAAGAATAGATAGATGTAAATATGTAGTAGTATTGTATCATCATCAGAGAAGAAAAAGCAAGCATAACAACGAAAATATTCGGCATCTCTGTTTTTTTCCACTGTTGTTGACACACACACAAATTCAGTCTGCTAACACCACTTTCTAATTGTTCTTCTGAATGGTGTGTAAATACGCGTGTGTATATGTGGTTGGCTGCTTGTGTGTTTGTGTACTTTCAACATTTCTGGATATGTGTTGACCTCTTTTATATATTGTGTACTCTACACATATACATTTTTTAATAACAATAATAAAAATCTGCAATGTATTATAAACGTTTTTTCTATTTATATAATGAGTTTGCTTGTTAGTTAGTTTGTGTGTGTGTGCGTTTGTGTGAACTTTCTTTACATATTTTACTTTTTTTCTATTCCTTCACGTTCCCCAGTGGAACATAGGGCTTCAAGCTAGAGGCTTGAAGTTTCTGTAGCAGTGTTTATTTTACAGGATGGGGTTGCTAGCCTCATGCCCAACCTTTCCTCTTCACCAGCATTATTTCTGGCTTAGCGAGGTAAAGGAGTGCGTCTGTGGCCGGGGATCGAACCCCGGACCATGTGCATGGTCGGCGAGCGTCCTAACCGCTGTGCCACCGACGCATATTTTACTTTACATTTAGTTAAATTTGTATAAGTAATATAGTGAGTAGTGCACGTCGGTGATTCGGTTCGGCGGTAGAAGAATGCCCGCCAACCACGTCGGACGCACTTGCAGATCTCGCTTTGCTGCCGGCGAAGAGAAGAGGTAGCTATTGGAATTTCAGAGCTTTTGAAGCCCTATGTTCCATTGGGAATTCATAGGGAAAATCGAAATAGTGAGTGTTGTGAATAATAGGGATGTCAGGCTGCGTGCATGTTCATCATCAGGTAGTTAGTGAATATCCTGTATGTGAATTGATTCACTGATACTAATTGTAAAACTTCTCACCAAATGATTATTTTAAGTGTTAGTTTGAAGAGATGGATTGAAACACCAGGAGTGTATTGACAGCTATTTCTTCTTAGTTCTTGACTCTCTTCATCGGTAGTACACACCAATGACACACTATGGACACGAGATGGAACTGAAGACCTCACAGGTTACAAGGTGAGATTGGTGAATGGGATCTGGACCGAATTGATAGGTTTTATATTGGCAGTATGTGCGTCGGTGGCATAGCGGTTAGGACGCTCGCCGACCATGCACATGGTCCGAGGTTCGATCCCCGGCCACTGGACGCACTCCTTTACCTCGCTAAGCCAGAAATAATGCTGGTAAAGAGGAAAGGTTGGGCATGAGGCTAGCAACCTCATCCTGTAAAATAAACACTGCTACAGAAACTTCAAGCCACTAGCTTGAAGCCCTATGTTCCACTGGGGAACGTGAAGGAAAAAAAATATTGGCAATATGGTCTTGTTGAATTAATGCTTCGTTATAAGCATGAGTATTATAACTTGAATTTATTTGTAGTGGTGGTGGTGATGGCAGTTATCAGTGTAAACACAGTGGTTGAATGGTCAATGAACTCTCTCTCTTCGTAACCTGAAGATTATGGGTTTGAACCTTAGTGGTGAGTGAGTCAATGTATGTGTAGCGGTACTGAAGAAGAGTCCCGAACTCAGACACACAACAACTGTCTTGTGTGCCCTCTCTCTTTTGTTCTCAATGGTTCTATAACTGATATCAATGCATGATCATCATTGTTTTTTTTCAAAAATAAATCTGGATGTGCTTTTTATCCTTCACGTTCCCCAGTGGAACATAGGGCTTCAAGCTAGTGGCTTGAAGTTTCTGTAGAAGTGTTTATTTTACAGGGTGGGGTTGCTAGCCCCATGTCCAACCTTTCCTGTTCACCAGCATTATTTCTGGCTTAGCGAGGTAAAGGAGTGCGTCTGTGGCCGGGGATCGAACCCCGGACGATGTGCATGGTTGGCGAGCGTCCTAACCGCTATGCCACCGATGCACCACGATGTGTTGTTTAAAGATTGCTTATCTGTTAACGGAATAGAATATATTTAAACTACTTTAATCAGCTTCTGAGCTAATTCATATAAAGTTACATAGATTGAGATGGCTAGGTCACGTGCTGCGCATGCCTAACCATCGCCTCCCCCGACTGACGGGCATTACTAGCTGATATAGGTAGGTGCAGGTTGGAAAAGAGTAAGTGGTGGCCGAACAAAAACATGGCCTCATCAATCCATGAAATCCTTGACAGTTAAACTGAGTCAGTCAGGTAGGGAGGGAGGGAGATGCAGACTTCCGGGTTGGGGCCCGGCCCGCCCTCGGGACTCTAAGAATCAATGAAAGCTGGAGACAATAGGTGACATGGCTCAAACTCATCGTTGTCAATGGCTTACGCAGATGTATTCAGTCTCTGTAATTTTTTATATTCCTTTCTACCATTACTCATTCTGTTTCACTCTTATACTTGTCAAAACTCTATTGTTTCTCTTCACTCATTTTCTTGTCTACCTTTGTGTGGTATTTGGAACGTGGCAACTGGAACTGCTGCACTTCAGTGCCAAGTTTCATGTTAAATCCAGACAGACAGAGACAGACTTCTTACCGTGTATGTGTACAACTTGCACATTGTGGTGGTATGTAATTACATATCAATTTGTTTATTAAGCTGGATCACACAGTGATGAAACAGTATTATTTACCAGGTTCAAGTTTCTAACACAATTTATTGTCTAGAATTGCATCAAGCTACGATTATGAATTATCAAATTGTATTCCAAAAGTCCACTAGCTCTTTCCGTCTGTAATGAACAGTTTGTCAGGAAAACAACTCAGATTAATTCCAGTTATCATCACCCTGTGGGAGTTTATTTTTGGGGACTGAATAACTAAGAACTAAGGTTGAGCGGTTTGAAGAAATCGCTAGACCTAGGTTTTATGCACATTACCGCTCAACAGCACTAGTTTTCGGTGTAACCTCAAGGGAAGTATGTTATCCCCAGACTAGAACAACGAAAAAGCTGCCAACTTTCCCCTTCCTTTCAATGATTCTTTAACTGACATCACTTCGTAATGAAGTCTAACTTATAATTTTATTTGCCTTAGAATTCTTCATAACGCTAGATCTTTGAGACTGTCGAACGTCTCATTATCATACTTGACATATCATTATAGTTATATTAATATGAGAATTAGCAGGATAGATTACTTTCTATGCTAAAATTACAAGTTTTCCACAGTAATGTATGTATATTTACTAATGTCTGAGTATTTCAATATCATGTCATATAAAAGTGAAATGCACTGTTCTGTTGAATGATTTATGAATGTGTAATTTAAAAAAAATTTTCCTCAATTTTTCCTTTTTTTCTCCTAGCTGAGTGAGTTCAGTTATTCAGTTGAATTGTTTCACTGTTTTTAAAATTGACTAATTGTTTTCGTTCATAAGTTTTAGTTATTATTATTATTTTTTTTATCATTATAGCTTGACTCCACACAGTATTCTCCAGTTATGGTAGTGTACGTATGATTCCGTGTGTGTGTGTGTGTCTGTCTGTCTGTCTGTTTTCGACATAGAACTTTGCACATATGTGTGGCAGTTCAACTCGCCACACTCCCTCCATGTAGCACACAAACCAAGAGGAGAAAGTAAACAGAAACGCAAAATAGAGACAGTAAACAGAGATGTAAGGCGAAAAGAATAGTAATATCGAAGAACAATAGTTTCATTGGAAATCATAAGTCACAAGGAGTGGATGCATCTGCACCGGCCAGCCATTGAGAACGATCACTTTGAGCCATGTCACGAATTGTTTCCAACCATTGGTTTTTACCGTCCCGAGGATCCCAACCAGTCAGGAAGTCTACACCTTCCTACGTGGCCTAGATTAACTGTTGTGGATTTCATTGACTGGTTCCATGTTTTGGTTTGACCGCCACTAGCTCTTTCCCAGCCTGACCCTATATCAACTAACATTGCCTGTTGTCGAGGAAGGCGATGACTAGGCCGGTATGCGTAACAAACGTCCTAGCAATCTCAGTCGATGTAATTTCACAGACTCGTCGATTGATTTTGCCTCCCACTTACCTAGCACTCGACCGATGGCCTAACCTCAATATTGCTCACCTTATTATACCACTTCACACGGGAGATAGAACACAAACACCTATGATCAAAGACAACTAGCCTTTTCATGTCTTCCACTCTCGATGGCCAGGTCTCACAGCCAAAAGGAGGACGGAGCGAACTGATGAGCAGTACACAAGCCCTTTGTTCGATAGTCGGATATCACGTCTACGCCAGAGACGGCGTATACTGGCATATGCGAAACTAGCCCTCTGTATCCGTGCTGAGATTTCGTAAGAGATCAACCCTTTGGGGCTGATGTTATATGTGTGTGCGTGTTAGTCTCTGATTACTACAACTGAAATTATGATTTTTCCTTTCTCTTCCAGACAGAATGTTCTTTAGGGCACTAAGCAGGAATGGTGGAAATAATTTGACACCCATTTAACTTATAACTACTGATTAAGAATCAAGTGATTTAGTCACTTCTTCCTTTTACTTTGTTTCCTTTCTTGTCTAGTTTTTTTTAACATTCCTACTGGAATATACGACTTCTGTGCTTCAAGCTTTTAATTTTCAGTAGTAATGGTGTTGTTGATTTTATGGAGTGGAGGTTAGGCTAGCCTTACCTCTGTCGACTCTGTCTAAGGGCTTAAAACCTACTGGACGGCAATGCACACCAGAATCTAGAATCGGATCCCCAGACAATGTATGTGTGTGCGTGGTTTGCCAGTATTCTCCTGTTGAACCGTCGACGACTCGATTTTATTTCTTACTATACTGTATATATTTTTGTTTGCATAACTTACACTTTCATCTCTGTCTCGTTCTTAATTCCCTAACTAACTTCGTCGTTAGAAAGCCCAAGTGGCATTAGAAGTCTGCTATTTCCAGTCGTGTATCGTTCGCTATCCAGGGTTTTATAACCTATTTTACTTGTCAACCCGTCTTCCATAGTCGGACTAAAACAAATCATTATATTTTAGGAATTAATTAAAATTGAAGATGACCGCTATGTCGTGAATTGGCAGAAGTTGGAATTCAAGGACCATTGGATCGGGTCCCAGTGGCTCAATGGTCTACGAGCTAGCTCGTCTTGTAACCAGAAGGTCCTGGGTTCGAATCCCGGGGGGTGCGTACCGAAAAAGTGTCCCAAACTAGGACGAAACAGCTGTCCAGTACTCCCAGCTTTTTTTCCAAGGATTCGCTAACTGATGTCAGCTCATGATAAAATCCTCCATAAAATTGAGTAATTTCAGGGGTCAGCAATTAAACATGTAAAGAAAACATATTTGTGAAAACCTCAGTTATATTAAAATAAGAACAAGACATGTGAGCGAATATTCAAGTATTGTTTTTTGCAGGGATTTCGTCTGATTGATTGGGGGATTTCATCATGAGCTGACATCAGTTAGAGAACTAAAGGAAAACCAGCTGGGAAAACTGGACAGCTGTTTCGTCCTAGTTTGGAACTCTTCATCCGTACGCACCACCACCAGAGTTCGAACCCAGGATCTTTCGGGTTACAAGCCGAGCTCGTAGACCATTAGGTCGCTGGGACCCAGTCCTACAGCTCATGAATTCTAACTTCTGCCAATTCATAATATTGTTTTCAATTAGATCTTCTTCAGGCTTTACTCTAATATGCATAGATTTATGGATAAAAATTTAACCAATGACGGTTAGTTTGTAGATCAAATAATAATAATAATGTGTTTAATGTTTTGAACGTCAGTAATAACGATGATTATGATGATAACAAAAGTACAAGGAGTTTATGCAGTTGGCGATAAGAATAACGGAGGTAGTAATATGGGTATGTGTAGACAAATCAATAAATAAATTAGATCAAGTATTAATAGTTAATAGTAATACTAAAGGTGAAGTGGTCAGATAATCAGAGTTTAAATAAGCATCATAAAAGTACTAAGGAAATGGAAAATAAGAAAGGGTGGCCGACGGAGAGACAAGGATAGAATTTTTTTAAATCCAAAGACTAGGATTTTTCTCATAGGTACCGCGAGTTCGAATTCCTTTCGAAAGGTTCGACAGAATGTGACAGATAACTTTGAAGGCACCTCTTCTGTCCACTTGATGATCGCTGTCAATCAAATGAGACAAAGTAGAACTTCTCATAGATTTTATTTGATCTTTTCCGAATAGAACCAGTAAAATAAAATCGATTCACTCCTTGTGTTCCGAGTTGACTATAGAACTTCAAGCATTTTAAGTATCAATAGCGGTGGTGTTGTTTCTTTTGCAGGGTGAAGCTGCTGGCCTGACATCCATTTCTCTGTCTTTATCGAGTATACTATAGGCAAGTAAACTAGGGTGAAGTGTAGAAAGGTAATGCCTCAGGCGTGTATCGAACCTGGGAAACATGCGTGATTAATGAGTATCCTTTGTAGGACAGTCATTTTTGGACAGATGTATTTTCCTATTACATCAAATGGGATAAGAATTGAGGGCTCATTGAATTCCCGTGTGAAAAGCTGAGTGGTAAATGAGCTGGCCTCTCTGTGATCCCGAGTTTGATCCCTGATATGCTCGTTGGTGTGCACCGATGAAGAGTCCTGAACCAGAGCGAAACGGCTGTCCAGTGATCCATAGTTTTCAAATATTCCTTAAGTGGTATTGGTTAACAACGAAATCTATGCTAAAAAACCCATCCAAAGGCCTACAAAATCCAGAATCTAAATACTGTATAGATGTATTCTTTCGGAACACCTTATTTTCTCCTACTTTCTTCTCTTGCTTGTGTGCTACATGGAGTGTGGCGACTTGAACTGCGCACATATGTGCAAAGTTCTATGTCTATATGATCTTAGATAGTGTGTGATGCTGAAGTCCACCCTCCACCCTCTTTCTATGGTTGAGTGTCAGTTGATCTGATTGTTATGTTATGTTATACGTTCATCTATATGCATAGAATTTGTTGTTTATTCACTCACCCCCATCCATCCATCCTATCGCTTTTCCCTTATCTTTGTTCAGCTTGATTGTCAGAATCGTATATCTGGTTTATATACCAGTTGTGCACCGTCTCCACGTACTGTTGCTCGTTCATCGAAACGAATTGGTCGAAGTTCCCACTATAGACCATTTGAAAATGATGCTAACAATGGAGGTGGCAGTGATGGGTCTTCTGATACTGGATTGTTTTATAAACCACGTAGAAGTCAACCAATTGTACATCCGCCTAGCGAAGTCCCATTTTGTGAAGTAAGTTTTTAATATGTTTTTCTATATATAGAACTGTAGTATGTTAGCCTATGCATTGCATTTTTAATCAATAAGTTGCAGATTCAAACCCTGACCTTGAACATTTTTCGATATAATACAATTGAATTTCCTTTCCATAACGCAGGTATTTTTTAAAACAGTTAGTCCCTTTTATAAATTTTGATAGCATTATTAGAAGACAGAGATTATCTGAAAAATGTGATGTATTTGCGCTATACATTTCGAACAATCTGATCACACATTTACTTGTCAAGTCTTGTAGATATGAACATAAAAGATAGGAAAATGTATTCATTTGATGTTAATTCTTTGTTTACTAATGTACCATTGGTTAAGACTGTTGATATTCTTTGTGACTATATATCTTCTAGTTGTTTTTCATTTCCTTTTCCTTTAACTTATTTAAAAGATTTATTACTATTATGTACTGACAACGTCCATTTTACGTTTGAAGGTGAACATTTTAGACAAGTGGATGACGTTGCTATGGGGAGTCCATTAGGACCTTTATTAGTGGACGTTAACATGTCTTATGTTGAAAACTTATCCTTTGATTTAATTTCTAAACTGCCTTTCTATAAGAGATATGTAGACGATATCATTTTGATATGCGACGATCATGAAGATGCGAGTCGTCTATTGGACAGACTTAACTCTGTACAGAATCATATTAGTCTTACGTGCGAGGAAGAAAGTCGCAACCAGCTCGCATTTTTTGACATACGATGGCTCAATAAGACGGTCTATCTACAGAAAGCCCACTTGGACAGGGAAATACCTTAATTTTCACAGCTTCTGTACATTACAATATAAGAGAGACTTGGTGAAGTGTCTATTTAAGAGGATTCAGCGTATTTGCACGGCTGATGTTATAGACAAAGAAAACGAAATATTGATGGATACTCTTGTTGAAAACGGATATCCTTTGAAATTTCTAAACAGGTGTAGAAGTCAACTAGCCTCTAAACCTACAATCCATACCGTCCCTAAAAAAGGTTTTCATCAAATTACCATATAATGGGGAAATAAATAGTAGGATTTTGAGACAAAGGTTGAATTTGATCATCCGTAGAACCTACTATGCAGCCCAGCTTGTAATTGTGGAAAAAGCTGAAAATATGCTTCACTGGAAACCTCAAAAGTGCACAAGTGATTATGTCACATCCCAAACAATTTACCAATTTTCATGTGTGTGTGGACATACATACATAGGGAGGAGTAATCGCGCGTTGCACGTGAGGGTGGGAGAGCATATCCCAAAGTGGTTAGAAAAACAGATGAATTGTGACAAGCCAATAGATGCAGGTGTCAGACTACCAACTTTGTCTATAGCTAAACATTTAATCGAGATGAACCATAAGGTTGATGTTAACTCAGCCTTTAAGGTCATCTATAAAAACGGTCAAGGGCGCTTACTGAAATACGCTGAGGCTATAGCTATTCATAAACTTAAGCCCCCCTTGTGTATTCAAAAACAGTTTGTTATTACTCTTAACCTACCTTGGTAATCCTTATTTGATTGGATTACCAAACGTTTGTGTTAACTATTCTTAATTCTTTTTTTGGCAGGTATTTTTGTAAAAATATGAGAAAAAAACATTCTAAATAAAGTGGTGCTTTAATTCAGCAGATACGTCTCGTCCTGTTTTAGAACGATGAACATCAGCTTCGTGCACCTGTTCTCTTGTAAGAGACGATTTTCTCACTGTAACCTGGACCCAGTATCCACTACGTCCAACATGAAACTGTTATTGGCTATGTGTTGTTGCTAAGTCACAAGAGAGGCACCTCTTATTTAATTGCCTACGGTTTGAAATGGCAATCATAAGTGATAGCAACACTAAAACTCAGTGGCTTATCAGATGACTTTGAAAAACTAATCAGAAGAGTAGAGCAGGATTAGAAACCATTACTGATAACATAATTATAATTAAGGCTTATTATTATTATTGTTTCCTTTAATTCCTAGAGGAACATAGGGCTTCAGCCGTGCATCTCCATTGCCTTCGGTTCTCTACTAGAGTCTTCACTTGGCTCCATGTCTGACCACACGTTTTCATCTCCTCTTCACACGACCTCCTCCCCCATGTCACCCTCACCCTTTCACTGACGACCAACTCGCCGCCGCCTCCCGTTCGGCCGGGTTCCACTCCATCAATGGCTTGTCTAGTGATGTCACTCACTTGATGGCTTGTTTCCTCAGAATATGGCCAGCCAATCCACCTATCTCCATTTCTTCCTGCCTATTTGTTTCACAATCGGTTGGTTCCTGCTGTGTTGGTTCGCTCATTGCCAGAGATCCCTCTCTGTTGCTCATCTTTTCTGGCGGGCCATCTGATCTTGAGTAGTATTGAGCGAAGACAGCTGGCTGTTGATGAAGGTCTGTAGTTTGTTTGAGATGCTCTTTATGACGCGCAGTGCCAGTCTCTGATACATCCGTATAGTAGCACTGACTGGCTTCACATTGGAGTTGAAAATCCGGATGTTATTTTTGATGCTGAATGCTGAGTGTTGCCCTCCACACAGACTTGACGTGAGTAGTGAAAGCTTGTCTTGCTTTTCCGATCATCGCTGCTTTGATATCCTCGTCAGTTCCGTCAGCCTGTAGTTGAAACGATGCTTCATTAAGGCTTATACTTATACATAAATAATGAAATAATAATTTACTCAGAGTGTGACAATCTTTAAAATACTGTAAAGTGTAGGTTTTAATAGGTGGTTGCTAGATCTAATACTACTCTCCAAAACTCTTGCCTAACGCTAAATGTAACTCCTGACTTAAACTGACAAGGTTTCAGTATGGAACTTTGCGCAGAAGTGCAGCGTTTCAAGTTGCCGCACTCCATGCAGCAACATACAAAGCTAAACAAAACAGAGGAAGAGAGACAGAAAGAGATTCAAAAGACCTACCTGCAATGAACAGAAATGTGAGAAAGAATAATAACGCGGAAAAAACGTGATGGTTCAGTAGTTGGCTATAAGACATTACCAAGAGTGAATACATCTGTGCCATTGATATATAGCGATTTTGATCCATTATCACCACTAGTCTCCAACCATTGATTCTTAGAATCTCGAGGACCTCAGCAAAACAGTCTACATTTCCCAACGCGTGTCTCAAACTAACTGTCAAAGTCTACATGGACTGATGACATGCTTTGGTGGTTTGACCATCCCCTACCCTTTTCCAAACTAATCCAATTTCAGCTAACATTGGTCGTCGAGGAAGAGGATAGAGCATGGCATGCGTAACACGTGTCCTAGCCATATCAGTAGATGCATCTTCAAAATCTCATCGATTGAATTACTTTCCTTATCTAACACTACTCCTAACTTCAATATTTCTGAACATATCTGTGATCAAAGCAGTCAGTATTGTCATATCCTCGACTTTCAATAACCATGTCTGGCAGCGATAAAGGAGGACGGAGCGAACTCTGGCTCAGTACACAACGATAGGTAGATTTCACGTCTACTTCATAGACGATGTAAGTTGGCAAATAGCCACATGAGTCAACAAGATTGTACCCTGGTGACAAGTTAGTCCCTAAGTCGCCGAAGTCAGCTAGGGTCTATTCTAATTATTCTAACCATTATCTGACTTTCATCTTAACTCCGACTGGTACCTTTGCCTAACCTTTAGCTAACACTATTTCTAAACCTGACTCATGAAACCATTATTGTAACCCTGTGCCAATCATAAACATAATTCCGATTTGAAGAAAGATTTTTGGATGGAAGTACAGATTAGCTTTTTAATAGAATGGATGCTAAATAGGCCACAACCTAATTTGTCTACCTAAGTCGTTTATTTTTAGTGACTATTCTTAATAGTTAAGTTGGAAACTGTTTGTTTCAGCTTGCAGTTTCTTGTTGAGATTATCTTAACTGGGTTAGTAAATCAGTCTCATCATTGTGGAGAAATATGAGACTCCTTGGACAGATACCTCCACTATAATCATTATACTTTACTATATATTGTGCTCAGTGTCATTAGATGTCTACTTCAATCTTAAATAACTACGTACGTCTTACTTTTTGACCATTTTTTTCCTTCACGTTCCCTGGTGGAACATAGGGCTTCAAGCTTGTGGCTTGAAGTTTCTGTAGCAGTGTTTCTTTTACAGGATGGGGTTGCTAGCCTCATGCCCAACCTCCTCTCTTTGCCAGTTCTATTACTGGCTTAGCGAGGTAAAGGAGTGCGTCCAGTGGCCGGGGATCGAACCCCGGACCATGTGCATGGTCGGCGAGCATCCTAACCGCTGTGCCACCAACGCACACTTTTGACCATGGAAGTGTAATTTCTGACTTCGATTATTTGTCTTTTATTCGGCATATGATCGACTGTTTAGCAGACATTATTACCAATCAAACGATACATAATAATAATTTGCTTTATTCCAAAACGGTACTTGTGATACAGAATGGAATTCTCAGCATTTTTACCACAGTATTGCATCCAGTTAGTAAATTATCAATAAATTGAATTCTACATAGATTAAGAAAATCTCAATTCATTATGACAAAAACATATTGGCATGTCGGTAGCAAAGCCAAAGTTGAACAGAATGTTCGATGGTGTTAGAAAAGTAGGTGCTGTCATATTTACTGGCGTAAGCGAGAGAAGGAAACAAAGCTGCACATAACGGAAAGAAGAGAAAAAAAGAGAGAGAAAACGGAAAGAAAGAAAGAAAATGTTGTAACTATTGATGATGTGAGTTGGAAAGACGAGGTCCAGTTGTTCTACTGACTATTTAATGAATTATAGGTGTCACGCCTAATGCTTTCTTTATCGCACACAACACGAGCTATCTAGGGTATGGTTGAGTTTTTGTACTTGCTTGCTGGTGCGAGCATATAGTTTTCTATATAGGCTTCTGGTTTTGCCTGATGAGATGCAAGGGGAGAGTTGTGAGTGAAGAGGGTGGTGTGAATTAGATCAAATGGATTTAGCCCATTTTTCACATGAGTCCATGTGCCTGTCAACCAGAATATTAACTAGCTGGTTAAGTGGCACGTTGCTTACCCTGCTGACAACCTTTAACGTCCTACGTAATATGTTAAAGTCTTTCTTCAGTAGCCCGGGAAAAACTAAGGGGGAACAATATAGAGTAATAGGCAGAATGCGAGAGTTAACGAATTGTAGGAGTAAGGGTTGGGGTGTTATACCAGAATGTTTTAACTTCTTGATGTAGAAGTTAAGACGGAATATTTTCTTAGAAATCGCCAAGATATGAGACGACCAGGAATGATCAGCAGATATTTGATTCAAAATAGATTGCATAACTCTCTATATACAGCTGTTGAACTCCTTCCTATCTTGTTGCTTGTTGTTTTGGTGGTGATTTGCAGTAGAATAATCCAAGAGACGTCAACTGGATGTTCTTACACTCCACTCTAGTGAGTGATTGTCTTGCTAAATTGAGACTTATCTGCAACGCTTCCAAAAACACCCAAAAGCGTTAGCCACATTTGGCTACGACGAGCTGTCCTTTTTTGTACACTGGTATGAATTTAGAGTTATTTCGATTACATCATTGTTAACTGTTTTAAGTTGGCAGGCTTTAATTTAAAAGACAGTTTTACTGAACTTCGCACCTTATTTATTATATTGATTTCTGTCGACTTTTTTTTTGGCATGAGAATAAAGTGGCTTAGACGGGAACCTACTAATTCTATTTGTCACCGTATGTTACACTGTGTGTGTGTACACTACACTTGTACACTAGCAGCACCACTATTTATTATTATTATTATTAGTTCATGTGTCAATATTCTAATCGTTGAAACTGTGATAACTAGTTCATCATTTTACTTAATTGTCTTACCACTTTGTGTGTGTGTGTGTGTCTGATGCGTGTACAATGTCTATTAGTGAAGTCAATTTACATCGAGACATAAATATACACACATATACACATACGCACACACGCACACACACAAACAATAGAATACGCATAAAGTGTATTTTATATCTCAGTTTGTCAAACAACTATTCAATTAGTTTCTGTCTATTTATTTACGTCTTCTAGGTTGATGTCCTATTTTTTTTCGACGTCTACAGTGTCGAAGTATGTACATGTGTGGTGAAGGTGAGAGAGAGAGAAAGAGGGAGGGAATATAAAGACTACCAATGATAGTTACTAACTTTTTGACCCTGAAAAGTAGACTGTTATTATCACTTTCAGAATAGAAAAAATCGCCATTTAGACATTTAGAAAACGGAAAGATTGAGCGAAGAAATATTTACTTTTCAATTAGATCCTCATCTCTGGCTCTACTCTAATATATATAGCATTTTTATTACAATACACAACAGTTTACCAAACAAGTGGCGATATGTTTGTTAACAATAATTAGTCAGTGTCAAAATGTCAATGGGTTGATAATTAACGAAGAAAATCAATACACTCGAATACACATTTAGATATAATAGAGAAGATTTGTAGCTCAGGTGGATGATTTTGGTGTGGTTGTGTTCTCTGAGCTGGATGGTTTGGTTGCGAAGCTTTCATTGCTCTACTGAGCAACATCTTCAGCGCATACTTCGATGTGAAGTGAGCTTTTAGAATTCTCTATGAGTTTATTAGTCATCTCTTCTAGTAACCTTGAACGTAATACACATTTAAAAGGTAGAAATGGATAGAATAAATTAATTTTACAAGGATAACACGTAATTAAAGATGAAGTAGTCAAAATAAATAAAAATAAAATAATTTGGACAATTATACTTTTTATAGTTTTTAAAGGTTTAGGGGGAGGGGGGCGACGTAGTCCTGTTTAGCATTCTTCTAGAGATGGCCACGGTAAGGAAAGTGGCTGTACAAATTTCTTCTGAACACATAGGCTTGGCTTCTTCAGGTGGATTCCGATTGCTTCAGCTGTCTGTAGAAGACGAACTCGTAGAGCAAAATTAAGATTAGTCGGAATGCAATAAATAATTTTAAATGCAGTATTAACATCAACCTTATGCTCAGTATCAACAAGGTGTGCTAAAATAGAACTACGAATAGATCTTGTTTGTCCTCCCTTGCTTAACCATGCTGGATGATGTTCGGAAATACGACGATGAACCTGCCTAATTGTACGCCCAATGTAGCTGGCTCCGCAGCTGCAGTCAAACTGGTAGATACACATAGAAGAGGCGAATTTAGGTAGTTTATCCTTATTTCTCGAACATAGAATAGGGGTGGTTTTGAAGAGACAACGTACCTCTGCTGCATAATAAGCTCTTTTAACTGCATTCTTCAGGTGCTGTGTTATGATTTCGCTGATGTTGTCTCCGAGGAACTGCAATTTTATGAACATTGGTTTCTTCGGAACTGTAGCCATACTGACTTTCCTTGGTGCTGAATTCATATTTTTCTCAATGAATTTATCTGGATAACCATTTTTTCTAAGTAATTCTCTAATAATCTTAAGCTCCTCATTGAGGCAGTCGTCTGAACAGATTAACTTAGCTCTATGAACCAGACACTTTACCAGGTTACGTTTATATTTCAAAGGTACAAAACTCAAAAAATGAGTGTATTGACCTGTTGTTGTAGGTTTCCTATAAACACTCCTTCTTAGTGTGCCATCTTCTTTCCTTGCCATGAAGACGTCTAGGAATGAGATACTATGGTTACTTTCTTTCTCTATGGTAAAGTTTATGTATGTTTATGTCTGTATTTTTTTTATCAGTTCGACATTCAGTTATTTCTGATAGATTTATGCATTTAGAAGAAAACGACAGATTGAGCGAAGAAATATGCATTCCTTTCCAATTAGTTCCTCGTCATCGGCTGGCTGGCTCTACACTAATATACAGTTTTTTTTTACATCAAAATTTCTTTTACCAATCAGTCAAGTAGTTATTTCAGTTAATTAGTTTTAGGTATATGCTGAGATGAAATCAAGGGGTTTATTATTATTATTATTGTTCCCTTGTCTTCCTAGTGGAACATAGGGCTTTAACTCCACGTCTCCACTTGCTTCTGTCTTCTGCTGTACTTTTCACCTGCATCCATGTTATTCCATACTGTTTCAGCTCCTCTTCACACAATCTCTTCCATGTCACCCTTGCACTGACGTCCCACTCGCCGATTCCCTTTCGGGTTCCACTCGAGCACTAACCTGACGCGCAATATCACCCAACGGCCTCCTCAGTGAGTGTCCAATCCATCTTCACTTTCTCCTGCATATTTGTTAGGCGATTGGTTCTTGTTTTGTTTCTTCCCATAGTTTCTTGTTGGTTCTTGTTCTTTCCGGCCATCTGATCTTCAGTATAGATCCAACGAAGACAGTTGCTGATGAAGGTCTGCAAGAGGCTGTTGGAAATATTATTTGTGACCCGCCGCCAAGTTTCTGATCCGTATATACGAATTGACTGACTTGACGTTTGTATTGAAAATCCGAATCACTTTGTTGTTGGTGCTGAGTTGAGTGACGAAGATTTCCAGATTGTTTTCAGGTTGATGAATGTGTTTCTCGCCTTCCCGATTCTCGATTTGACATCCTCGTCCGTTCCTCCTGTGGTTGAGACAATGCTCCCTCCCTAGATAAGTGAATGAAGTAACCTCTTTCAAATCCCTCCCGTTGATGGTGATTGGCGCTGGATGTTGTTGTTGTTGTTGTTGGTTGATCATTTTCATAACCTCAGCTATAATGTTGGTCTATGGTTATATGTTGTGTTGTGTACACGGGATATATGCTATATTCGATTTCGACTCCTTGGCTAAGATGTTAAGATGCTCTGTGTGATATTTAGCCATTTCTAATTCACAAATAGTCTAAAAGTAAGGAAGCTATGTAGATGTGCAAAGTCTTTGGTTTTTTTTGCTGATTCTATATGAGGTTGAAAGAAGAATCTACTCCGAAGACTAGTTGATTACATGCAAACTACTTATATATGCGTCGGTGGCACAGTGGTTAGGACTCTCGCCGACTTTGTACATGGTCCCTGGTTCGATCCTCTGCCGATGAACACCCGATATCTATGGTCGGCCTGAAAAATTTGGGCTACCGTTATCACATGCTGAAAATTCCATACTTGTACTGAAAATAGGGTGTGGCATCAAGTTGTAATCAAAATAAAAATAAAAAATAAAATATGTTTGTGTATACTTGAATCATTTTATTTTATCACTTTTTTGGTAGAATTGTCGTGCACTTGATGAAGAAATGTCTAGAGAGCATAATAATTCACAGACAGGCTCACCAGTGCATAATATCACGGATGATTTATTAACTCATGATGATGATGAAGAATCAAGATCATGGGTTATGAAAATGCCACCTGGTCCATGGTGGTGTGAAGATTGTCAAGAGTCAGTGACATCAACCAATTTGACTATATCACAATTATTCGCTATATTAAGACAATGGACGCCATATGCACAATTACAGTTGATTACTATTGTTGAAGAGGTGAGTGTTGTTTGTTTGTTTGCTTGTCTATTTATTCGTTTTTGTTGATTCTTTTTATTTTTTTTTTTAACATGGGGTTTTACTTTCTATTATGGATCTGCTATGCTGTTGGTGACCTGATGATAGCTACACCTTCCATTGTCCTTGTGGTTATCGTGTGGGTGACTGGTGCTTTCGCTAACTTACACCATCTCTGGCGTAGGCGTGACATCCGGCTATCAACCAAGGGACGTGTGTACTGCTCAGCAGTTCGCTCCGTCCTTCTCTATGGCTCTGAAACATGGCCAATACGAGTTGAAGACATGAAAAGGTTGACTGTTGTTGATTATAGATGTCTACGATCTCTTTCTCACGTTGGGAGGTGGTAAAATAAGGTAAGTAATGTTGACGTCAGGCGTAGAGTGTTAGGCAAAGAGGGAAAATCAATCGACGAGGCTATAAAGTTACACAGATTGAGATGGCTAGGTCACGTGCTGCACATGCCTAACCATCGCCTCCCCCGACAGACGGGCATTACTAGCTGATATAGGCGCAGGTTGGAAAAGAGTAAGTGGTGGCCAAACAAAAACATGGCCTCATCAATCCATGAAATCCTTGACAGTTAAACTGAGTCAATCAGGTAGGGAGGGAGATGCAGACTTCCGGGTTGGGTCCCGCCCTTGGGACTCTAAGAATCAATGGCTGGAGACAATAGGTGACATGGCTCAAACTCATCGTTGTCAATGGCTTACGCAGATGTATTCAGTCTGTGTAATCTTTCATATTCCTTTCTACCATTACTCATTCTGTTTCACTCTTATACTTGTCAAAACTCTATTGATTCTCTTCACTCGTCTTCTTGTCTACCTTTGTGTGGTATTTGGAACGTGGCAACTGGAACTTCTGCACTTCGGTGACAAGTTCTATGTTGAATCCAGACAGAAAGACAGACAGAATGGGTGACTGGGGGTAGATTGTGGTTTGATGAAGAGTCCACCACCTTTCTGTTAGGTCACTCTCTTTTAATACCCGTATACCATATCTTCTTATTACTTCTGCAATCTGTACACTGCCTTTCTAGCCTCAAACATTTTGCGGACATTCCATGTACTATGCTTACCTTTGCTTTTATCAAAAGAAGACTCATCAATTGGTTGACTTTTTGATGGCTATCACCCTTGCGGAATAATTCGAGGAACTTTAGCAGCCAACCCAACATATATGCAAGAAGAAATGGAGTAACTGAACCTACGCTGAAGAGACATTCAAAATGACATCACATGAAGTGGTGGAGCAATATAAATTGATTTAATTCTAATGATATATGAGAGAAGGCAGACATTGATGTCATTATCTCATAGGCTTTTGAAACCTCATTTAAATTGTCTTTTATACCTAATGAATGTGGCTCATTAGCTTCTTCTTCCTAACATTCTACACTCCATAAAATCCTACAAACAACAGAAAAGAAATTTAACAGGTTCATACTGTTTCTTGGATAGGTTATCCTAAGGTAAGGTACCTTGTACCTTCAACACGACCATGCACTAGGTTGAGCGGTTGCCTAATATTGTTAAATGTATGTTGTGACCTCTCCTATTTGAGCTGACTAACGTGTCCCCTTTCACAAATAACTTTACGTCAAAGATACACACTCTGTATCTGTATGACACAAGTCATACTATGGTAGTGTTTACATTAGGCAGCTTAAAAATTGTAAAGCCTCTGTACCGGTGGTGTTCAGTGGTAGAATGTTTGTCAAACAAGCAAGTGCTGCTTGGTTGATTCGCAACTGACACACTCCTATACGTCGACTGGTTTACTATCCTGGAAATGAGGGAAGATTAGGTATTGGCCAACGTGTTTTTTTGTTAGTTTCTTACAAATTTAAGTACTTGACTACATCAACCTTAAACTGCGTTAACATGGTCATGGAGTTTGTACATGTTTATCGACGAGACTTAAGTCAATGCAAGAACAGACGCGGAATTATGCTCCTGTCGATCCCATGCAAAATACTAAGCCGCATCATCCTGGAGAGAATCAAACACGCCAACCTGTATGAAAAACTTCGACCGGAACAGGCTGGATTCAGGAGAAACAAGTCATGTATTGATCAGATCGCCACATTATGGATCATCATTGAACAAAGCTTGGAATGGCAATCACCTCTCTATCTCAACTTCATTGACTTTGAAAAGGCCTTCAGCAGACAGCGTCGATCGAGAAGGGCTTTGGCAACTACTTCTCTACTACCAACGGGTGCCACCGACAATTATACATCTCATCCAACAGCTGTACGACAATGGTGCATTCCAAGTAATCAACAACGGGAAACTTACGGAATCCTTCGAAGTGAGGACAGGAGTAAGACAAGGTGGCTGGCTGCCTACTATCGCCAATGATTTTCCTGATTGCAGTAGATTGGATAATGCGACAAACAGTGGTGAGCAGCGAGGAAACAGGCATAAAATGGACTCACACAGTTAACTTGGAGGATCTGGACTTCGCCGATGATATATGTCTGATTTCCCACGAACTGGAACATATGCAAGCGAAAAGCAACAAGTTAGCAGAAGAAGCATCCAGAGAAGATAGGACTTCAGGTGAACATAGAGAAAACAGAGGTGATGAAGATTCCTGGACAAGAATAGCAACAACAGACAACAATCAGCATAAATGGAAGGAACCTGAAAGAAACAACCTCTTTAACCTACCTACCTGGGAAGCATCGTTTCAGCTACAGGCAGACGGAACTGACGAGGATATCAAAGCAGCGAGGATCGGAAAAGCAAGACAAGCTTTCACTACTCTCAAGTCTGTGTGGAGGTCAACAGCGAGCACTCAGCATCAAAAATAATATCCGGATTTTCAACTCCAATGTGAAGTCAGTCAGTGCTACTTAACATACGGATCAGAGACTTGCACTGCGCGTCATAAAGAGCATCTCAAACAAACTACAGACCTTCATCAACAGCTAGCTGTCTTCGCTCAATACCACTCAAGATCAGATGGCCGGCCGGCCAGAAAAGATCAGCAACAGAGAGGGATCTCTGGCAATGAGCGAACCAACACAGCAGGAACCAACCGATTGTGAAACAAATAGGCAGGAAGAAATGGAGGTGGATGGATTGGCTGGCCATACTCTGAGGAAACAAGCCATCAAGTGAGTGACATCACTAGACAAGCCATTGGTCGAGTGGAACCCGGCCGAAAGGGAAGTGGCGGCGAGTTGGTCGTCAGTGCAAGGGTGAGGGTGACTAGGAGGAGGTCATGTGAAGAGGAGATGAAAAGGTGTGGTCAGACATGGAGCCAGGTGAAGACTGTAGCAGAGAAGCGAACGCAATGGAGACGTGGGTGGCTGAAGCCCTATGTTCCTCTAGGAATTAAAGGAAACAATAATATAATATCGACGATTCTTAACGTTGCTTTGAAGAATTCTCCTTTTAAACTAGTCAATTAAATTATTTACAGGAAGTTAGTAGCAAACATTTTTGTGATGAACTGATAGAGCATCCATCAGAAAGCTTATAACTTCACGCACTGTCGTCATTATTACTTAAAGCGCCATATCACAGATTTACTGTCTCTTCTCGTAGTTGATAAAAACATAAGCAGGTATTATAACCTCTAGGAAGCTGAACGTGTTTGTTGTGATCTCTTTGTGTGTGTGTTTATATGTATGTGTGTTGGTGCATAATGGTGGTTATCTCAACCAAATACTTTTATTGACCTTATTTCACAGGAAATGGGTGGGATAACATGGATGATAAACTACTTATATCCAAATAGTAGATTCATATGTTAGTCTATTAAAGACATTTCTGAATCACTGACTGTAGTAAATAAAAGCTCTGTGTCAAGAAGTATTATTATTACTTGTGTGTGTATATATAATTGTATGGTTGCAGACCTTTATCAACAGCTGTCTTCGTTCTATACTCAAGATCAGATGGCCGGAAAGAACAAGAACCAACAAGAAACTATGGGAAGAAACAAAACAAGAAGCAATCGCTTAACAAATATGCAGGAGAAAGTGGAGATGGATTGGACACTCGCTGAGGAGGCCGCTGGGTGACATCGCGCGTCAGACCATAGCTCGAGTGGAACCCGAAAGGGAATCGGCGAGTTGGTCGTCAGTGGAAGGGTGACATGGAGGAGATCGTGTGAGGAGGAGATGAAACAGTATGGAGTAACATGGATGCAAGTGAAAAGTACAGCAGAAGACAGGAGCAAGTGGAGTTGTGCAGTTGAAGCCCTATGTTCCACTAGGAACCAAAGGGATCAATAATAATAAAATAATACTGATGAATTCTGGAAGAGACAGAAACGTGTTAGATTGTCGTATTGTTGAAAAAAACAAATAGAATTACAGCCAGACAGGTGTCGTCGATGCAGGATACAACGATATTATCGCATAATAATCCAGGTTGCTATTATCTTTTGTTTGCAAGTAAGCTAGTAGGTTTCGATAAAGAAATCATATAATTGTAGACCACAACGAATAAAATATATATCCTTAGATGATACCTGACCAGTAGTAGCAGTATATCACCACTTGGAAAAAGTTATAATTCGTGGTCCTATCGATTAAAAGCCAGCAGCTGAATGATAATGTGGTGGTCATCTCGCTACCTTAAGTTTATGGGTTCTATACTTGTTGGGTTCATAAGTATGTCGTACTGTGACAAGTCTCAGTCTAGGACGAACCAGCTCTTCAATACTCCTTAGTTTTTTTCACTGGGGTTCTCTGGCTCCTACTCACTACCTTCACGTGGTGGCAGTGACCCTCACAAAAGTGGATGTGAATATCTGAAGCTTATAATCAGGATGGCGAACATATTGGTCTATCTAGGGGAGATGAAAAATCCTGGTTCCAAACCTGTGGTGTATATATCAACTCCAGAATCCGGGAGGGTTGAATGGATATAATCAACCTGTTTTGCTCGCCAGGAACCACACTGCTCCACTTTCCACTTGTAGATCTGACTTCAGATGAGATGTTCGGAAGGGGTGTGTGGCTCCTTAAAACAATCACGTGCTTCGGTCTGGGTGTCTGGGTAGTAGTATCTCAGCCCTCACACAAACTGTGAAATTTTATGCGATTCATCTCTCTCTTTTTTATTGCTTCACGTTCCGAGTGGAACATAGGGCTTCAAGCTAGAAGCTTGAAGTTTCTGTAGCAGTGTTTATTTTTACAGGATGGGGTTGCTAGCCACATGCCCAACCTTTCTTCTTTACCAGCTTTTATTTCTGCCTTAGCGGGGTAAAGGAGTGCGTCGGCTGGGAATCGAACCCCGGACCATGTGCATGGTCGGCGAGCGTCCTAATCGCTATGCCACCGACGCCAAAAACCTGGGAGTATTGGACAGCTGTTTCGTCCTAGTTTGTGATTCTTCATCGGTACGCACCCACCGGGATTCGAACCCAGGACCTTCCGGTTACAAGGCGAGCTCGCATACCATTAAGTCACTGGGACCCGATTCATCTCTCGCTGCCTGTAATATTTCAGTACTTCGTCTGACTTTGGCCCTTATCTCACTTCGACTCTCCTGACTTATTATAGGCTAGTGTGATTATGGGAATTTTCATTTCACGCAGTCTATATTTCTTTTTACATAACTTAGACTAACACTGATTGACTTGATGAATTTACATCACCATACCTACCCCTTTACATCATCGTCGATGTTTCAGTTGATATTTTTTAAATTTATTTTATGGTGTTTTGTATTTTAGATATTTAGACGTGGTGCACATGTTGATGATCGTGATGGTTTAACTGATATGACCTTATTGCATTTTGCTGCAAAATCTGGTGCTTTAGGAGATGAACAAGCAGCTTGTCGGTAAGTAAAGTAAAGTATCACGTATCAGAATATACCTTAGGGGGTCACAATCTTTTTTCTATCGCCTCCTCCTGCCTAACCGTGGGATTTAGGCTATTTTTTACCATGGACCAATAAATAATTGTTTTAAGTTTTAAGTTAAGAATTTTAAGAGAATACTTCTAAGCGCAATATCGCTTGAAATTAAGTCACGCGTAGATAAAGGCTATCCCGGTCCAGAACAAACAAGAAGCCGGTCACTGTTTCTACGGTACTATTAATAAACAAATCAATACTTATATATACAACAAACCTTAACGGTTTCAAGAGTACAAAGCACAACGCTCAACAGAAAGCAAGGTACCGCTATCAGAGCGTAATAACGTTAAAAACAAAATAGCGAACTAGCCGGAATCAGACACGACCGTTCAGGTAAGCAGTCAGTAGAAGAATGAACCCAAGTAAGGTAGGGCATAGAAGAGAGACCGGTTAAGAGATAGACAGAGCATAGGCACAAAGATAGAATTTAATTGGCTACTTAACCAGGTAGGCTGATACAGATGAAGATCAATAAATAAGATAAACTCGACAGAATAGTACAAAGTAAGACATGGGTCAGCAAAATAACAGTTCACAAAATACTCTGATTGGGTCATGAGTTCAACTGTTTGACTAAACGGATCGATGTAAAAAACACACACAGTTCATTAAACAAGGGGGTATAGACACATTAGGCATGGATAATTGGGTTGCAACAATGCTAGGCTGATCCGGGACAGGTTGACTTGATTCAAGGATGGGAATTGAATTGATCTTACAATACTGATTACAGTTTAACTGCGTTTTCACTGTAGATGTCATGAAGGACTGATGTTAGGTAGAAAATCGTTAAAACCCAAGAAGCACTATGCAGCTGTTTCATCCTAGTTTGAGATTCTTTGTCAGTGTATGCTCAGGGATGGTACCCAAGACCTTCATTTCTACGAGGCTGACCCCCCGTTAACCTTTCAACAAATGGGGGTTGGCTAGTGACGAAATCTACGTTGAAATTATTCCAAATCTTTACGAAATCCAAAGTCTAAAAAGTAACCACACAGTTGTTTTATAAAACTCCAACTTGTGTTCCATTTTTTATTTAGTTGATCTTTGTGGAAAATAAATTAACGCGCAGTACATACGAGGCTCTGAGCCACATATACATTGTGTTGAAGGGCTGATGATTGCCAGCCGCTTGTTGCCCAGGCTAAAGTAAGTGGGGGGGGGAACTTATTGTACCTGAGAAGCGTTGGTTGTAAATTAAGTGTTTAAGTAGGTGTTAGTCATTTCTCCACAGGCTAAATATGACTCCAGAGTGGTACTTTCTTCAAAGGATAGTACTTTGTACTGTAAAAATCGAATTCATCATCCAGCTTTGAGCCAGCAGAATATTTACAACGTAAGGCTTGAAAAATTAGGATGAAACAGCTATCCAGTACTCCCAGCTGGTTCTCTAACTGATGTCAGCATATTGAAATCCTGTAACCAATCAAATCAGGTGCCTGCAGCAAACCAACACTTGAATATCAATCTGATGTTCACTAGCTATACTCGCCCTATTCAGGTAGACAGTTACCTGGGTTCTAGTAGGAAGTCCTGACCAGCAGGGGGTACAGCAGGTCGAGTGTGAGGACAAATGCTCGCCACCTATGACGTTGGCTAATGCCATTTGGGGCTCATAGCCCATTAGATAGGGTCCCAGTGGCCTAATGGTCTACAAGCTCGCCTTGTGACCTGAAGGTCCTTGGTTCGAACTCTGTCAATGCGTATGTGCTGATGAAGAGTCCCAAACTAGGACGAAACAACTGTCCAGTACTCCTAGCTGGTTTTTCTTCAATAGTTCTCTAACGGATGTCAGTTAATGATGCAATCCAACTCATTGGCACACGGCTTTAAAAACTTTATTTTCAGTTAATGGGTTAATGAGTTTTGCAATCCTGATCCACTGACTTTAACGTGAGCAAATGGTTAGCAGATATCAATCAGTATGAAGACAATAAATTCAGCTTATAACCTGCTTGCCTCTAATGTACATGAGAAATATGATCCTAGTAACTGAGTGTTTGAGCTTTAGTCTTCCACATACCACCAGGCTATGTATGAGCTACACTTTTGTGTGACGCCTAATAGTACTAACTGTTTGCCAAGGCTGAAGCACTTTTAAGGAACTTTTTGTGAACCCTGAACCAAAGGAATGGAAGATGAATGCATAAACCAGTAGCTAGCTATGTGCCCAACCCCATAGATGTAGTACTTAACTCGACTTCGCGATTAATACAGTTCCAGATGAAATTTCACCAGTTTCTTTTTTGGGAACTGAAATATTATTCAAACCACAATGCATGCGATCAAGAAAGTAGGCATAAATACATGACGCCATATTTATTACCGATTGATTCGACTCTGCCTAAGCTGTGTGTCAAACTGGGTACACTGCTAATGAAATCAGCTCCACACCGGCAGGCGAGCGAAACGGCTATCCAATAGTGTTTGTTTAGATCACTTTGATGATTAGGTTGACTAGCAAGCACTGCTAGTTGGGGTGTACAACTATTCGTCTCAATTGACCATAGATGGTAGCTCATAACTTGGCACGTGAAAAATTGTTTCTGAGGAAATAGGTTTCAACTGACTACGAAATATATGTGATGGTGTACACATTTGTAACAATTAACTTAGATTTTTTGTTCAGCGAAGAAATTTTTTTCAACGACTTCATTTTCAAGCTTTACAGTCGTATTTATATTACAGAAAAAGGTTATTAAGTGGCACTAAATAATTGCTCAGTCAATATACATATATAAGTGATAAGAATAACGATAATTAAAATGTTATAAGGGGTAGAGTTGAAGTGGATAAATTACAAAATTATTAAAGATTGTTTTATAAGTGAATTGATATCAAAAATGTTTTAAAAATGTCAAGTGTTGTCTAAAAATTTTAAAAAATTAGGAGTACGATTACGATAAGAATGAAGATGTGAAGTGAAGTGGAAAGAATTCAAGTGGTAAAATAAAATAAAAACTAGAAAGAACATTACTATGATCAAGGTAAAGAAAGGGGTTTGACAAAACGTTTTCGAACACATAATTTAGGTTTCTGTTCATGTATAGCTAAAGCTTCGGCTATGCATAAGTGAAGAAAATGTAAACTTTTGGATCGATTCGATTTTGCCATGTAGATAACTTTGAAAGATGAATCACGTGGGGCTAAATGACCTGATTCTAACAGGTGATCACAAATAGACGACACTCTGCCGACCATGCACATGGTCCGGGGTTCGATCCCCTGCCGGCGCACACCCGATATCTATGGTCGGCCTGTAAATTTGGGCTACCGATATCCATGCTGAAAATTCCACACTTGTACTGAAAATACGGTGTGAATATTGGCGGTTCTACGTTCGCCTTTCACTAACCAAACCGGATAGTGTTCAGCTACCCGTTTTCGGAGATTACGCTTACAATGTCCAATATAATCAGCTCCACAAGAGCAGGTAAAAGAGTAAATACACATAGATGTGGACAAAAGCGGTAATTTATCCTTGATGCATTGTCTAATCATATTTCGGCTGGTAAAAACTAGCTGTAAGTCAGCTGCAGGAAAAGTGCGTTTAATACATTTAGATAAACGATTTTTAATCAATTCCGAAATGGTGTCACCTTTGAATGCCAGACTCATATACAGTTTTTTCTTTGGCACTGTGATTTGTCTAGGGGCGGATTCTTTCTTGATGTTACGTTCGATAAACCTTGTAGGATAACCATTGTTAAGGAGATTTGATTGAAGGTTATCTAGTTCACTATCGATTGTCTCTGCAGAGCAGATTTTACGAATTCTGGAGCATAAGGAATGAATAAGATTTCTCTTTCTCCCTAACGGTACCCAACTGTTGAAGTTAGTGTACCGCCCAGTGAATGTTGGCTTTCGGTAAATCGACCTTAACAGCGTGCCATTCTCTCTTCTATCTAGCTTTACATCAAGGAAGTGAAATGAGGAATTCGACTCTTCTTCGACCGTGAAAAGCAAAGATGGGTGAGAATAATATAAATATGACTGTGCAGCTTGAAAATGAAGTCGTTGAAAAGAAATTTCTTCGCTGAACAGAAAACTGTGTTTTTACTTGTGAATAAATGACAATTAACCTACACTGAAACTAATCTATAATCACGTGTTTTTTCAATGTATATATAGGAAAAACAAAAACGTTATGCAATACCATTTTAGCATTTGTATTTCATGTTGAACTGTTGTTTTTCCTTTCAGAAAAGACAACTACAAACTATGCAATTGTAATCTCGCTTTGTTTTTTGTCGATAGGCTGTATTAATAATTAACATAAATGTTAATTAATAGATCTATCTATCTACATTACTTGTTTTATAATGATTACACCAATATGTAGGACATGCACGCACGTACGCACTCACACACACTTTAAAATACTGACAGAAATCTATACCGACAGATTTATGCACGTGCATGTAGACACACACACACTTGTCTAGACAAGTAAACAGCATTACTAGCTTAACGTTATTTTGAGAGAAAAAAATAATAAGATTATCTCAAAATCAGTAGTCTATGTCCATAGTAATGATAGTAATTATTATTTTTTTCTTTATTTCCTCATTCCTGTTGTAGACAGTATTTAGCAAAGTTGTTTTAAGTTAGTTTTTCAATTTTTCGCAGTGATTGTGATTGGACTGTGAAATTTCCTGCCTCTGTGTTGACACTTCTGCCCCTAGCACGGAAGCTTCTGTGATATCTTAGGATTACCATTATTTTATTTGGTGGATAGTGTAAGCTCACAGTGGTATCCAGGGCATGTGCATTTCGTTTCCTTAGCTGGATATACCTGGCCCGATTGGTTTAGTGGATGATAATGCTTTGGTGTAGTATGTAGCTGACCTCAATGTCATTATATGGTATTTGTCTTCGAAACGTCATCGAGTCATTAGTATTATCACAGTCATGTTATGATATCAACCATCATTTTTACCTGACTCTACATCTGCCCATAAGCTCCCAGTTCCTCTTCACATTATCTCCTCCATTTCACCTACGGACACTCAACTCGTCCTTTCTCACTCGTGCCTGGTGGTGCATGCCGTCGCTTAACGGTTTTCTCAGCGTACGTCCAGTCTAATTTGCATCTCCTCCTACATATTCGCTGGATCTTAGGTTCTTTTTGCTTATCATTTCTTGGCGGCTGGCCAACTGGTCCTCACTCTGGAGCGAAGTGAGGTGGATGTTGATGAAATTCTGCAATACCCTGTTGGGAATTCTTTTCACGATGCGCTAAGTTTCTGGGTCACATTTAGAAGCAGTGACTTGGCTGGCACTGGTGTTGAAAACCCTCATCTGGTTGCCCTTGCTGAGTGTAGTAGATTTCGACAGCCATTTCAGTGTAATAAAGGTCTGTGTCTTACTTTCCCGATGCTGGCTATCACTGACGTCCTCATCCGTGCTGCTTATATAAGTAAAAGAGAGAAAGAGACAACTTCTGCTGTTGATGATGATTGGCGCTGTTGACTAATTTCGGATTGTGAGGGCGATTGTTACTTCCCGGCTGCCCACACCGTGGAAGTTGGTTGCGTGACCGCAGAGCCCAGGGGAAAACTGCTTGAGGCCGGTCACACGCGGCCTGTTTTTGTTTGTTCTTTTTTATTTAGTGTGTTTCAGTAGCATATTTATCACTTCTGCCCTATGACACGGCAGCAGGAAGCGCGGTCGTTGTTAATCCGGGCCCCGACCGATCCAGCATGATATTTTGTGATTTTGTTTGAGTCATAGCATTGGATTGGGTAGCTGCTTTTTGTCTAACCGCTATCCAAACAACCTTTCTGGCATGGTAGGACCTCAAGCGACAAAAGTCTCAGCCAGTATAGCTTGTTGGGTCATTACGATGTTCAAGCCCGACTACGACGTCAAGGTAGCAGCTTTCGGTCAGGTTCACTAAGCATCTTCACCTCTATCTTCAATATGCGTTTATACTTGAAGTCCTATCTTCTCTGCCTGCCTCATCCACCGATGTTTCGTTCATACAGTTTACTCATTTATTGATGTTAAATGCTTAAATCTGTTTGTGTTATCAAAGCATTGTCTTTTTTTTAAATGGCATATACACGGTACACGTTCTTCTTTTTTCTGTGTTTTTTTACAGCATTGCTAATTATCTGTTAGATGAAGGTGCTGATCTAGAGGCGAGATGTAAACTGACCGATATGACACCACTACACTATGCAGCCTACTTTGATTGTCCATTGATAGCGGATTTATTGATTCTTCGTGGAGCGTGTATTAATGCTAGATCTTTTCTAATTGATAATGCTACTCCATTACATTTAGCTGCTAGTCAATTATCTCTAGGCACTGCTAGGATATTAATACAAGCAGCTGATTTCTCTGTAACAAAAACTGGTCAGCGGTATGATGCTAAAGATGCAAAAGACGGTCTTGGACGTACACCATATGGTAAGTTGTTGATTTATTTGGTTTTCTGTGTTTCTTCGTATTCGCTAAAGCAGAGGTAAATCCTCCTCCGCTGCGCTCACTGAAGCTGGTGTCCCCCAAGGTGCTGTACTCTCCCCACTTCTCTTTTCTTTCTTTCTTTCTTACATGACTTAACATCTTCAAATGACATTAATTTTTTATCAAATATGCTGACGACCTGACAGTATCTTTACCTGTCAAATGTCAAAGTGACTGCTCTAAACTAAATGGCTTTCTGTCAGAAATCAGCCAGTGGTCCAAGGAAAACGGTCTCACCTTAAACCCCTCCAAATGCCAAACAGTCAATTTCACCTTGAGGCATAAATCCGACCTAAACAAACTGGTTGGCTCTCACGAGGTATGCAACATAGATGGCACTGAAATAGAAACCAAGTCGGAAATCAAATACCTAGGCGTCATTCTATCTGCTGATCTCTCCTGGTCGTCTCATATCTTGGCGATTTCTAAGAAAATATTCCGTCTTACCTTCTACATCAAGAAGTTAAAACATTCTGGAATAACACCCCAACCCTTACTCCTACAATTCGTTAACTCTCGCATTCTGCCTATTATTCTATATTGTTCCCCCTTAGTTTTTCCCGGGCTACTGAAGAAAGACTATAACATATTACGCAGGATGTTAAAGGTTGTCAGCAGGGTAAGCAACGTGCCACTTAACCAGCTTGTTAATATTCTGGTTGACAGGCACATGGACTCATGTGAAAAATGGGCCAAATCCATTTTATCTAACTCACACCACCCTCTTCACTCACAACTCTCCCCTTGCATCTCATCAGGCAAAACCAGAAGCCTATATATAGAAAACTATATGCTCGCACCAGCAAGCAAGTACAAAAACTCAACCATACCCTACTTAGCTCGTGTTCTGTGTGATAAAGAAAGCATTAGGCGTGACACCTACAATTCATTAAATAGTCAGTAGAACAACTGGACCTCGTCTTTCCAACTCATATCATTTATAGTACAACGTTTTCTTTCTTTCTTTTCCTTTTCTCTCTTTCTTCTTTTTTCCGTTATGTGCTGCTTTGTTTCTTCTCTGCTTACCCAGTAAATATGACAGCACTACTTTCTAAACCTTCAAACACTGTTCAACTTTGGCTTTGCTACCGACATGCCAATATGTTGTTGTCATAATGAACTGAGATTTCCTTAATCTATGTAGAATTCTATTTATTGATAATGTACTAACTGGATGCAATACTGTAGTAAAAATGCTGAGAATTCCATTCTGTATCACAAGTACTGTTTTGGAATAAAGCAAATTATTATTATTATTATTATTATTATTATTATTATTATTATTATTATTAATTATCCCAATGGTTAGATAACGAGAGAAAGAGAGAGAGAGAAGTAGATTAGATTCTATCCAACAGCTTACAGACTAATAATTCAACTCTCTATCAGGGTTGATTGATCACGTTTCAATTTTCTCTCTTAAGTCTTATCACGGATTAGTACAAGTTACGGAACCATTGAAAATCAGATTGGATTACTGGACAGGTGTTTCCTCCCAAGTTTGTGACTCCTCCGCAATACGCAGTCATATCTCCTACTGTTAGGGATTAAACCCGTCAAGCAGTCAACCACACTGGGACAGAATCCAGTGGCCTGTCTATTGTATATTACGCTGTGCAACATTTTGAGTTAATATAATTAGGTGCCGATGCTGGAAATAGACACACTGATATCACGAATGCTGCTTGACTATGCCAATGGCATTATAATACGATAGCTACCTATATTTCCTCCACTCCCCCTGTACTTAAGCGAGAACATACAACCACGTGAGATGGGAACAGTATCCTCATAAGAATTGCAAGCATACAAAGAAAAATATAGCGATATACATGTATATATATGACCAATAGAGCGATGTGTGAGTGTGAAGATCACCATAAAAGGATATTTCCTGGCCAAGGACACATAGGTGTGAGCGAAAATATCCAAACTGACCATAATCATGTGACTTGTCTGAATATATATCACATTGCCATCGGTGTGAGTATTGGTTCTAACACCTGACCTTGTGGACTACACTGGACACAATGTCTCCGGCAACTTCATGCTTTAGTCAGTCACTAGTGTGCATTAGATTAATTTTCAAGCGTCACTTTATGGGAGAACTTAATCAGTTTCATTTTCGATCACAGGTTATTTCTCTTTTTAAAATTCTGACTTCATTATCGCAATACATTGCAAGCTTGACTGATAGAATTCCGTCTGCAGCGAAGATAGAACTAGACACATTACACTAGTTACTGACTAGTGTGCAATCAAAAAAAATATCCAATACAGTCCTACAGGAGGTCAATCGCCAGGTTGAATAGCTCAGTGGTAACGTCTCTGACTGCAGCACTGGGTGACGCGGGTTCCAATCTCAGAAGGGACATGAGTTCCTTCAAGGTTGCAGATACGCCTTGCTGACTGGTAAGTGCCAGCTAGCACGGAACCTAGGCCCAAGGATTCCTGCCGATTGCCTCCAACCATCTAATAGCAACAATTTACAGTGCACCGCGATGACGAGCCACCTAGAATGGTGGCCATATTGCAAGCTTGACTGATAGAATTCAGTCTGCAGCGAAGATAGGACTAGACACATTACACTAGTTACTGACTAGTGTACAAGACGATATAGTCCTTCTAGGCGAGGACTCTGACAAAATGCAGAGTCTTCTGAACAACTTGAGCTGCAATCTACGAATGTTTGGCATGCGATTCGCTCCCGCTAAATGTAAAATGATGTTACAGGACTCGACTACACTGACCCCTAGATTAGAAATAGGAAGTGAAGTGGTAGAGCACGTTGACCGCTTCACTTACTTGGGAAGTACCATCAGCCAATGCCAGCGGGTTGATCTCTGACGTAATGTCAACACGAATACAGAGGGCTAGTTTCGCATATGCCAGTTTACGCCATCTCTGGCGTAGACGTGATATCCGACTGGCTATCGACCAAAGGCCGTGTGTACTGCTCATCAATCCGCTCCTTCCTCCCTTATGGCTATGAGTGAGACATCGCCATTGAGAGTGGAAGACATGAAAAGGATCATAGGTGTCTGCGTTCTATCTCCTGTGTGAAGTGGTATAATAAGGTGAGCAATATTGAGGTTAGGCCATCGGTCGAGTGCTAGGTAGGTGGGAGGGGAAATCAATCGACGAGACTGTGAAATTACATCGACTGAGATGGTTAGGACATGTGTTACGTATGCATCCCTAGTCATCGCCTTCCTCGACAATGGGCAATGTTAGCTGATATAGGGTCAGGCTGGAAAAGAGCTAGCCAGTGGCGGTCAAACCAAAACATGGCACCAGTCAATGAAATCTACAACAGTTAGTTTGAGCCAGCAACGTAGGAAGGTGTAGACTTCCTGACTGGTTGGGGTCCTCGGGACGGTAAAAACCACTGGTTGGAAACAATTGGTGACATGGCTCAAAATCGTTCTTAATGGCTGGCCGGTGCAGATGCATCCACTCCTTGTGACTGACTTATGATTTCCAATGAAACTGTTTTGTTCTTCGTTATTACTATTCCTTTGTCTCAGACCTCTGTTTACTGTCTCTAATATGCATTTCTGCTACTTTCTTCTGTTGCTTTGTGTGCTACAAGGAGGGAGTGTGGAGACTTGAACAGCCGCACATATGTGCTAAGTTCCAGGTCGAAAACAAACAGACAGAACTGCAATACCTCAAACAAATATTAAACACTGACTAAAATTTGTATTCTACTACTGTTAAAGCTGATAAAAATTATACCCAAGTAAATAATTCATTGTCCATTTCCCCTTTAACTTATAAATAAATATCATTGGTATACGGATGATTCAATCTTGTCAGTAGTGTTTTGAAAAAAGCGTGTATCATTCGGTTGCATTGTGCTTTTGATTGCTTTCTTTCTGTGTTGAACATAGGGTTTTTAGGCTAGATGTTTCAAGTTTCACAGTAGCTATGGTGTGTTGCTTTTACGAGGTTTGGTCGCTAGCCTCACACTCCACCTTCTGCGTTTACTAGTGGGACCTACTACCTACTGCTGGCCAGTTGAGGTTTAAGAGTGTTCTGGGCGTGATTTCCACTCAACACACTTCTAAATCTTGGTGGCGTTTTTTCCTCTGATTAAATCAGGCATTTGATGACTCTCACAACCAAGTCGGTTAGGGGATTCAAAACCAGTTGTATCTTCCAGAATTTCGGTCAGCCCAGCCAAATAGGGAAGATCAATTCTTAGAGCGCGAAAGGAGCCAAATGTCAGTGTCAAATGCATGAATATGCGTCTAGTTTGTTGTTGAACAGCAGTTCATTTCAATCGACCCTGTGTTTTTTAAATCCAAACTTTACTTGAATGTTCAGTAGAATGGATGGATATAAGGCTACTTATAATATATAGAATAATTATATATTATCTTAAATTTTCCTTTCACTTACTTTTTAGAGTGTTTGCCTCCTTCTGGTCAACTTCCAGAACCTTTGTGTACACTACGTGATTTATTATCTGAATTGCTTCGTCCAACTACACCCCATCAATCTGTAAGTCTCTTACTGTGTTTCATTTATACATAAAAATTATATATATATATATATATATATATATCCACAATCTTAACTATATGCTCTGTATATATCGATCATACAATTAAACATTTTGTCAGTGACACTGACAACTGTTTTTAAAATAGCTAAATACATACATATTTCCTTGATATAAAGATTAGCAATACCATATTAGTTTGTTTATTAGATATATCACACAGTGAAGAAGCAGTATTATTTACTGCATGACGTTTCGAACAAAATTTGTTGTTCATAATCATATCAATTGTAATCACACGACTTTGAAACTTGAGTTTTATAGTTTTCTTTGTTCTCTCCTGTTTGTCGTCGTTGGGGTAGCAGAATTTTCCAGATATCCCTCTGGACAGGTGATGAGTCATTCCTATCACATGTATTCCCTGTCAGTTGATTCGATAAACAAAGCTTCTGTTATCAATCTCTCCCTATACACTGTGACATTAGATTTTAAAACTGTCATCCTATCCCATCCTATTGTGTGGTTGTGTGTAATTGCATGTAGTGAGTGGTATAGCTGAACTATTCTCTAGATTTCTTATCTTATTTGGATCAACCAATCTAGATTTTGCTAAGTTTTTATGTTCAGCTAGTCTGACTGCCCCTGTTCTACTAGTTTGACCTATGTATTTGACCTGACAATCATTGCAGGCAGGGTATTAGATAAACTAAATTGTTTTGTTTTAAAGGCTCCACTGGCAGGATCCTTTAACCGACAAAGCTTGTTTCTAATTGAGTTTGTGGGTTTGAATGCCAGCCACTTTTATTCCTGCCTTGTTAAGAATTCTGCGTAAGGCTTCCGAGGTTCCTTCCTTGTATGGAATTACTACTGATGATTTAGATTCCTTATTGTTGGTGTCGTCATTAATATTATTATTATCACTATTATTATTATCATTATTATTGTTATTATCACTATCGCTATTACCATTATTTATTTTATTTTTACGTTTCCTTACATATTTCCTGACTAATTTATCCGGGTAATTATTAAGTTTCAAGGCTTCTTTTATATGTATCAGTTCTTGGTTTAGATTTTCTTTGGTACTACCTAATTTTTGTGCTCTGTCATTTAAACATTTCACCAATCGTATTTTTACTGACATAGGATGGGATGATAGGAAGTCCAAATATCTGTTTGAGTGTGTGGGTTTCCTGTAAACACTAGGGTTTAACTTCCCATCTTCTTTCCTCTTTACGTTGCAATCTAACATTGGTAGCTCCCCTTCCTGATTTTTCAATTCATAAGTGAATTGAATTGCTTCAACCTTAGAGTTGATATGTTTGAAAAATCTATCTACATCTTGTGTTCTAAGTACAGTGGATGTGTCGTCTACGTACCTCCACCATACTTTTGGGGTGGGGGTGAACGTTTTAATCGCTATGCTTTCCCACTTATCCATGAATATATCTGCTACCACTGGGGATATTGGTGATCCCATGGCAACTCCCTCAGTTTGTTTGTCTATTTTCCCTTGGAATTTAAATACTGTGGAAGTCAGGCATAGCTGTACTCCCAGCATTATGTCCTCAAGTGGCACTTTTGTCCTAAGTTCGAGTTCTTGGTCAGAAATGAGCTCGTTTCTTACTGCCTCCATAGCCATATTTATTGGCATACGTGTATATAAACTGACAATGTCAAAACTAACCATTTTTTCTTCATTATCTTATCTGTGTTTTAGTTCATAAGAATTAGTTAGTCTAGATTAAATGCTATGGCTAAATATTTAGATAATTCATAAGTAGGTGAATTTCTAAAATCAGCTATAGGCCTAATAGGGTATCCTGACTTATGAACTTTAACAACACCATACATCTTACTGGGGTTATTAGTTTTTGGCATTAAATTAAACCACTTAGACTCACCTAGAAACGGCTTCATTCGGTGTATAAGGTCCGCTATGGATTTCTTAACTTTATTCATAACTGTATCTATTGGTTTATTAATTTCCTCATATGGTCCTGTTTGTATGTGAGTATTTACCTTGTCCAAATAGTCTGATTTGTCTAATACTACTGTTGTATTTCCTTTGTCTGACTTTGTGATAACTATATCCTTGTTATTCTTAAGGTGTTTCAGGGCTTCTATCTCTTGTTTTGTCAGGTTAGGCTTTCCACATTTTTGTTGTTTTAATGTCAGTGCACATTGTGCCCGTACTTCGAAACGTCATCCAGTAAATAATACTGTTTCACTGTGTGATCTATCTATTACATGGAGGATTTCATAATGAGCTGACATCAGTTAGAGAACCACCGGAAAACCTGGGAGTACTGGACAGCCTTTTCGTCCTAGTTTGGGACTCTTCATCAGTACGCACCCATCAGGTTTTCCAGTGGTTCTCTAACTGATGTCAGCTCATGATGAAATCTTCCATGCAATCAAACAAAGTCCCTACATAACCAATACTTGAAAATTAATCTGATGCTCACTAGTGACTGGTCCTATTCAGGCAGTTAACCTGGGGTTCTAGTGGGAAGCCGTGACCAGTAGGGTACAGCAGTTTGAAGATGAGGCAAGCAGTAACTCATCGAAGAAGACATTGCGAAATGGTCGCGCTATGTCGTGAATTGGCAGAAGTTAGAATTCAAGGACCATTGGATCGGGTCCCAGTGGCTCAATGGTCTACGAAAATACGAACCAGATGCACAGTTTACTAAACATTTTGAGCAACATTTCATACCTTTTAAATATATGTATAAAACGATGCTACGGGATCTGCATCTCTATTGGTCAATGCCCTTCTCTTTCACTGAACTAGTGACTCACGGGTTCGAATCTCACTCCACCCTCGCCCAGGTTTCGGTAGCCATGTAATCAACACTAACCGTCACACACTAGGCCGTGTGTGTGGCTCACATCGCCAACTGCTGTATGGAATTACAAGTGCAATGGTGCTACTTGGTTGATTATTAGTATGCTTGTCAACACCTTCAATTCAAAATTTAGCTAGTACAGTGAGTGGTCAAATGGTTTAATTATTTAGTGACTTGTCGTAGCTGGTACAGAATTCATTGCTAAAATATGTATACACAATTTTGTTATGTTTTCCTTACTTTCAGGAGAGTATAGATATTGAAAAGACTATACTTAAAGCGACATCAAGTGATCCGTCGGATTATCGAAGTGATAAAACCACTAACCATATAGATTATCCTGTAGGTGAAGTCAAATATACTGATGGTTATGCTAACAATCGTCCAACTGAATTACGGCAACAGCAGCAGCAGCAACAACAACAACCGCAGTCTGCATGCAATGGAGTTGATTGGTTAGTTGGTAAGTGTGTGTTTGTGAGTCTTTCCTTGGAATGTATTGCTTGAATCACTGGGCAATTTAAGTCTCCATTCAATATAATGAGTTAAATTTTCGCTATTTCCAATTGTTTTAATCACTGAATTGTCTTTGAACATCGAAATGTACTCATGCACTTTTTTTAAATTGACTTTTAACTTCTTATTTGCTGTGCGTTTCTCGGGGACAAAGGAAAATTATCATAAAGGGTTGGTTTATCCTACAAATTGTACGGCATTGCATCATCTAGTGTACTGTGGATTACTATTCTATTTGAAGGTCTTGGGTGAAGAGAAGATATTGTGTAATGAATTACTCTAAGAATTCTATATATATTCAAGTATTGGTTTGTAGGGATTTGATTGATTGGTTACAGGATTTCATCATGAGCTGACATTGGTTAGAGAACCATTGGAAAACCAGCTGGGAGTACTGGACAGCTGTTTCATCCTAGCTTGGGACTCTTCATCAGTACGCACCCACCGGGATTCGAACCCAGGACCTTCTGGTTACAAGACGAGCTAGCTCGTAGACCATTAAGCCACTGGGACCCGATCCAATGGCCAATGAATTCTAACTTCTGCCAATTCATGATATAGCGCAACCGCTAGCCGATGTCTTCGGTGGCGAGTATTTGTCCTCACACCCGACCTGCTGCACCCTACTGGTCACGACTTCCAACTGGAACCCCAGGTAACTACCTACCTGAATAGGGCCAGTCGCCAGTAGGTAGGTAGAATTCATGGGCCATTGGATCGGGTCACAGTGGCCTAATGGTATGCGAGCTCGCCTTGTAACCAGAAGGTCCTGGGTTTGAATCCCAGTGGGTGCGTACTTCTGAAGAGTCCCAACCTAGGACGAAACAGCTGTCCAGTACTCCTAGCTGGTTTTCCAACAGTTCTCTAACTGATGTCAGCTCATGATGAAATCCTGTAACCAATTCTATATATTGTGTAAACATCTTGTCTAGAATGAGGCTAGTGTTACTCCTAGTGACCTGAAACAGACAATCAGATCGATGGCACGACTCTTCTGCTGTGACCGCCTTCGGTTGATTTTCTATTGGAGGAGTAGGTGAGAGATAATTGAAAGGTCACCCACTATGTAATCATCAATAGCCAATCTAGTCTCAGATAGTCTCACTATCTTCTCTGCTTTTAATTTAGTGTGATGATTAACAGTGACAAGCGAGAATACCCTAGTTGGGTAGCTAGCGTTGATGACAAGTAGACAGCAATACATCATTGATATACATCGTATATTGGTATTCCCCTTGGTTATTCCAGGGATGAATTAGATTCCATAAAATGTACAACGCACAGTACAATGAACCACAAACAGTCTAATTAGCACAAAATGCAAAATGGTATATAAAAAGTACTACTTTAGTGTTGAAAGGTACAATATTAGACGTCACAATCACCATTGGTTACTATTGTATAAATTTGCATGGAAACCTAGAAAATTAAATCTAGAGAAGTTAAACATATATATATATATTGATTAGTTTGATAGTTATAGTTCTGTTCTGTTTTTTATTCTCTTTGTCAACCCGCTTGTTTACTGTAGTTCTAACCTACTGTTAAGTGTTTTCATTCTCACTTTATTGGCATAGTCCGGTGACTTCATTTAGTCTGTCTGATTATTTGGTTCCTTTTCCGCCTTATTTCCTCTTAAATTTGTTTCATCATTTTGGGGTTGTGTTCTTTTTGTAATTCTTTAATTCTTTTTTTTTTGTAAAACAATAATGACAAACACTTTGGATTTGAATTAAATCGAATTTCACTTCATTTGATGAGTTTTTTTTCACACCTCGAAATGTATAATTTACAAATTGTGAATTGACTTCTGTGTGTATTCAGTAATTCGCTTAAGTAGCCAGTTCGCTACCAGAACATGAACTGGTTCTGAGTTGTTTCTTGTAAACTGGGCACACCGCTGAATCCTAACGACAGATAACTGTCCAATGCTGTAATCACTTTGATTTCGCTGGCAAACACCTACTATGATTGATGTGAACAGTTTTCAACCTCTTCATTCATTTCGAGTTCTGGGTGGGAAAATAATCCCCTTAAGATATCTGAGTTTTGGAGTTTCAGTAGTGCTTGTGTTGTTTTATTCGCAACGAGGCTGCTGGTTTCATGTCCAACGTACATTCTTTTCCGGATTTAATATCGACCAAGAGAGAGAGAGAAAGAGAAAGGTGTAGGAGTGCATTAGCAGAGAATGGAATCCCGGATCATATGAGTGGTTGGTGGACGTTTTTCTCCCCGAACCACCGACGAGCTGGGCTGGTTTCCCACTACTCATTTAATAAATCAGTAGTATGTAACATTATGTGTATATAAGTCCTTTCACACCTATGGTTCAGTATATATGTGCACAAATTAAGGCGACAAATGATACTTTGAAGGACAGTTAAGACAACGCAAAATGACAATTAAGCGTAATACCAAATAAGGTGGTGTGGTTAGGACTGAAATTAGTGGAGAATTTGATGTAGGCGAAGGCAGCTAAGATGTATGACAAAGGTGGTGCCATAAGAGGTGGCAATAATAAAACCTACGAATTATTATTATTGTTCCCTTGGGTTCCTAGTGGAACATAGGGCTTCAACTGCACGTCTCCACTTGCTTCTGTCTTCTCCTGTACTTTTCATCTGCATCCATGTTAGTCCATACTGTTTCAACTCCTCTTCACACGATCTCCTCCATGTCACCCTTGCACTGACGTCCCACTCGCCGCTTCTCTTTCGGGTTCCACTCGAGCACTAGCCTGACACGCGATGTCAACCAGTGGCCTCCTCAGCGAGTGTCCAATCCATCTCCACTTTCTCCTGCATATTTGTTGGGCGATTGGTTCTTGTTCTTTCCGGTGGCCATCTGATCTTCAGTATAGAGTGAAGACAGTTGTTGATAAAGGTCTGCAACAGGCTGTTGGAAATATTCTTTGTGACACACTGGCCATGTTTCTGATCCGTATAGAAGAACTGACTGACTGACTTGACGTTTGTATTGAAAATCCGAATCACTTTGTTGTTGATGGTGAGTTGAACGACGAAGATTTCCAGATTGGTTTCAGGTTGATGAATGTGTTTGTCGCCTTCCAGATTCTCGATTTGATATCTTCGTCCGTTCCTCCTGTAGTTTATACAATGCTCCCTCCCTAGATAAGTGAATGAAGTAACCTCTTTCAAATCCCTCCCGTTGATGGTGATTGGTGGTGGATGTTGCTGTTGTTGTTGTTGGTTGGTTGGTTATTTTCATCACCTCCGTCTTGTCTATGTTCACCTGGAGTCCTGTCTTCTCTGGCTGCTTCTTCGACCAGTTTGTCGGTTTTCGCTTGTAAGTCTTCGATTTTGTGTGACATCAAATATAAATCATCCACTCACGAAATCCAGGTCTTCTAGGTTCTTCACGTCGGTCCAGGATATCCCTATCTTCCCGAATACAATGTGGTATATATAATGGATGATGGGCTGGTTTCCCACTACTCATATTAATAAATCAGTAATATGTAACATTATGTGTGTTTGAGTCTTTTCACACCTATGGTTCACTATATATGTGCACAAATTAGGGCGACAAATGATACTTTGAATACAGTTAAGACAATGCAAAATGACATTTACGCGTAATACCAAATAAGGTGGTGTGGTTAGGACTGAAATTAGTGGAGAATTTGATGTAGGTGAAGGCAGCTAAGATGTATGACAAAGGCGGTGCCATAAGAGGTGGAAATAATAAAACCTACGAATACAATGTGGTAAATATAACGGATGGTGGAAAATGGCTAAATGGAAGGAAGGTTGAACAATGTCTAAGGCTGGAGAGATGAAATAAATAATAGAACGGTAGATAAAGAAAATTAACAGATTACCACCAAAGTTGGTCGGAGGTGCGTCGGTGGAACAGAGGTAGGAATGCTCGCTAACCACGCTGGCGGTTCGGGGTTCGATCCCTGGCTGACGCACTCCTTTACCTCTCTAAACCAGTAATAAGAGGGAAGGTTGAGCATGAGGCTAGCAACCCTATCCCGTAAAAATAAACACCATGGCTACCAAGATTTCAAAACTCTAGCTTGATGCCCTCTGTTCCACTGGGAACGTAAAGGAATTTTAAAAAAGTTGGTCTTTAGTGGGCTACAAAACACTCTGCGGGTGTACATCGGATTTCAGTTGCTGTTTCTGTGTATCATAGCAATCTACTGTTACTCTGTTTATTTTTACCTTGAAAACTGTCTTCTTACAATTGACAACATGACTTGTATCAATAACTTGTTTACCAATACTATCGCTTTCGATAAAGAAAGGAAGACGAAATTTGCAGTATAAAATGATATCATTCTATTTCACAGGTTCTCATCAGCTGCAGACTACCTGAAATTACAATGGTTATATAAATGATAATAACATACTTTAATGTTTGAGTGGTAGTAGAGAAGAGATAAAGTTGACGCATCCAAAAATGAAAGCATTACAATTTTTAGTTTAAGTTTTCATCATCACTTTATACGCTTTTAAAGTTGAAAAGAGGGGCTAGGGGTAAGACAGAAAACAGAAAAATTGATTAACAGAAACAGTGTTAGCTTGTAGGTTCACATAGCAACTCGAAAAAACAAAAGCATTTACAGTTTATAAGATTGAGATTTGCTCAGTGAGTTGAGATCACTGATGACTAATCAAAATCAAAATTCAGTTACCAAGGGAGTGAGAGGTTAATCACACTCTTTCTGTATGCATAAGTCTGGTTTAAATCGTTTGATTGCGATCGCTTCGACAAATCGTAGTAAATTTGCTGTCCTTTGTCCATTTAATATTTTGAAGGACTTAGAAATCTCTACGAGATGTCCGGTATCAACAATATGTCTGGTAATTGCACTCTGAGAGTATTCGCTTCCTTTCAGGCATAGGTTTCTTGGAATATGTTCAGAAAACCGGATAGAAGCTCTTCTTTCTGTCCTTCCAATGTACTTGCTCCCGCAAGTGCACGTAAATTCATAAACGCAGTTGGAGGTGACATCAGCAGGGTATTTATCCAGTTTTGAGTGGATTACAGAAGGAGTGGTGCTGTATTTATTTATTTATTTATCTATTTATTGCTCCTTTCAGTCTTCTGACAATCTTTTGTGACACTGCATCTCGTTTGAATGAGAGACAAATAAACACTTTTTCATTTTCTACAGTTGGATGTTTTTCCTTCTTATCTTTTTCTCTGCTATACTTCTGTATAAATCCTTTAGGGTATCTATTTTCCCTCAGGTATTTCTCGACGAAATGTAGTTCTTCTTCGACCTTGTTTGGTGAACATAGCTTCCTGGCTCTGTGTCGGACAAAGTCCTCACTAATCCACGTTTATAGCTTATGGGACAAAAGCTGCTGTTATAGTGAAGATATTGTTCAATCCAGGTTTCTTTTCTATAGATGGACTTTTCGATCGTGCCTTCGTTTGTTCTTTTTACATTTAGATTTAGGAAATTGAACTCATTTTTATGTTCATATTCCATGGTGAATTTGATATTTGGATGGATCTCATTTAGGCGATCATAGGCGATCGCTTTCCTAATTCTATTGATAATCTTTTTGTTACATGTTCAAAGATGCTTTTCATTATGATGACATGACTAACTATCAGATCGCACACTGTTGTTCTCTTAACCTGGTGGTGCATATGTGACTCCAAAGCCTCAGGATGGTCGGGGGTGGGTGCCTTGCGCTGCGGGTTGGCCACCCCTCCGCACACCTCTTGAAATGCTCCCATATGACCGGGCGTCTTACATAGCCTCTCCTGAGGAAGTCCTACTCACTGCCTTCACGTGGCGCAGGTGGTTTTCACCAAAGTGAGAGGGTGAAAGCGGATGCCCGGCGCTCTTCACCGGGTTGACTGTCCATTGGATGACAGTTTAGGGGAGATGGCTAAACCCTGATTCCAAACCTCCAACGACTGGCGTATGAAGCTCACTGGAGCTCACCGGCAGACGTATGGACAAAGGGCTTGTTGGATGTCTGGCTCCATTCAAAAAGGCGTATGAACCGAACTCCGGTCACCGGCTGCCAATGGATAGTGAACTCCCTATTCCACTCCTACTGCCTTGTAGGTCACACTTGGTTGTGTAAAGGCTAGAGCTGCACTCTCAAACAAAAGGCCGAGCGATTCTGGGGACATCACTCGTACCAAATTCCCATGAAACTTCATGAACTCTCTTAAATCGAGATGTTCATGAAGCCGGCTCATCCTCCCGTAGGAGATAGCCGAAGTCAAGTAAAGTAAGTAAGCATATGTGGAAATATTTAGAGTGCACGAAATATAGAAGTGAATTCAGCTCATTTCACTTGTCTATTAAAAAAGGGAACTAACTGTGGGCATGTCTTCACTTTTTTTTCTCTGTTTCTTTCTTTGTTTATGTACACAGCTGAATCTGGTTACCTGTCACCTCGTACTACAAAAGTTCAATCAGTTCCACAAACACCAGACAACAATAATAAAACTAAACGACCTACAACACTTCAGTCAAACAGTAACAATGCTCGCCCGTCAAGCGCTAGTAGTAGTAAATGTTCAATATCTGCTAAAGTGACCCTACAGTCATTAGGTTTATCATTGGGTGATCGTGTTTGTATTGCACCAGGTAATACAACTCCAACATCATCAAGCTTCAGCGTCTGGATCGAACAGTAGTAGTAGTAAGGCTCATCCAACAACACCTACAGGTATATCAGGTCGAATCGGTAAACTACGCTTTTGTGGATCAGTTTCATTCGCTTCTGGTGTATGGGTTGGTGTAGAATTGGATGAACCAGTGGGTAGAAACAATGGAAGTGTAGCAGGTGTACGTTTTTTAAGATAGTTTATTTTATTTTTTCTAATTTTATTTAATTTTATTATAGCCTGATTCCACACAGTATTTTGGTACAAGTATGAAATTTTCAACATGTGATATCGGTAGCCCAAAGTTAGCAGGTCGACCATATATATCAGGTGTGCGTCGGTGGGGGATCGAACCTCGGACCATGAGCATGGTCGGCGAGAGTCCTAACCAGTGTGCCACCGACGCACTTTTATATTGTTATGTTTTTGGCTTTTGCAACTGTCTTCTTGTGTTATGAATAACTTGTGACTGTGTATGCGTGTTTGCATGATGGCCATGATGCCTTTAGTTATACATATATTGTGTTGAAGTTTTTTCTTCAGAAAGTGGATTAAACTTACAGGATTTCATCATGAGGTGACATCAATTAGAGGACCACTGGAAAATCTGGGAGTACTGGACGACCGTTTCGTCCTATTTTGGGACTCTTCAGTAGTACGCACCCACCGGGATTCGAGCCCAGGACCTTCTGGTTACAAGGCGAGCTCGTATACCATTAGGCCACTGGGACCCGATCCAATGACCCATGAATCCTAACTTCTATCGTGACCAGTAGGGTGCAGCAGGTCGGGTGTGAGGACAAATACTCGCCCCCGAAGACATTGGGTAGGGGTCGCGCTATGTCGTGAATTGGCAGAAGTTAGAATTCATGGGTTATTGGATCGGGTCCCAGTGGCTTAATGGTATACGAGCTAGCTCGCCTTGTAACCAGTAGGTCCTGGGTTCGAATCTCGGTGGGTGCGTACTGTCGAAGAGTCCCAAAGTAAGACGAAACAGCTCTCCAGTACTCCCAGCTGGTTTTCCAGTGGTTCTCTAACTAATGTCAGCTCATGATGAAAATCCTTTAAGCAATCAAATCCTTACAAACCAACACTTGGATTAAACTTACTTTATTCGCTGACGCATAGTTATCTAAACAAGGAAGCTCAAATTAAATCAATTAAAAGAGGCTCCTCTAATCCATGGAAAACGATTTCAAAGCCAGGATGTGAAATCAATCAGTGCTTCCTCATATGGTTCACAGACTTGCTTCGTGACCAACATGCTGCTGTTGACTTTTGTCAACAGCTTCGCCTTCGCTCCATGCCGAAGATCAAATGGCCAGAAAGGATTAGCGAAATGGAATTTTCTCTCCACGAACCAACCAAACACCTGTTACCCAACGTATATGCCACAGAAAATGGAAATGGATCGGACTCACTCTTGGGAGACCGTTGACTGACATAGCGCATCACGCCCTCGGTCGTGGAATCACGGTGGAAAATATCGAGTTAGGCTTCGGTGTGGTGGTGACATAGAGGAGATCATGTGACGAGGAGGAGGAGGTGATGAGAGCTCATGGACGATCGTGGGATCGGAGAGTCATCTAAAAAAGAGGACAGTAGAAGAAACACGATAAAATGGAGATATGCTGTTGAAGCCCTCTACTGTACTCCACAGAACCCAGAGGAATAACAATACATATATACAGTTATTGACCTTTAGTTTATAGTACAATTTAGCAAAAGTATAAACTTAGCTCCTCTTCAGTTCATTTGATGTCAAGTTTTAATAATTAAGGGGTGATACACTTCAAGCTCCGTTCAGTAATGGTGCTATGCTCAAGAATATTTTCTATTACTTTCGGCAATTGACGTACTTGTTTATTCGGCAGTGCGCATTGTGATAGAATTGTATGTGTCGAATGGTGGGTTATTATTAATACATTATAGGCCCCAAGAGATGCGCTTAACAAAATCTATCCCAGACCGAAGCAGCTGGTTGTCACCTCGCGAACATTTGACTTGAAGCCTGCCCCACAAGGTAGTGGAATTGTGTTCTCATGGTTTCTGGTGACTAAAACAGATGCCATTTGCCATTCGATCTTCCCATATTCTAAAGGTCTATGTACACCACAACTTTAAGATCAGGGTTTTCTTTCTGGATCCCCTGGATCCCCACGTCCACCAATCAATCCAGTTGTAGGTGCAAGGCAAGGCGTGCGCATTTACTTTTGTATGGGACACACCCACCGTATGAAGGTAGTGAAAAAAACCTACCTGGCAGAGGCTGTGGACACGTGGCCATATGACAGCATTTTTAGAGTTAGTCTGATGTGGGCCCACTGTTATCTGTATCTGGTTGTGTCTATGAGGAGGAGGTGGGCACAAATGGTGGATGTTTCCATCACAACGTATTCCTCACAATCATCATCATCATCATCAAAGTAATCATTTCACTTTCAAATCCAATTTCTCAAATGTCTGTAGTAGATGTTAAATTTATTTATTCTAGTCTTACATATTCGTTGTCGGTCTCATAAATAAAGATTCAGTAATCAATCTATTTCTGTACATATCATCCATCATACTTTTGAATGAGATCAAGTATAATCCATACACCCTTAGTATATTTAATCAGATTTAATAGTGTGAAATATTCCCATATCCCATGAATTAAAAGTCAATCTGAACGAAGAATATTGCTTTCAATAATTTCTCCTCTTCAGGTTCTCACATTTATAAAATATAATATTTGTTGTCGTTACAACAATAATGGTCAGTTATGCGGTGGATACATTTAAAAAAAAAAGTAGAATAACAGATTAGTTATGAGGTGTCAAAATAAATAGTCGTATTTGTGTGACAAACGTGCTGGTTGGCTGAAATCGATTACAAAATATTGTAAAACGGGAGACAATGGTGATTAATCATAATAGATTTGTAGAGTGTGGGGTAGGAAAATTGACAAGTTAGTCAGTTCAAGGTTATAAAAAGTGTCAGGTGAGTGGCTAGTACAAAGTGGTCTGTGTTAAACAGGAGAGAGGTTCATAATGAAATAACGAATGTGTGAAATGAAACAGATGGAGGCATATATTGAGAAAAGAGATAATATTACTAATAACAAATCCAGATAGTATAAATGGAAAATTCGATGGTATTGGATGTGTGCATGAAGGGTACAAATTATGACGAATAATAATGATTGTGAACAAAATATTTAGAGCGAACAATTGTTTTCAATAAATTCTTCTTCAGGCTCTACAATTATAAATCGATTAATTTAAGCATACAATAGCCAGTAAAGGCAAATTAGAATCATATCAGAAAGACAATGTAAACGTGGATACCGTAGAAAAGAAACCTTTGTATCTTAAGTTAAGTTACAAAGGGGAAATTGCAGCTGACATTCTAAAATGTCGACTTAGTAGAGCAGTAGATAGAACATTTCCTGCAGCTAAACTGGTACTCAACTTCTCAACTAAACCAGTACTCACACAGTAAGTAAAGGATAAATTACCAAAGATGGCCTCATCAATGTGCATCTATGAATTCAACTGCTCATGTGGAGCTAGTTACATTGGCCGTACTCAGAGGGCTTTATCCATGCGCGCACGTGAACATGTACCTGTATGGTTGAGTAAAGGAGTAACCAAGTGTGTAAATAGTGCAGTCTTAGCCCACTTGGTAGATACTGGACACCAGATAAAACTTGACCAGGCGTTCTCAGTTATTTACCGCGTTCCTAGTAATTTATCTAGAGGAGCTCGACTGCGTCTTCTATCAGTAGCTGAAGCGGTGGCAATTAATACCAGAAGACCATCTCTTTGCATACAGAAGAAGTATGTTCAACCACTATGTTTACCTTGGCCTACAATAAAGCCAACAAATCCTCCATTAACACTATAAATTCCTTTCACAATTTTCTTTTCTTTTCTTCTTCTTCTATTCCTTTGTTTCATTGACAAACGTTCATTTTCGACTTTTATGATTTCATGACCTTTCTTATGATTTTATTACCTTAGGTTTAAGTAGTGCTTTTCTAACTTGCTATCGTATTTACAAAATCCTGTTCATTTCACCTCATTATATTCATTATTATTATTTGACAATCATTCACCAATAGTGCTTGTAATTTTACACCATATCATCGTTATTATTTGACAATCATTCTTACTGTCGTTATTTTCAACCTTGAACTTATGTCTAGTCCGCCCCATTCGTTGGTTTATTTTCATATTGTCTCACACACCCTGATTACACACACTCTCGAAACCTGTATTTTCTGTTGACTATATTTATATATATATACACACATCATTAAATTAAATTACTTCATCTCATTTTGTCCCATGTTCTCATTGACCATGCATATTAAAAAACTATCTGACTATTGTTCCATCCCATCTTATACTTGTTCCACAATACACTTTCTGATATGATTCTAATTTGCCTTTACTGGCTATTGTATGCTTAAATTAATCGATTTATAATTGTAGAGCCTGAAGAAGAATTTATTGAAAACAATTGTTCGCTCTAAATATTTTGTTCTGAATTAATTATGGGAATATTCAATTTAATAATGATTGTCATAATAAGCAAAGAAAGAAAAAAAATCGAGAGGGTTAAGGGGAAGAAGCAGTCTTGGTGAGAAGAAGAATCATCAATCCAAGTTTGGTCACGGTGGGAACAATATCTGGACTTGTTCATTTTGGATACAAAGTTCCGGTTTTTTCGATCTTATTGCAACAGCTTCAGTTATGTGTAGCAGACGTAAGCGATTCATTTCACCTACGAAGGAAAATACAGAGACTCTCTGCACTTCCTCAACGTCCTACTAACACGAAGATAGGATGGTTCCGTCAAAAGAAAAATATTTAGTAAGCTCAGTATACACACTTCCTTAGCATCGTACTGATAAAGTACTTACGAATAGATAACGTAACATAAAAATAAGTCAATTCTTTCAGCGAAAAGTCTCTCTTTTCGACAAAAATTCAATTAACATTTTAGCTGCAGAAATTGCACTTATATACACAGTGGAATGCGATAACTGAACCGCCTTTGTAAGTCTTGTGTGTTCCTTTCGAACTTTCTTAGTCGATGTCACATTTTGACTTGTTTCTATGTGCATCCTTTATTCAACTCTTTTTATGTATTGATTAACATTAACAATTATGAATTATGTGTGACAACTAATCACTTTTGTCACTAGCCTCTTTCTTTTTTGAAGAAATTGACATATAAATACAAAAAACCAAAGAGAAAAATTAGCCTGTCGTAATGAGCCTCTTTGTTAAACTACTTGTCTTATTTTTTTCACTAATACCTAAGTGGGGATTATTCATGGGCATGACAGTAACACTTTTGATAGGACACACTAGTAACTAGTGTGACGTGTCTAGTCCTTTCCTTTGGTGCAGACTGAATTCTGTCAGTCAGGTTTACACTGTGGCCACCATTCTAGGTAGCTCGCCATCATGGTGCACATTGATTTGGTGATATTAGACGGTTGGAGGCAATCGGCCAGAGGAAGCTTTGGCTGACCCAGGTTTCGTGCTAGTTGGCACTCATCAGCAAACCTGATAGACTGATAGAATTCAGTCTGCACCAATGAAAGGACTAGACGCGTCATACTAGTGTTCAGTCAAAATACCCACTACAGTCCTACAGGAGATCACTCATGAGCCCGAATAGCTCAGTGGTAAAACCTTGGTGAAAAATCAATCCATACTCAGTTGAGTTTCAACCAACCAACAACAACAACAGCAACATCCAGCGCCAATCACCATCAACGGGAGGGATTTGAAAGAGGCTACTTCATTCACTTATCTAGGGAGGGAGCATTGTCTCAACTACAGGCAGGTGGAACGGACGAGGATGTCAAATCGAGAATCGGGAAGGCGAGAAATACATTCATCAACCTAAAACCAATCTGAAGATCTTCGTCACTCAACTCAGCATCAACAACAAAATGATTCGGATTTTCAATATAAACGTCAAGTCAGTCAGTTCTTCTATACGGATGCAGAAACTTGGCCAGTGTGTCACAAAGAATATTTCCAACAGCCTGTTGCACACCTTTATCAACAAACTGTCTTCGCTCTATACTACAGAAGATCAGATGGCCGGAAAGAATCACCAACAAGAAACTATGGGAAGAAACAAAACAAGAACCAATCGCCCAACAAATATGCAGGAGAAAGTGGAGATGGATTGGACACTCGCTGAGGAGGCCGCTGGGTGACATCGCGAGTCAGGCCATAGCTCGAGTGGAACCCGAAAGAGAAGAGAGGAGTGAGACGTCTAAGGGTGACATGGAGGAGATCATGCGAAGAGGAGCTGAAACAGTATGGACTAACATGGATGCAAATGAAAAGTACAGCAGAAGACAGAAGCAAGTGGAGACGTGTAGTTGAAGCCCCATGTTCCACTAGGAACCTAAGAGAACAATAATAATAACATCTCCCTATTTAATTATGCACTAGTTTATCTTGTCTTTTCACAATGTTTAACTATTATTTTTTCGCTTTATTCTTCTCCAATCTTCTTCCCCCCAAAACAGGTTCAATATTTCACATGTCCCAATCAACATGGTATATTTGCTCCAATCGGTCGGGTATACAAAACTGTCAATGTAAATGGTAAAACAAATTGGCATCCTATCGCTACTTCTACTGCTACTACGACTACTGCTTCTAGCAGTGGTTCTACTACTTCTAATAGTGGTGTTGTCAAACGTTCTAGTATATCAAGTACACCAAATACTCTAAGGAAATTGAATAACTTAAATGAAGAGGCTGATGAAGAGGAGGCGGCCCGTACACCAGTGAAGCGTTTACCCGCATCAAGATCAAGTTATTCAATTAGTTCAACTACAGCATCCTTACAGCATCATCAGCGTCCGTCAACTGCCAGTGAGCATCAACATCAGCGTACGCCTACACCGACTGGAATGCAATCACCTATGAATTTATCACATGTTACTGCGAAAATTGATACTGGTAAGTAAATTGATTCTGTAATTGCATATATGTATATCCACTTGATTCAAATGAACTGTCGTCAAGATTTGACAGAATAGTTCTAAAATATTTGGGCGCCGAGTGAGAAGTAGACATTTGTAAAAAATTATATTTGTAAAGTCTCAGCGAGATTGAAATGAGTAATTCCAACGTTTCGTTCGGCAATCTGGTCCGAACTTCTTCAGGGAAATTAATCGAAATTAACATAACAGAGGTTTATATATATAAACGGAACATCACTTGTTTTTAAAAACTTTGTCCAATCATGAGTCATTCAACAAGTATCAACAAGTATAGTAAACAAAATTTTATGAGCTGTGATCAAAATTTGACCTCGGACTTACAAATATTGGTCTACCTTTGTTAAACACTTCAGACAGAATGTGTATGTGTGTGTGGGTAAACAGTTGTAAAACATTTCTTAACGTCTCCATAAGAAGATATGGACAGTCGAGAATTTTGACCAAGTATTAATAATTAGTGATACATATCCATTTTTTATTTATTATTAAGGATTTCCTATACATCAGCTAACACACATCACGCCTTTATGTCTGTTCAAACTGTTAGTATCTACACTTTTATGATTAGACGTATTTTCAAAATTATGCTGTTTAGGATTGGAGTTTAGTAGAAGCACCCTGTCGAACTTATTGCATTGTCTTCTTTCTGAAGATTGAGCTGCTTTATTCGACCTACTGGAGTTGTCAGATGACTCGACAGCTACGGATTTAGGATTTATGGAGACGTTAAGAAATGTTTTACAACTGTTTACCCACACACACATACACAATCTGTGTTAAAGTGTTTAACAAAGGTAGACCAATATTTGTAAGTCCGAGGTCAAATTTTGGTTACAGCTCATACAATTTTGTTTACTATACTTGTTGAATGACTCATGATTGGACAAAGTTTTAAAAACAAGTGATGTTCCTTTTATATATATAAACCTCTGTTATGTTAATTTCGATTAATTTCCCTGAAGAAGTTCGGACCAGATTGCCGAACACAAGAAACGTTGGAATTACTGATTTCAATCTCGCTGAGACTTTACAAATATAATTTTTTACAAATGTCTATATATCCCCTTGTTTATTAAGTGAGTTGAAGACAAATATGCCTTTTCATTGGCTTCAGAAATTGACTAACATCCAGTAAAAGTAGGTTCTGAGTTTGAACCCTGTTTCCGCCATTTGACAGACAGGTGACAGTTGGACAGTAGTGGTCATCAGCCCTCACACACGCTATTAAGTGTCGCTTGTATATCATTCTTGATACAGGTAAAAGTTGTGTTCTCGGTAAGTGAGTCTGTCTGTCTTGTTTCAAAATAGAACTTTGCACTTTGGCGTGCAGCAGTTCGAGTCGCCACACTTCACACAAAACAAGAGAAGAAAGTAAAACGAAGCGCGAAATAGAGACAGTAAACAGAGATGTGAGGCGAAAAGAATAGTAATATCGAAGAACAAAACAGTTTCATTGGAAATCATAAGTCACAAGGAGTGGATGCATCTGTACCGGCCAGCCATTGAGAACGATCACTTTGAGCCATGTCACCAATTGTTTCCAACCTTCATTGGTTTTTACCGTCCCGAGGACCCCAACCAGTCAGGAAGTCTACACCTTCCTACGTGGCTGGCTTAGACTAACTGTTTTAGATTTCATTGACTGGTCCCATGTTTTGGTTTGACCGCCACTAGCCCTTTTCCAGCCTGACCTTATGTCAGCTAACATTGCCCATTGTCGAGGAAGGCGATGACTAGGCATACGTAACACATGTTCTAACAATCGCTGTCGGTGTTGGGGGCAGTCAGACTAGCTGAACATAAAAACTTGGCAAAATCTAGATTGGTTGATCCAAATAAGATATGAAATCTAGAGAATAGTTCAGCTATAGCACTCACTACATGCAGTTACACACAACCATACAATAGGCTGGATGGGATAGGATGACAGTTTTAAAATCTAATGTCACAGGGTATAGGGAGAGATTGATAACAGAAGCTTTGATTATCGAATCAACTGAGAGCGAATACATGTAATAGGAATGATTCATCACCTGTCCCCGATATCTAGAAAATTCTACTACCCCAATGATGACAAATAGGAGAAAACAAAGTAAACTATAAAACTCAAGTTTCAAAGTCGTGTGATTACAATTGATATGATTATGATTATTATTATGTTCGAAACTGTATCATCCAGTAAATAATACTGCTTCACTCACTGTGTGATATATCTAATAAACAAACTAATATGATTATAAACTTCATTTAAATGAATAATAATTTCAAAAACAGTAAAAAGCCAAATAAGGCAGAAGTTCATGTGTTTGTGCGTGTATGTGTGGTAGTGTGTAAATCAATTACCAGGCAGGAATCAATTAAGAAAAAATCAACTCCTACCTTAGTGATAGGGAGTGAAATGACCACTTCACCTATTTGGGAAGTTGTATCAGCACCAACGGACTGATTGGCCACGAAATCTCAGCACAGATCCTAAAAGCTTGAGCTGCTTTCGCTAACTTACACCATCTCTGGCGTAGGCGTGACATCCAGGTATCAACCAAGGGACGTATGTACTGCTCGGCAGTTTGCTCCGTCCTTCTTTATGGCTCTGAAACATGGCCAATACGAGTTGAAGACATGAAAAGGTTGACTGTTTTTTGATCATAGATGTTTACGATCTCTTTCTCACGTTACGAGGTGGCATAATAAGATAATTAATGTTGACGTTAGGCATAGAGTGTTGGGCAAAGAGGAAAAATCAATCGACGAAGCTATAAAGTTACATAGATTGAGATGGCTAGGTGACGTGCTGTGCATGCCTAACCATCGCCTCCCCGACGGATGGGCATTAATAGCTGATATAGGTAGGTGCAGGTTGGAAAAGAGTAAGTGGTGGCCAAACAAAAACATGGCCTCATCAATCCATGAAATCCTTGACAGTTAAACTGAGTCAGTCAGGTAGGGAAGGAGATGCAGACTTCCGGGTTGGGGCCCAGCCCGCCCTCGGGACTCTAAGAATCAATCAATGGCTGGAGACGGACAATAGGTGACATGGCTCAAACTCATCGTTGTCAATGGCTTACGCAGATGTATTCAGTCTCTGTAATCTTTCATATTCCTTTATACTATTACTCATTCTGTTTCGCTCTTATACTTGTCAAAACTCTATTGATTCTCTTCACTCACTTTCTTGTCTATCTTTGTGTGCTATTTGGAACGTGGCACTTCGAACTGCTGCACTTCGGTGCCAAGTTCTGTGTTGAATCCAGACAGACAGGCACTACTTTCTTCCCTTTAACTAAAATAATCTCGTTGAGAGTGTGTAAAGACAAACGGTCATCTCAATCTGTGCTTTCGACTATTAGCATTCATTACTATAAAGAGTCTTAGTAGATTACTGCAAAACAGCCTTCTACTATATTCCCCTAGTTTATAATTGTTCTCTAATGCAAAAATTACCCTAGACCACTGAATGGACTGTGGTTCATGCTTATGTGTATTGACAACATTCTATAGACTGTTCTCCTTTTCTTTTTAGAGCGAGGAGAGAGAAGCTTGTTTTATTTTTCGATAGTATTTTTTGAGACAAAGCTTATTGAAGAGGTCGCGTATTGAAGCAAAAGAAAGCATGGAAAGTGTGATACAATTGCTCCCCGTCTTTTAAAATAATTATCTGTAAATTAAAAGAAAACAGAGAAATAATTTATGATGAATAGGCATAATAATAATAATAATGAATGAGTTTCATTTTTGGGTGTGTACTCTAGTGTGATTGTGTGTGTGTGTGTGTCTGTGTGTATGTGATGTTATTCTAGTAACCAATTTGCCACACCCAAATAAACTGAAATGACTCATATATTCATCAGTGATATTTGCAAACTAGTGTGATGCTTATTGAGTTGATTAAAAAAACTATTCTGTTCAGTAGTGAAGCCAATTGGAAAATAGACATCTGATTTCTATTTTTTTTTGTCTTTACTTTAGCCACACTGTTTTAACAGTTAAATATAATTTAGAAGTTAAGTGTTGACCTGGTGTGTGTGTGCACGTGGTCTGGATACGATTGTCGACAAACACGCCTCCAAAATCTCACCTGAGGATTGGAAGAAAGGATACTTATTCAAACTACCAAAGAAAGGAGACTTAAATCAATGCAAGAACTGGCGTGGAATTATGCTTCTGTCTATCGCCCCAAGCAAAATACTAAGCCGCATCATCCTGGAGAGAGAATCAAACACGCGAACCTGGATGAAAAACTTCGACCGGAACAGGTTGAATCCAGGAGAAACAAGTTATGTATTGATCAGATCGCAACATTACGGATCATCATTGAAGAAAGCTTGAAATGGCAGTCACTCCTCTATCTCAAATTCTTCGACAGCGTCGATCGAGAAGTGCTTTGGCAACTACTTCGCTACTACCAAGGGGTGCCACCGACAATTATACATCTCATCCAACAGGTAGCTGTACGACAATTCTGCATGCCAAGTAATCCACAAGGGGAAACTTACGGAATCCTTCCAAGTGAGGACAGGAGTAAGACAAGCTGGCTGCCTACTATCGCCTGATCGCAGTAGATTGGATAATGCGACAGACAGTGGCGGGCAATGAGGAAACAGGCATAAAATGGACTCACACAAAATACTTGGAGGATCTGGACTTCGCCGATGATACATGTCTGATTTCCCACAAACTGGAAGATATACAAGCGAAAAGCAACAAGTTGGCAGATGAAGCATCCAGAGAAGATAGGCCTTCAGGTGATCATAGAGAAAAAAAGAGGTAGGTGATGAAGATTCCTTGGCAACACCACCACCACCAACAACAACAACAGACAACAATCAGCCAGCATAAATGGGAGGAACCTGAAAGAAACAATTCTTTTACCTATCTACCTACCTGGGAAGCATCGTTTCAACTACAGGCACACGGAACTGACCAAGATATCAAAGCAAGAATCGATCGGAAAAGCAAGACAAGCTTTCACTGCTCTCAAGTCTGTGTGGAGGTCAACACCCAGCATTCAGCATCAAAAATGACATCCGGATTTTCAACTCCAATGTGAAGTCAGTCAGTAGCTACTCACTATACGGATGGATCAGAGACTTGGCCAGCGCATCATAAAGAGCATCTCAAACAAACGACAGACCTTCATTAACAGCTAGTTGTCTTCGCTCAATACCACTCAAGATGAGATGGCCGGCCGGCCAGAAAACATCAGCAACAGAGAGGGATCTCTGGCGATGAGCGAACCAACACAGCAGGAACCAACCGATTGTGAAACAAATAGTCAGGAAGAAATGAAGGTAGGTGGATTGGCTGGCCATACTCTGAGGAAACAAGCCATCAAGCGAGTGACATCACTAGACAAGCCATTGGTCGAGTGTAACCCGGCCGAAAGGGAAGCGGCGGCGAGTTGGTCGTCAGTGCGAGGGTGGGATGACTTTGAGGAGGTCATGTGAAGAGGAGATGAAAACGTGTGGGCAAACTTGGATCCAGGTGAAGACTGTAGCAGAGAACCGAACGCAATGGAGACGCACAGCTGAAGCCCTATTTTCCTCTATGAATTATAGGAAACAATGATAATATAATAATAAATCTCATCTGGTAAGCGCAGAGAAGAGAGAGAAGGTTAGGCGTGAAGCTGTTGTAGCAAACCTACCTAGTAAAATAAGACAACAGTGATACTGACAGACGACCTATCCAGCTTGAATCCATATGTTCCACTCGGAATTCAAGGAATTAAATAAAGAGTACCAACAGTAAGGACAAGATGCATAATACTGGTTACACCCTAGTAGTGCGTCGGTGGCACAGTGGTTAGGACTCTTGCCGACCATGCCCATGGTCCGGGGTTCGATCTCCTGCCGACGCACACCCGATATCTATGGTCGGCCTGCAAAATTTGGGCTACCGATATCCATGCTGAAAATTCCATACTTGTACTGAAAATACGGTTTGGCATCAAGCTGTAATCACAATAAAAGCAATGAATAAACTAATCAGTATGTAATCATTACACTCCTAAGGGAGAGGTCAATTGTGAGCTTGAGTAGTAGGTAGTCCAGTGGAAACATCTCTGTCCGTAAACACATGGTGATATACGGGTCCAGATCTCAAAGGCGACATTGGTTCGCCTTCAAGGTATTCCCTGTTAACGAGAGCTGACAAGCATACGAAACTTAAATAACAGAGTTTTGTACAGATTACTTCGAATTGTTCAAGATGAAGACTGATAGTCTGTCTGCTGACAAAAGTCAGCATATCCGTGCATCAGTTTTCAGTCTTCACAAAACTTCTTCTTAGTCAACATCATCATCATCCGCATAAGCACACACACGCACGCCGTAGTTCAAGTTTAGAACAACACATTTAAGCGAACAATATTGTTTTCAATTAGATCTCATCAGGCTTAACTCGAATACACCTACATAAGTTTTGTTTTATTCCTTCACGTTCCCAGTGGAACATAGAGCTTCAAGCCAGAGGCATGAAGTTTCTGTAGTAGTGTTTATTTTTACAGGATGGGATTGCTAGCCTCATGCCCAACCTTCCGTCTTTGCCAGTCCAATTACTGGCTTAGCGAGGTAAAGGAGTGCGTCCATCGGGGATCGAACCCCGGACCATGTACATGGTCAGTGAGCGTCCTAATCGCTGTGCCACCGACGCACTCTACATAAGTTAACAAATAAAAATTCAAATGTAAACCAATCATGGTGTTTTGTCTATAGGATAATACGATGGTGAATATAAATTGTGCCATTGTGATGGGAATGTTAACATAGACGAATTTTTGCTGAAATTCAACAACATCCACCCTTCGCTTACCTTTACTTGTGAAGAGGAGCAGGAGAATTAACTACATTTCCCGGATGTCTTCCTAAGTAGGAGAGAAGATGGCTCACTTGGGAGAAGCGTGCATAGAAAAAGCACTTTCACAGGGCAATACACACATTTCCTTAGTTACATGCCCATTAAATATAAAAGGAATGTTGTAAAATGTCTTGCGAGCAGAGCAAGAAAGATATGTACAGATGACCTCTTACAAAAGGAATTTGAATATATTCACGATTCCTTGATGCACATGGGCTATCCGAGTAGTTTCATAAAGAAACATATGAAAACATGGGAGAAAAAACCGGAGACTCTGACTGCACGTAAGAAACCTCTATTTATTAAGTTACAATTTAATGGTGACTTATCAAGTGAGATTCTATTCCAAAGACTTTCAAGGAGTATACGAAGAACATTTTATGCAGCACACCTATGTTTGTCATTCTCTAGCCGATGAATGATTGGGACGCAAACGAAGGATAAGTTTGATAGTTTTGCCATATCTGTCTATGTGCATTTATCAATTCAACTGCACCTGCGGTGACAGTTATGTTGGGCGTACTACTAGACAGCTTAGCCAACGTGTTAGTGAACATCTCCCATCGTGGTTTGGCAAAAAACAAACAAAAACAATCCGTAGCTCAATTTTATCACAATTAATTGATAGTGGTCATGTAATCGAGAAAACGAGAGCCTTCAAAGTAATTCATCGTATCCCACCGAATCTTTCCAATAGAGTTCGTATTCGTTTACTGCACACAGCTGAGGCAGGCGATAGGCATTCGAACTATTAAATCTAAAGTATGTATTCAAAAAAAGTTCGTACAGCCATTATCCCTCTCTTGCTGGCCTATTAAGACATAACCAACTAATGACTTCTTCACCACCCTTTGTTTATATTTTCAACCCCTTTCTTATCTTCCCTTAATCTTATCACATCTTCATTATAAACGTGTTTCATTTCCTTCCCTTACAATCTAACATTACTTAATTGGTTCATTTGTTTTTACTAGCCTTTATCGACTACTTCCACCTGAACATTTGTTCGTTTAATCATACTGTTTTTCATAATTCGTGTTATCACAGATTGCCTCACCTTTTCATCCTTAATATTAACAGAACCATTATTATTATTACTATTATGACTAATTGCACAATTTATATTCACCATCGTATTATCCTATAGACAAAACACCATTATTGATTTATATTTGAATTTTTATTTGTAAACTTATATATATATTAGAGTTAAGCCTGATGAGATCTAACTGTGGTTTGCCACTGCGTGATCTCGCCAATACCATAGTCGAGAGACACGTAAATTCCTGTACAACGTGGACAAAGGCCGTACTGTCAGACCCTCTGCACTCTTTTTATTCACAACTATCCCCTTGTATCTCATCAGGTAGGACGAGAAGTCAGTATAAGAAGTTATATGCCCGAACCACTAAGTACAAAAATTCTACAATACCGTATTTAGCCCGTATTTTATGTGATGAAGACTCTGTTAGACATGAAACATATAAGTTACTATGTAATTAGCAGAGTGAATCGACCCTTTCATTGTTCATCTTTCTGTAATTTTATGGTGTCACCCTTTCTATCGTTTAATTATAACTTTCCTATTTTTATTTTAGTTGTTATTACTATTATTAATATAATTTTATACTTTATGCAAATTTTTCTCCGTATTGCTTACAGTAATTTGCTAAATAGCTGCTATAACAACGTTTTGTTATCATTATTATGTAATGATTATTTCGTTTATTTATTTTTTGTTGTTGTCGTTTTTGAGTAAATTAGATGCAATATTGTACTGAATGCTGAAAATTCCTTGCTGTAACATTAGTACTGTTTTTGGAATAAAGCAAATTATTATTATTAATATTATTATTATTGTTCGCTTAAGTGTGTTGTTCTAAAGTTTCATATGGGAACATTTAATATACTGAAATCTCGTAGTTCAAGTTGTCTAAATAGTTATCTTGATGTAATCTATCTTGCTTTTCTCACCAATTGATATGTGCCAAGTGGTTAGCTATATTAGTATTATGAAAATTTAATACGAATATTTTAACAACTGTATTTATTTTCACTTGTCTAGGATTACGAATTCGTTCACCGGATATCAGCCAACGTAGTCAACAACAACAACTTCTACAGCTTGGTGATCGTGTCCTAGTTGCTGGTCAACGTAGAGGTATCCTACGATTTATCGGTGAAACACAATTTGCTCCTGGTGTCTGGTATGGTGTTGAATTAGAACAACCAGTTGGTAAAAATAATGGATCGATAAATGGTGTACGCTATTTCGATTGTGCTGTTGGTCATGGAATATTTGCACCGATCAATCGAATACAAAAGCTGCCTTCACGATCGAATACACCAAATCCACACTGTCCTGGCATGGCTAATAGACGTGATACTTCTTTAATGTCAACGTCTTATCATTCTGAAATAGCTGATGGTGGTAGTGGTGGTGGTGGTTATTCAGCGGCTAGATCATTTTCACGTACACCTTGGTCGAGTACAACGTCACCGATGATTGGTCGTGCTGTAATTGGTCGACCACCGTTACCAACAGAATTGATGAATGCGTTAAAGGCGGTTGGTCGTATGCCTACAACAGAGTCGACTGCTGATGAACCAGTTTTCTATTTATCTGAAGGAATGCAAGTTTGGTGTGCTGGAGAAATAGGTTAGTTGTCTTTATTGTTGTATTTAGGTTCTGTCTGTGTTGAACGAATAATGAAATTTGTCCTCTATATGAACAACTGCTGTGAGAAATGTATAGTTTGTGTGAAGTTCACGTCTCATTGTCAAAAATCTCGGATTAATTATGTTGACTAGGCGGTACCCCAAACGTTTGTCAATCTTATTCAGCAGCTACATGATAATGTCACACGTCAAGTGATTTTACAACGGAAAACTTAGCGAAGCCTTTGACGTGACGATAGAAGTGATTGATACAAGGCTGCTTAATATCACGGACGATATTTCTGATTGTCTGTCTGTTTTCGACATAGAACTTTGCACATATGTGCGCCAGTTCAAGTCGCCACACTCCCTCCTTGTAGCACACAAAGCAAGAGAAGAAAGTAGGAGAAATGCATATTAGAGAGAGACAGTAAACAGAGGTGTGAGACAAAGGAATAGTAATAACGAAGAACAAAACAGTTTCATTGGAAATCATAAGTCACAAGGAGTGGATGCATCTGCGCTGTCATTGAGAACGATTTTGAGCCATGTCACCAATTGTTTCCAACCATTGGTTTTTACCGTCCCGAGGACTCCAACCAGTCAGGAAGTCTACACCTTCCTACGTGGCTGGCTTAGACTAACTGTTGTAGATTTCATTGACTGGTGCCATGTTTTCGTTTGACCACCGCCTAGCTCTTTTCCAGCCTGACCCTATATCAGCTAACATTGCCCATTGTCGAGGAAGGCGATGACTAGGCATGCATACGTAACACATGTCCTAACCATCTCAGTCGATGTAATTTCACAGCCTCGTCGATTGATTTCCCCTCCTTCCCTAGCACTCAACCGATGCCTAACCTCAATATTGCTCACCTTATTGTACCACTTCACACGGGAGATAAAACACAGGCACCTATGATCAAAGACAGCTAGCCACACTTTTCATGTCTTCCACTCTCAATGGCCAGGTCTCACAGCCATAAAGGAGGATGGAGCGGACTGATGAGCAGTACACACGCCCTTTGGTTGATAGTCGGATATCACTTCTACGCCAGAGACGGCGTAAACTGGCATATGCGAAACTAGCCCTCTGTATCCGTGCTGAGATTTCGTCAGAGACCAACCCGTTGGCTGGCTGATGGTACTTCCCAAGTAAGTGAAGCGGTCAACGTGCTCTACCACTTCACTTCCTATTTCTAATCTAGGAGTCGGTGTAGTCCAATCCTGAAACATTATCTTGCCAAACATTCTTAGATTGCAGCTCATGGTGTTCAGAAGACTCTGCATTTTGTCAGCGTCCTCGCCTAGAAGGACTATATCATGTGCATATTCTAAGTCAACGAGATTATTCCCTGGTAACAAGTAAATCCCTGAGTCTCTGAAGTGAGTTAGGGCAATTAGTTCGGAAATCTACCAGTTTAAGCATAAGATTTTCAACACTAATGTCAATCAAATCAGTCAGTGCTTCCAAATGGTTCACAGACTTGGTGCTTCACAACAAGCGTTTCCAGTAGACATCAGACTTTCATCACAATAGCTGCCTTCGAGTGGAACCCGACTAGGAAACAACAGCGAGTTGGCCGTCCGAAGGTGACATTGAGGAGCTTACAATCAATCTTGGAGCCAGCTGAAAAGGACTTCAGAGAATAGTATAGAATGGCGACGCGCGTCGACGCCCTGTGTTCCACTAAGAACCCAAGGGAATAAAATAAATTGAATTTACTGGTCCACATGCACACATTCATCAACCTTAAACCAATCTGGAAATCTTCGTCACTCAACTCACCATCAACAACAAAATGATTCGGATTTTCAATACAAACATCAAGTCAGTCAGTCAGTTCTTCTATACGGATGGATCAGAAACTTGGCCAGTGCGTCACAAAGAATATTTCCAACAGCCTGTTGCAGATCTTTATCAACAACTGTCTTCGCTGGCTCTATACTCAAGATCAGATGGCCGGAATGAACAAGAATCACCAACAAGAAACTATGGGAACAAACAAAACAAGAACCAATTGCCCAACAAATATGCAGGAGAAAGTGGAGATGCATTGGACACTCACTGAGGAGGCCACTGCGTGACATCACGAGTCAGGCCATAGCTCGAGTGAAACCTGAAAGGGAAGCGGCGAGTGGTACTTCCAAGGGTGGTACATGGAGGAGATCGTGTGAAGAGGATTTGAAACAGTATGGACTAACATGGATGCAGGTGAAAAGTACAGCAGAAGACAGAAGCAAGTGGAGACGTGTAGTTGAAGCCTTATGTTCCACCAGGAACCCAAGGGAACAATAATAATAATAATAATCCAAATACAGCTTATTAAGTTCAACTACAACAACAGTAGTCCTGTAGCACACCAGAGAAACTGTGTACAATTTTTATTCAAAAGAGCTAAATCACATTGCAATCCGCCAGTAGTAGTTGTAGGAGAAGAGAAGAGAAATATTCGCTAACTGTCTTGAAGAAAAATCTATGCGCCTAGAGATTTTTATCATCCTCAGAAATCACAATTCATCCAAAGAAGTTTTGTGAATTTGGCGGCTAGAATACTATAAACCACTCGAAGCAGACATCGCAAAGAAACCAACAACCAATCACTTTATTCAATGTTAGGCAAACCAAACGACCAAACAGAGAAAGAAGACAATATCAACTCATCTATGAAAGAAGTTGCATGAACTGTCAAGGTGGACGTCCCTTTCGACTTTGAGTGCACGAACAGAAACTTATTGTCAAAGTACACGATGTGTGTATTCTTTCATATCAATGCATGTAGACACCTTTAGGTGTCAGTTTGACTACTAATGAGAACTTAATCGATCTTGTAGTTTATGAAGTTTGAATGCCTTTGCATCGTTCTGAATGGTTTTGAGCCATATCACCAACAAAACCCAGGCCCCCTAGTTCATAAATTCCCAGTGATCCCCTCTAGGCAGTTTAAATCTCTCTGTATGGCTCAAACCAGCAGCAGCAGACAAAGATGGATTGATGACCGGTTTTGATTTGAGCACCCTTAACTTCGTTTCAACCTAAATCCTGTGTTAACTGACACTGTTCGACAAAGAAGGTTATTGTTTGGCATGCGTAACACATACCGTACTTATTGCAATCAATGTGGCTTCGTAACCTCATCGATTGATTCTTATTCTAGTTGAGATTGCATCTCACTTTAATTATTACTCACTATATCTACTGGCATTTGATGTTATTGTCGTGAAGTTGATAGGTGTGTGATTTCAAATTGAATCGGCACTACTAATCCCTTTCAATCAATCGCATCTTTAGTTAAGGTTTAAGTCTCCAAGAGTTGGTCTGTAAGGTTTAAGTAATTTTTCATCGATAAGGGAGGAGCAGATAATTTCTGAAAGTTTATATGAAGAAATCAGACCAACGGTCACGTATACGCCAAGATTGTATGGCCTACCTAAAGTGCATAAACCAGGGGGTACCGTTAAGACCAATAGTTGATATGCAAAATTTGCCCTACCATGCTCTAGCTAGATGGTTAGTAAATATTCTCAAACCATTGCATGAGAAGATAGTGAAATATAGCGTCAAAGATGTATTTGAATTCGTAGACAAAATAAAAGACATTAATATCAAGGACAAAACTATGAAATCTCTGGAAATAACATCGTTATTCACAAATGTACCTCTAATAGAAACAGTTAATTATATATGTGAACAAGTGGACAAGCGGTCGATGAACATTGGAATCCATATTGAAATCCTAAAAGAATTGATATTAAGATGTATCATGAATGTAAACTTGAAATTTGACGGCACGCTTTACAGTCAAGTGGACGGGATGGCGACGGGCTCCCCATTGGGCCCCATTCTGGCTGATTTCTTTCTAAGTAAGCTGGAAAATGAACCTCTGAACAGCCTTATCAGTAAGCTCCCACTTTATTGCCGATATATGGACGATACCTTTATTCTTTGTGATAATGGTTCCTATTGGAGTACAATAATTACTGAATTCAATGAAGTACATTCGGCTATGAAATTCACATGCGAAGAGGAATCCCAAGACAGAATTGCCTTCCTGGATGTCCTACTTACAAGAAAACCAGACGATAGCATAAAAAGGAATTTGCATAGAAGAAGCACTTGGACAGGACAATATACACACTTTCACAGCTTCGTTCCCATCAATTACAAAAGAAATTTAGTGAAGACCCTCAGCCACAGAATTAGAGCTATATGCTCAAAAGAAGTAATTGAAGATGAATTAAGCATTGTATATGATACTTTGATCGAAAATGGTTATCCTGAGAAATTTATGAAAAAACACATGACAAAGAAAGCGGAAAAGGACTACTCATTTTATATACGCTTAAAATTCAAGGGCGATATACTAAGTGAGATAATTACCAGGAAATTAGGAAAATCAGTTCAAAGAACTTTTAATGCTGGCGAACTACACATTTTATTCTCTACACGACCGATGGTGCTACCTCGACTGAAAGATGAAGTACCTAGACTTGAATAGCCACTTCAAATTGTATCTATCAATTCAACTGCGCTTGTAGTGGAGCGAGTTATATTGGCCGTTGCTCTAGGAACTTGATTTTTCGTGCTTCCTCGAGAACATATCCCACTATGGCTAAGTAAAGGTGTAGTTAAAACTATTAACAGCTCGATATTAGACCATCTGGTGCAAACCGGTCACAAAGCCAGCGTGGAAGAATCCTTCTCTATAATATACCGGGTGCCTAACAAATTACCAAAATCGTTGACGCACCGCATGCTCCAAACAGCAGAGGCTATTGCAATTCGCCTAATACAACCAGTGCTCTGTGTTCAAAAGAAACAAGTTCAGCCCCTACTACTGCCCTGGCCAGCCCTCAGTAGAAACTATAAACTCATAAATTTGTACTATTACCCTTCCTAATTCTCTTGACATTCAGTTTATTTTATGTTGATGTTGTTCAGCTGTAATCTATCAATATTATTGATTTGATGTTATTTAAACATTAATGTCGTTCATAAGACTAATTCATTCATTCATTATAATGTATATATAATTGTAGAGCCTGATGATGAATTTGTTCCGTGTCCATTCATCGATATTTATTTATTTTACAGGTATTGTTCGTTACATCGGTCCTATAACTTTTGCCGATGGAATTTGGCTTGGTATTGAACTGCGTAAACCCCGTGGACGTCATGATGGTTGTGTTGCTGGCAAGCGTTATTTCACCTGTCGTCCTGGGCATGGTCTACTCGTCCGACCAGCTCGTGTATTTTGTCATGGAATAAATGCTGTGAATCTGCTGCCACCGGCATTAGCTGAATTAGAACGCCAGTTAGCAGCTAAACGTCAAGAGGCGAACAGTAGCAGTAGCGATAATAAAGTTTCATCGACACCTTCAATCAGCTCTGGTGATGAACAATCACAACAAAAGCAACAACAAAGACAAAAGGAATAATGACAACATGGAATGCGCCAGTCTAGGAGATCTTTACTACACAATCAATAATCTTTCCTTGTTAATAATTTTCTATGCTTTTTTCATACTCGTCCTACTGCCTTCAGTGAATTACTTCAGGTATGATGAGAAAACAAACAAACAAACAAAAATTGATGATTCCATAGAAATCTGATCTTTCAGTCATTCCTTATTTCGCTTTGTTTCTGTTTTACCACTCTCTTAACCACATCGCATTTACCTCCTTGCCTTTGACTATCCCATTATGACATGTCATTAGTCCTTCAGTCAATCAGCGCATACTTTTTAAGCATTTTTCGATTGCATTTCTCGTCACTCATATTGTGGTTGATGATGATCAGATGTCGCTCTCCCTCCCTCTTAAGTTTCCAGTATAATATATTTCTCTCTTGATGCTTTCATTGTTTTGTTAGTGTTTTTTCTGCCATTTTTCTCTTTTTGCGAATTTAAGTTATTTATTTCTAAGTGTCATGATGGTGAATGATTCTTGACTGGTCTCCTGTAAAGGACAGGAGAGTGTGTTTCTCTAATTGTGGTGACGCATTCCTCCTCTCAGTGACTGGGTTCAGTGACTGCAAATGCGAATATCTTGCTTTGTTTTTTAAAATAATGAGTCAAACTACTTATTGTCCATATAAGTAAGTAGTGTTGTTTCTACGTCACTTTTAATCGCTGTGATGTAAAACTGACAAATTTGTTGAGTTCATTTCGATTTTATGCGAGATAATTTCATTCTTCGTGCTCTCTCTCTCTCTTTCTGATTAGTTGTAATCTGAATGACTCAGTGTTTGTTTGTTTGTTGGTTTTTCTTATCAGAGGGTGGAATGTTTATCATGACCTAACTACTACTACTACTCTTTGTCATTCAATGTATGCTTTAGCTACAAAATTTCTCATAGAATAAAGAAATATAATATCATTTGAATATTTGGAATTTGAGAAACAGATTGTTTTGATGCCTTCATTTTGTTGAAGTTTGCACGCAGTACATTCTTATGTATATACATAGGTGTGTAGGGTTATAGTGTCCTACTTTGCTTATTACTAGTAGGGTGGATTTCATCATGAAATCGTTGTAAGTTGAGTATCTGTTTGGTGCTCACTACTAACTGATTATTTCTTCAACTGGTAGCTACTACTGTGTTGTGGTCATCGGGGTTTGTATATCACTACAACTCAACGAGGCTCATTATAATACAGGTTTTCTTGTATTTCCCAATAAATGAAAAACTAAACGATATTATTATTACTGACGTTTCGCTACTTAATGCTAATAGCTTTATCAAGGTATTAATAAAGCAGAATTTACAAAATGTCAGCATATATATCATATTTATGCTCAACGAGGTATTTTATTCAATATTTAATTTATTATTTTAAATCATGGAAAATTCCCATTGTAACATGTAGAAAATCAAAACAAATGATTCAGCGAAGAGACTCTTTTCAACGAATTTATCATCAAGCTGTACAGTCGTATATATATGGTTTTTAAGAAGTTATATCGGGTGGGGGAATTGAATCATAGGTATGAATGCATAAAATAATAATAATAATAATATGAAAAGCAATTAAAACTAAAATGTTTGTGATTATAATCGTAGTTAAATGTCAAGTGGCAAAGCAAATTAATGTCATATATAGAATAATTCATAGGATGGATAGAACCTGAAAAAGGTGTGCAATTATAAGATTAGTAGACAAATCGAATAAAATAAAAACGTTACGTAATATTGTGTGAAATCTAATAGCATAGAATTTAATGTTGCATAAAAGAACTGATTTAGAATGACAAATGGAACAAGTGAAATAATACCGGGGACAATTAAAAGTGAGAGTAGTAATAGTAACAATTGACTTAATAAGGAAGAGTATACAAACTGAATAGACAAAAATGAAAAATTGGTAGAGCTAAAATATGATTGGGGATTACCATACTTTAGCCATCCGGCGATAAAATTCACACTCGAAATGGAGAACGAGTCTAGCATTCATTTCCTCGATATGAACTTATCAAGGAGGACCGATGGAACCCTGAAAAGATCTATTTATCGTAAGCTGTCATGGAATGGTCAACTGACAAATTTCTACACCTGGGTACCCATTGGTCGAAAAAGAAACCACTCGTATTCGGCGCATATGTAGCCCTGATACTGTGGAAGATGAGTTGTGCATCTTGAGGAAAATCCTAATAGAAAATGGATTTCCACCATGTTTTATAGATAAGAATATACATTCAAATCCTAAAAAACGTGACTTATCAACCGTACCCAAGAAAATACTTTGTATGAGCTTGGAATTCAAAGGGGACTTAGCTTCCGATATCATGAAACGAAGGATATCACAGTCCCTGAGAAGAACATTCCCTGCTGCATCTCTGAGAATAGCCTTTACTAGTCGACCATTGTTGTTCAATAGCCTGAAGGACAAGATCCCGTTGTTGACCAACTCTATGTGTGTTTATCAATTCACCTGCTTGTTTGGAGCTAGGTATATCGGTCGTTCGACACGAGTTTTGTGCAAGGACACTATCCTGCATGGTTGCGGAAAGGTGGAAGTGGAGCAATAAGAAGTGCGATCATTGAACATCTGGTCGATAATGATCACCCTATCTCTATAGCCTCCGCCTTTAATGTCATCTACAAGGCAAAGACTAATTTATCCAAATCCCTACGTACCCGACTCATCTGTATTGCTGAACCTTTGGCTATCGAACCAGAAAAGCCAGATCTCTGTGTACAGAAAAAAGTTCGTCCAACCCCTCTAACTTTCATGGTCTTAATCCCTCTATGCTAAAGTATGGGAATCCCCAATCATATTTTAGCTCTACCAATTTTTCATTTTTGTCTATTCAGTTTGTATACTCTTCCTTATTAAGTCAATTGTTACTATTACTACTCTCACTTTTAATTGTCCCCGGTATTATTTCACTTGTTCTACTTGTCATTCTAAATCAATTCCTTTTTTACAACATTAAACTCTATGCTATTAAATTTCACAATATTACGTAACGATTTTATTGTATTCGATTTGTCTACTAATCTTATAATTGCACACCTTTTTCAGGTTCTATCCATCCTATGAATTATTCTATATATGACATTAATTTGCTTTGCCACTTGACATTTAACTACGATTATAATCACAAACATTTTAGTTTTAATTGCTTTTCATATTATTATTATTATTTTATGCATTCACACCTATGTTTCAATTCCCTCACCGGATATAACTTCTTAAAAAAAGCCATATGTCTACGATTGTACAGCTTGATAATAAATTCGTTGAAAAGAGTCTCTTCGCTGAATCCCCACTTGTTTTGATTTTCTATATATTTAATTTATTGTCATATTTTTTTTTGCACCAGCCTTTATGGGCTGATTGCTGACGAAACTTCAGGATAGATACAAAAGCCTCATGTCGTGTTTGCCGACTTACGCCATCTCTGACTTAGTAGACTTGGTATCCGGTTGTCGACTTAAGGACGTGTGTACTGTTCAGCAGTCTGCTCTATGGCTGTGAGACATGGCCAACTGTCAGTAGTTCCACTGACATAATACGTGTTTAGTTTATATAAAGTGAGAAATTACAACCCCTTTTAGTGACGACTTCATCGATTCAAAGAAAAAATTTCTTCGCTGAATCGTTTTCTCCGAATTCTGCCTTGACACAAATATTAATCTCGCCTGCGATCGTCACCCATAACTTTAATGATTCCCATAATAATAAGAGCGTCGGTGGCATAGCGGTTAGGACGCTCGCCGACCATGCACATGGTCCGGAGTTCGATCCCCGGCCACTGACGCACTCTTTTACCTCGCTAAGCCAGAAATAATGCTGGTGAACAGGAAGGGTTGGGCATGAGGCTAGCAAGCCCATCCTGTAAAATAAACACTGCTACAGGAACTTCAAGCCAGTAGGTTGAAGCCCTATGTTCCACTGGGGAACGCGAAGGAAAAAAGAAATAATAAGAAGGACTAGAAGAAAAAGAGGAAAATCGATTACGATGAAGAAAACACGGAAGAAAATGAAGAGGGGGGAGGAGGACGACGAAAACGAGGAGAAAGAAAATGGCGATGACGAGGACGAATACCGTGAAGTGGAAGACGGTGAAAAACAAGACGCAAAAGAGGAAGGAGTAAGTAGACAAAGGGCCGCGCGAAAGAAAACAGTGACAAAAGGGAAGACGGCGAAGAAGAATGAAGGAGACGGGATGAGGTGAAAAAACTACGCGGAAGAGCAAGACAAAAGAGACTGAGAGGAGAAAAAAAGACGAAGAAGAATATAACGGTGAAGAAGGCGAAAAGAGTTAGAAGACTCAGAAGCAGCAGAATGGGGATGACGAAGAAGAAGACACGGAAGAGGAAGAATCGAAGAGTTTGAAGTGAAACAGTGTGAATAAGAAGCGAAGGATGAAGAGGATGGCGCTAACGAAAAAAGGAAGATATCGCAAAAGAAAAAGATGGAGAAGTATAAGAGAAACAGGACAGGGAAGAAGCACAGGACGAAGGAGGATAGAAAGGAATCGCAAGACAAGGAAAAGGTGAAAATGGAGATAGTGATGAAGAAGACAATGAAAAAGAAAACGCAGCACAAGAAGAAAGATAAGGATCACTTTTCAATCATTAAATTCATCTGTCTAGTGTATAATTCCTCCGAAAAAGAACTCAAAACAAATTATACAATCCACATATATTCCCATTGTACAAATAATATAAATATATATATGAAATAAAAAATTTAGAAAGACAGAATATGTTCCTGTTTGAACATTATTTTTTGCTTCTCAAAAATACACAAATTAGAATTTCAAGGTATTTCTTAGTGTTCAATTTTGAAAAATAATTCCCTCAACCATGGGGGGGGGTGGTGGTAGCTTTATATAAGAAAACTGAGACCATATCCATAGTGTAATTCTATTATTGAACATATTACCAAGATGAGCAGAATAAATAACCATTATCATTCAATTCCATTCGAATTTGTGTTCTGGTTAACTCTATAATGGAAGAAATTAAAATATTGATTACTGGTGATCAGTATTTCATTTCAAAAGACATAAATATTACTAGTAGTGAATATTTACATTTTCGATAAATTGTTCTTCGTCAAATTCTACACTAATACATCCATAA